CCCCTTGAAGCTTTTAATATTCTTTCTTTGTTCTGTATGTTTAGTGTTTTGGTGATTATATGGCGAGGGAACTTTCTTTACTGGTACAATCTATTTGATGTTCTGTAAGCTTCTTGTACCTTTGTAGGCATGTCCTTTTTTAGGTTATGTCCTTCATCGGTTCTTCTATGATTTTGTTAAAAATATTTTCTGGGCCTTTGAGCTGGGATTCTTCTTCTATTCCTATTATCTTAGGGTTGGTCTTTTCATAATGTCCCAAATTTTCTGGATGTGGTCTTATACTGGTGTCTAGGCATACCTGTTTGGGGTGATTATAGCTCTAGATGCCCATTTCTGAGTTTGTCTTTGTTGTTTGGGTGTTTTGTTCCTTGGTTTCTGTTTCCTCTCTGGTCTTCTGGCTGGAGTGGCCTGTGGTTGAGTTGGATGGCTGAGATGGCCTCTCTTTGAGCAGGGGTTCCTCTGTAGGAGTTGGAAGCTGGGATATCATGATGGGAAGGGTAGAGCAATTGGGGTTAGGCTGGGTGGGCACTGAGTGGGATAGTGCTCAGAAGGCAGACTACCTTCGGTTCTGGTGTGGCCTCTGCTCAAGCAGGAGGCCTGTGCTGGAGCTGGGGGATGGGATACCATGACAAGGAGGGGGAGGGTGGCTTAGGATATGGTGGACAGGAACTGAGAGAGTGGGCATGGTTCAGTGGAGCAGGAGGGAATCAGATCTTCTAAGAGTGAATAATTTCAGATTCTTTCTTTCTACTTAATGATGCTTTCTTACATAGCATGCATTGAAACCCAATGAAAATGAAAAAAAAAACACCTTATTTTCCCATTGGACATTATTCTAGTTTGCTTCTTATTGCTGTGAAGAAACACTGACCAAAAGCAACTTAGGGAGGAAAGGGCTTATTTCAGCTTAAACACTGTAGTCCATCTTCAGGGGAAGTCAGGGCAGGAATTTTTGAAGAACTGTGGAGGAGTGCTGCTTACTGGCTTGCTCTCCCTGGCTTGCTCAGCCTGCTTTCTTATAGAACCCAGGACCATCAGCTCAGGGGTGGTACTGCCTACAGTAGGCCGGGCCCTCCCATGTCAGTCATCACTCAAGAAAATGCCCTATAGGCTTGTCCACAGGCCCATCTAAGGAAGGTAGTTCAATGGAAATACCCTCTGCCCAAGTAGGTCTTGGTTTGTTTCACGTTCACAAAAACTATGACAGGTAGTAACACTGTATTTAAACAAAATAATCTGCTTGTCATGTGAACATTGGCAAAAGTTAATGGTTATATAGTATACTGGGTAGATCTGACCAGTTATTAGCAGTGATACAAAAATGTCTATCATAGTTTATCTGTTTTGAAGAGGAGTCAAAACAGATGTATATCACTAATAGTATATTGTTAATACTACATCTCTCTCTCTCTCTCTCTCTCTCTCTATATATATATATATATATATTTTTTTTTTTTTTTTTGAAACAGAGTTTCTCTGTGTAGCTTTGGCACCTCTCCTGGATCTCACTCTTGTAGCCCAGGCTGCCTCGAACTCAAAGAGATCTGCTTGCCTCTGCCTCCCGAGTGCTGGGATTAAAGGCGTGTACCACCACCACCCAGCTCATCTGTTTATCTTCAAGTTCCAAATTCAGTGTCATCCATATTCAGAAAGCACACTAACATTGAAAACTGCAGAAGAGAGATGGCTATTCTGTGGGTATATGAGAATTTAAGACATGTGGAAGATGTTCCAGCAGGAATGAAAGAATTTAGACAGAGGCAGACCTGGAAACCATTGTAATTATAGCTCAGGAAAACCAGTAGATTTCATAACATTATCAAAGAGAGACAAATAATATTCTGTGTCAAACAGCTTGGCTATCATGTGAGCATTTAAACCCTAAACTGAAAAGTTAATGTAGAGGATCACAGCCCACTCCCCTTAGGTGCCTGAACAGAGATGAGTATGAGTAGCATGATGAGGCACCTGATCTCAGTAGAAACACTGTGTTCCTCTAACCAGAAGGGTGTCAGGAGGTCTCTGAGCAGGAGATGAAGCCATATGTACTTTAAACCCCGCTGGGGTGGTTGTTAGGAGACTGGCCCCATAGGCTCATCTCTCATATCTAGTTATGTTGTGAGAATGCCCCCATAGGCTCATATCTAGTTGGTGAACTGATTAGAAGGGATTAGGAGGTGTGGCCATATTGGAAGAGGTGTATCACTTGGGTGAGCTTTGAGGTTTCAAAATCTCAGCCCCCCACCCCTGCCTCCTTCCTGAGGATTAGGATGTAGCTCTCAGCTACTTCTCCAGCAAATGTCTGCCTGTTGCCATGCTTCCCACCATGATGATCAAGGACTGTATGCAAGCTCCCAATTAAATGCTTTCTTGTTTTTTTTTTTTTTTTTTTTAAGATTTCTTTATTTATTATGTATACAAAAGAGGGCACCAGATCTCATTACAGATGGCTGTGAGCCACCATATGGGTGCTGGGAATTGAACTCAGGACCTCTGGAAGAGCAGTTGGTACTCTTAACCTCTGAGCCATCTCTCTAGCCCCTAAATGCTTTCTTGTATAAGTTGCCTTGGTCATGGTGTCTTCACAGCAAAACAGTAACTAAGTCACCCCCTTTATAGGATTTCTAAATAGCAGATAGTCATCTCCAGCATAAGAGGTCCCAAGCCACTCTTGATTTGTGCCCTCCTTCCTGTCCCCTGCCTGCTGGGGCTGCGCACTGTGTTTTTTCTGCAATTGTTACTTTGTTTAATGTTAATGCTGGCTGGCTTTACACTGCTCAGGTCAAACCTTGGAGTCTCTGTTGTACTTTTTTTTTTTCTGGCAAAGTCCATATCAAACTTCTCAACAAATCTTTTTGTTTCTCCTTTCAAAATATGTCTAGGCTGGGCATGTGGCTCAGTGATATAACATGTGCTTAGCCTGTGAGGCCCTGGGTTCAATCCTCAACAGCAAAAAGAAACAAGTACGTGCAAATGCATATGCATACACAGGCACACAGACACAGACAGACAGACAGACAGACAGACAGACAGACAGACAGACACACACACACACACACACACTCCAGAATTTGGCCAGTTCCCACCACTTCTGTTATTACCACTATCTTCTTTCTCTCACGTTATTATAGTGATCCTGTTCTACTAATCCCTGCTCTTAGTCTTGCTATTCTGTAGAGTATTATACCACTGTAGCAGTGATATTTTAAGAGAAGAGAACCAAGGGAAGAACCAAGCATAATGGCTCATGCCTGCAATTTTAGCTCTTAGGAGGCAGAGGCAGAAAGATTGCTATTAATTCAGAGCCAACTTCAGGTTGATTGACATTGTCTCAATAAACAAACAATAAACAAAACAGAGAAAAGGCGTTTCCTCTCTTTAGAAGCCTGTGTGACAATCTTCTCATTAGAGTAACAGCCTGGGCTGTTACTACTTACTATGTTACTACTGTGTCCCCAGCAGGCCTCAGGAGAGACTACCTACTGTGTCCCCTGAAGGCCTCAGGAGAGACAACCTACTGTGTCCCCTGTAGGCCTCAGGAGAGACTACCTACTGTGTCCCCAGCAGGCCTCAGGAGAGACAACCTACTGTGTCCCCAGCAGGCTCCTGACTGCGTGTTTCTGTTACTCTCCCCTGCCTGTTCCACTGTCACTGTGTAGTCCTCTCACTGTCCCTGGATCATGCCATGAGAGTCTGAAATGTCCTTTGTGCAGTTAGGTGGGCCATCTTCTTTGTGAAGCCTTGCCCTGAACTCCTAGGAGAAACCTCTTCTTCTCGCTCAGCTTTCTCACACCCAGTCTTCTAGTGCTAATGATTAACTTGAACCTGCTTGATTCCCACCATAAAATCCATGTCCACCTAACTTACATTGCCTTCCTTATCATGTGTTTATGTTTTTATTCTCCCTAAACTTGGTGTGTTTTCCTTACTACCCCACCTCCTGCATGTGCAGCTGTGTGTTGTTGGGACCCCGTCAGTTCCTGCTGAATGAATGAACGGAGGTGGCCTCAGATTGCAGATGGTCAGTTCATGTACCCAGAATGCATAGCTTCTTGTCTTCCTTCTATGGGATATGGAATGGAGGAAGGTCATTTCAGTGTCCCTCCTGCACAGTGGACATGGCTTCTCCCTCATAGGGTTGTGGAAAGATTTAGTTCAGGGCAGGTTGTTCAAATGCATTCACCATATTACCAAAGCACCTTCCAGTGTGGTTAGAGGCCGTTCTCAGGGTGATCTCGGGCAGCCTGTATCATCAGTATCCCTGGGGTGTTTTGTTATTGCGGGCTTTGTTGTTTTTCCCAGTACTGGACGGCTGTGTATGTTAGGCAAACGCTCCACCACCAAGCTGTACCCTTACCTGCTGTTCTTTTTAACATTTGATGTTTGGACAGGCTCTCCTGAATTTGCCCAGGTCAACCTTGAACATGTCATCTTCTTGCTGCCACCTACAAGTACTTGGGATTGCAAGCTTGTCTCACCACTTCCAGCTTCTGAGACTTGTTTTAGTTTTGAGGCAGAACTAACAGAGCACCCTAGGATTGAAGGAGCATGCAGCCTCTCTGGCCTGGGACTTGTTTAAATTTGGCCCTCCAGAGTCCTGACCTGGAAACCTGAGGAGGGTTCTTCGAGGTTTATACTTTCACAGACATTCTAGGGTGGCCTTTATATTATGTCTCAGAATTCCATGTTAGAAGAATAATGGAAAACAGAGACTTCAGTCTTGAGCTTGGAGTTCAAGATAGAAGGATCTGCCTTTAGTGGGTTCAGGGAAAGGGCACTTTGCCTCATAGAAATGTGTGTGTGTGTGTGTGTGTGTGTGTGTGTGTGTGTGTGTGTGTGCATGCATGCTCTGCCTGTGTGATGTGCCATGTGTCTGCTGAGGATGGGTAGGTCTGGGAAATGGGCAGTGAAAGTAGCCAGTCCTGTGCTGCTACCCTAAGATGATCTTGCTCTGGATGAGACTTGATAGCTATGTCTAATTCTTTTCTTGTACTTGGCAGTGGGATGTTCTATGATGGGAACCACACATATCTCATTGAACCAGAAGAAAATGAGACCTCCCAAGTAAGTGCTCTGCTTGCTGTGCGAATATCAGCATTGGTGCTGAGACCTTTGTTCTTCTTTCCTGCCCTTCCCACCCTTTGTATGTTTTTATATTGTCTGAGCCAGGACTACACACACACACACACACACACACACACACACACACACACACACACACACACGATATTGGGTAAATCAAGCACACAGTTTTTAGTTTTTAATCGTTCTTGCCTTTCCTCTCTTGTGTTGGGACTACTTTCCCTGGAGTGTGTTCTGAACCCACCCCTCCTCTCTGTCACATGAGGTGCCTTAGTTTAGACAGCCACACCAAACATCATGACTGTGTGGCTTATACAACAAAGTGTTTTCTCACAGTTTAATGTCACAGTATGTGACATTAAAGATTGAGGTGGCGGTAGGGTTGGTGTCCTGTGAGGGCTCTTGCCTTGGGTGGCCAGTGGTTGCATTTTTACTTGGCAGAGAGGTATTTCTGATCATCTCTTCCTCTCCGTATGAGGACATCAGCCATACTGGATCAGGGCGCCATCCTTCCAGCCTCATTTAACCTTCGTTATTTCTGCATAGGCCCTCTCCCCAGACACAGTGACATGACCTAACAGCCACCATCATCAACATGTTGCTATGAATCTGGGATGTGATACAGACATTCAATCCACAACAGATAAAATCCACAGACGTGCGATTTTCACCTCTCTTCTTTCTTTTCGATTCCACACTTTTCTACTCTGCATGTTATTTTCAAGGGTCACGCTAGGGAAGTTTACAGAAACCCAGAACTCCTTAATTGTCTCCTCAGTGGTGTTGGAACATTAACTAATGTTGGAACAAATTAGGAAAGGATTGGGTTAACATTATAGACTACAATGCCCTTGTTGCTCTTTGGCTAAGACCAAATCTATGATAGACTACAGGGAAACAATATAGTTTTCAGTCCTTGCTTTACATACACAAATGAACATTCTTGTTTCATTCAATGTTGGTCAAACATTTACAGAGGAGGTAATTTCCAGGAATGCACATTGTTTTTCCACCTGTCAAATAACTCTGTTTGGGAAACCATCTGCCTGTGTGTTCCCTGAGTATATACCAAGGCTGCTTTATCACTTTACAGGACACTGACTTTTTAGAGGTTGTATTTTACTTACATGCTATGACATACTGGTTCTTTGCACTTAAATGAAACCAGATGAAATCATTTGAATGTTTAATACTTTTGCTTAGAAGAAAAAGTGTTGCATTATTTCTTGCTTTCTAGAACTATCTATGTCAGGATTCTGGGAGTCCCTTGCACCTGTTATCTTGCTTGCAGTCACCAGGAAAATTGGTAGCTTCAGTCACTGCCTACCTAAGCTATCGGGCTCTTAAAGTAGGGCCGGGGATCTGTGACGGAGAGGTCATTAACCCATTTTTCACGATGTCTTGCATTCCCTTGGGGAAATAGGTCCATTCGTTTATTTTCCATTACTGCAGCTTTGGCTTCTCGGCCTGCGAGGCTTTTTCGTTGCAGTGGGTGGCTGCAGTGCTGGGAGAAGGCAGTGGAGAGTGGGCTGTGCAGTAGCTCATGGCCTCTTGTAGTCGAGCTGCAGTTCCCTCAGGGCCCTAGCTTCTCCAGCTACGCAGTCTTTAAAGATGCTGCTTCACCTGTGCTTAATCTCCGCCCTCTGTGTTGTTGCAGGAGGAGTCTCATTTTCACTCGGTTTACAAGTCCAGACTCTTTGAATTCCCCTTGGATGACCTTCCAACTGGTATGATATTTGTGTTGGGAATTTCTTTTAAATGACAACCCTGTAATTCGGTTACTAATTTAGAACCAATATATATGTTAAATAATAATTGACAGTTGCTCATGACATTTTGGAGAGACTGTCAAGTTACACCAAAGGAAATAATGAAATGCAAGCTGACTTCTTGTTTACAGTTGAGGAATTCAGAAAAATATGGCTTAAGCACATAGAAGGAACGCTTAAGAAATTAAGACTCAATGTTAGGGATGAGAAATAATTTTAGAGTAAAAATGGTAAGCGATGTGAAAATCCATCCTTGTGAAATGACGGTTTGTGAACACAGGCATGAATTATGTCCCTTTGTGTTCTTTCCTTCATCCTTTTTTTGCTCTAGCATTTTAAGCAAAAGCTGTAATTTAACCTTTTATATAATTGTTTGCTACTTGTGAAATTGGCACATATTTTCCTCTCATTGATGTTTATAGCTTCATAGCTGTAAACGTTGATTGGAGAGGTACATCCACGTGTCGCGTGACAAGCTGAGCTGACCTCAGTGCCAGGACCCCATGTGTGTGGAACACTGATTATGCAGTGGACATTTGTCTCTAGCTCCTTTTAGTCAACTTTGCTTTTTCAGTAGCTTTGTGTGTAATAAAGCTCCTGTTTTTTGAAGATGAGGAAGCAGAGGGTCAGCTGGTTTGTCTTTTCCAGGGTCCACAGCTACGAAAGAACAAGAATGATGATACTTTGAGAGCCTCTCGGGAAGACGTGAAAACATTGCCGTCCTAAAGCAAACCCCAAAGCACTGTTAGAGAAATGTGCAGTTAATAGTTTGTATCGTCTTGCTAGAGAGGGAAGTGGATGTTCAGTTCTAACGCCCCTTCCTTTCTAGATTGAGTTGTAACCCACTGGCCTCCGTAGTTCCCCTTCGGAGAAACTAACTCGTTCTATTTTGGTAAAGGGATGGAAGATCCCATTTGATGGAATGCACTATTTTGGAGGCCCATGAGACTGATCAGTGGGTAACGGCACTTACCACACAAGCCTAGTGACCCACTCCTGTCCCCAGAACCCACAGGAGAACTGGAGAGAACAGACTCCACAGTTTTCCTCTGGCCTCCACGTGAGGTATGGCACACGCACGCCCTCAGCATTGCACACATACAAAATAATAAAATTTGAAGAAGAGCCCCCACTTAGGAAAGTCTGCCAGGAAACACACAGATGCTCTTCCTCTGCAGCGACGCATGCCTTTCATCAACTTTATGAAACTTTGTATAATGCCAGTTATGGGAACAAAATTAATCATGAATGGCTGTGAGAATAAGACTACAGTGTAATAGGTCTTACTGGAAGCAATCAGCATTGATTAATATTTAAAGTAATAAAGATTCTCCACCAAAGACTTCAGTATAGAAACGGTGCAATGTAACCTTACAGCTGTTTTTTAGCTTTGCTCAGGGTTCTTTTTCAGCAATAATTATGGAAGTGACTTGGCATCCTTTCTTTTTTTCTGATAGGATCCAACCTTGTAGCCTACCCTGGCCTCAAGCTTGCAGGGACCCTCCTGTCTAGCCTCCTGAGTGATGGGGTTGCAGTTGTGACTCTGTGCTCGGCTTGTTTCTAGTTTTTTAATCAGAGGTTGCCACTGTCAAGTTTAAAAGTGGCATTGTCTTTCAAGATGACTTATAATTCACTGTGGCAAACTAGAAGAAAACAAGAGATAGTTAGAAGTAAGTTTCTTTATTTAGGTTGAATAAAATTGAACAGGGTTATAGGTCACCACTGCCACCTTCATCTTGCTTGGTGTTGTCTATTTCCTAGAGATAGGAATAATATAATCAGCATTTGCCAACTTGTTTGGCTATAGAACCCTTTATTTTATATGATACATCTCTCAGGACAAATGTTCCCTAGAACACATTTTGGAGGGGAAAAAATCTTGTTTTTGGTCGACCAGTTGACACTTCAGAAACCGATACACACAAAAACACAAGCCCTGTGTGTGACTCATTGGGCTCCCATGTGACCCCGAAATACAGTGTTTTTATTCCTGGGACACTTCCGTGTGCAGTTCCACTCCTTGCCTTCTGCTTCTACAATAGTTTCTGCCTGCTTTTCCTATTGACTAGTCTTTTTTTGTAGGACTTTAAACCTATGGAACCATGGAGTTTATGTAGTTTCTTCTGGTTAGCATGTGCCTATAATGTTTATGTTGTGAAAAGTAGCAATCATTTATTGATTTCATTATTGAGTGTATTCTGTGGTATGAATACACTACACTTCTAATGAATTATGCTGATGGACATTCCAGGTTTTCCAGTTTGAGGCTGTTATCAATAAGCAGCCATGAATATTCTTGTATGTCTTTTCTTTTCGTCCCCTTTTCCTCCCTCTGTTCATTTCTTTTTGTAGAGGCATGCTTTTATTTTTTCTAGTAAACACCTAAGGATGGCCTGGGAAGGTGCATGCTTAGCTTGGGATCAGTGTCAAAAAACTTCAGCCTGTCACCAAGAGAACTGGCAGGCTGGGAGCCACCCATTGCTGGCCTCATCCCAGGGCTTTCAATTCTCCGTTCTGAGACTTCACAGTGCCATCATGTCCCCAGGTGGTGCCAATATTATCAATCCAAAGATTCCACTTTGGAAAACATTGTTTAATGAGAAGTTGTTGACTGGCTTCTTCGGAATCCTTATGTCATTCTACTCTCACATAAACACCATATGGCGGTAGTGATTACCCCAAAGCTTGAGCACCGGAGACTGAGGATATCTGTGGGGTTCATGGATGTTAGCCACTCCCATGTGCACAGTGCGATGCCACCGTGCTTTCGCCTGACAGTCTTTTGACTGATGACATGTAGTGCATGCCTACTAGTCATCAGTCGCATTTTCTCTTTTAGTTGTTGCATTGTAGAAGGGTTTACATATTCTGCATTTGATCTTAACCAAAAGCTTTAAAAAATAAAATAAGATTACATATCCCAGATAGAAGGCCTTTGTCAGACATATTAACACTGAATTGTTTGGATTGCCATTAAGTATTAAAATGGTTTCTTTTAATTAATTGATTGATTAATTAAAAAGGGTTTCTTCCTTGGACTCTGCTCATTCAGCCACCCATGTCTACTGTTTTGCTCACTGTGGCTTTATAGCGTGCTTTGAAATCAGGTGGCATATATCCTTCAGTTTTGCCCCTTTTCAAATTAATTTAGCTCTTCTAGGTGCTTTGCATTTTCATACCGGTTTAGAATCAACTTGTCAGTTTCTCAAATTCCTCTTAGATTGTTATTAGATCATATTGAATGTTTAGATTAACCATGGGAAAAGAGACAGCTCAGTAGTGAGTCTTCCAATCCAGGGGATAGCATGGCATGTTTCCTCATACATTTAGGGTTTGTTATTGTTTATTTTGCACGAGGCTCTGGCTTAATCCCTAGTACAACAAAACAAAATGAGTTCTCAGCCCCTTCCAGATATACAGAATCACAGAAGATGAAAATAAACATTTAAGACATTTACGGTTTCTATTTGTGTTTGCCATTTTTAGTACAGAGGCTGCTGTGGATAAGCATTATTACTTCAGTTTCTGAGGGCCTGAATGTGGCTTAGCTGAGTGCCCATCACTGATTTTTGTAGTGTAACTGTCAGCTGAAGTTATAACTTCCTCCGAAGGCTCTAATCAGAGAGATTCACAGCTAAGCTCACTCATGGGTGATTGGCAGAAGCGCTGTGTCTTTGGTAAACTGATCCTTTCACCACTATGTACTATGACTTCTTCTTACTGAGATATGTATTGTCCTAATGTTACCTATCTGGTATTAATGTTTCTATGGTGTTCTTTATTAATCCTTTGAGAATTTCATACATGCACATAATATATTTTGATCACATCCCCCTAACTCCTCCCAGATCCACCCCCCCTACCTTTCCACTCCCTCCCAACTATTTTTTTTCAATAACCCAACAAGTTCTATTTGTACTGCTCATATACTCATGTGTGTGGGGGGCAATCACTTTACAGCTAATATCCACTTATGAGTTGTACATACCATATTTGTCTTTCTGGATCTGGGTTACCTCACTCAGGATGATTTTTGCTAGTTCCATCCATTTACGTCACTTTGTAGAAAGTTTTCCCTTACAACTAACCTGGAATCCAGAGATGAATTTATCTATATCCATGAATAGTCTATGCGTGATTCTGACCTGCAAGTTAAGAGGGACTCAAGTTGTTCCATTGCCTTGTAATAGCAAACAAGGCCTTAGATCAATTTTGTCTTGGGAAGAGAATGTATATGAACTGGTAACAGGTGAATCCAATTTTGGTGTCCTGTATTAGTTTTCTAATAGGCCATGTTAAGAGTGTGTTGGATTTGCTCCCATTTCTCAATCATTCAGGTTGGCTACTTAGCTGTTTTTTAACAAAGCATGTGTTGGTATTCATAGGATGACTATGAAAACATGACATGAAGTAGGACGGATGTGCTTGAGCTTTTGTGTATTATATTTACCCATTAGATACTTATTTATGGTTAATGCAACATAATTACTTAATGGTTCTTGTACTCACTAAGTAGAAAGAAAAACTAGTGAAATTTTGCCTTCTATTAAAGAAGTCTGGAAAAATGCACTGTTTGTATTTCCTTGTAGAATTTCAACAAGTAAATATTACTCCGCCAAAAGTTATTTTGAAGCCAAGACTAAAGCGGAGTAAACGACAGGTATGTGTTTGCAGATGTAAGCCATGGTGTTTAGAACATCCTTTGAGTCTCCACTCAGTGTCGGGGGTGTGGGGGGGTAAGGACCAGTGTGGCCATGTGTGAGGGTGGGGAAACAGGGCAGGTGACGGTGCAGGGAAGCAGCAGCAGGATGTGTTATTTTACAGGGAGTGGCCAGAAGATGGAGGAAGATGGAGTCCTCATTACCATGGGTCATGAGGTCTCTGCTTGAAGCAAGGTTTCTTGCCTTGCTCAGATATGAACCACATCATGGGGTCTTCTTTGCTATTCCTGACAGGGTTTGAAGCCACAGAATGCCTTTTCCTCACTTGAGCTGCCTTGGATTTAGTATATAAATGAGGATGTAGCTTTAGGAGTGTTCAACCGGACATTGTGGTGATAGCAGCTGTCCTTACGGTACCTATGGCACCTTAAACCACAGGGGCAGGTACTGTTCTGTCACGCGGCTCTCACATCTGAAGATGACTTGCCTTGTGTCACATAGTTGACAAATGGCCTGGAATAAAGATCTGCTGTCAAAGTCAACCCATCACTATCCTGGGAAAAATAAAGCATCCCGCTGCTGCTTCCCTGCACTGTGGAATGAAATAGATGGGGATGAAAGTGAATCTGTTGACGGTTGTGTGAAGTACTCATTTTAAAGAGAGGACAGGGAAATACTCATTACACATGTGCTTGCTCCTCATACACACGTCAGCGTCTAGTCACCTCCCAGGACCCAACCTAGCAATGCTCACATGCCAAGCAAGTGTTCCACCACTGGGCTATATGCACAGCCATTTAGAAACAGAATCCGCTCAAGTTGTGCCATGTGGACTTGAGCTTGCTCTATAGGCGGGCGTCGGACTCGTGCTCTTTTTCCTCTTCAGCCTCCCCGGTAACTGTTACTAAGGCCAGTTCTGGGTGCTCTTCCCTTCCTTTTGTTCTTTGACAGGGTCTCATTCTGTAGCCCAGAGTGGCCTCCAATCTTGAGCACTCACCCTGCCCTCGTCCCCCTAGTGCTGGTATTACAGGCATAGACATCCATGTCTGGTTAAAATAGAATGTAGTTTCAGACAGATGTTTATGTGAATTACAGTTGCCAATATTTGTTGAAAACTTAGCATGTACATGTCCACTGTATAAGAATTTTTAACTCTTTAACTGAAGAATTGGACAGAATGTTAACACTTTTGCTCCTCACGATATCCTTACAAAGAAGTTACTTTTATGATCTGTATTTACTGATAAGGACAGGACACACAAGGCTCAAATAGGATTCTCATATAGAAAATCTGGTCCCAGAAGTGTCTCTATCCACCCCTCAGAAGCCAGTGTGTTCTCCGAGTCACTACCATAAGCTTGAAGTACATTCTTTAGATACAGATACATGAATATCTTGAGTTAAATTAAGGTAAAAATAATTCCTGTAAAGATTTAATTTACAAAATGTTTTATTGTTATGAATTCTGAGTTGAGAGAGTAGAAGAAATATCCTATTAGTCTTGAAGTTCTTTTAGAAGCATCTCAACATCTTGTCATTGGCTAGGAAGGAGAACCTTTCACTTCTTTATGAACTCATGAAATTGAGTAAGTGTGATACTGTGTCCAAATGCAAACCCAGGCATTGAGAAAAATGTTAGGACTCATTGGAAAGTCTTCTAAATTAATTTGGAAGCTACAGTGCGCAAGGAAGATCTTGTTGTCCTAGTAGGACCTTCTTGTTGTGTTTTGTTTTTAAGGATTGTTGTCATTGGGTGCAATTTAGTTTTCCTGCTTAGTTTTTAGATAAAAAATGCAGTCCATTATTATCTGTGAAACTACTGTTGTAAGAGTCTTTTTTTAAAGACTAGAGAATACATTCAGAAAGAGACAAAAATCTATGGGGCTGTATATTTTTAGTTTGTTTAAAATGTAGCACTCAAACATACATGTATTGATTCTGGTTTGATTTGATGGTGTGCCCTTATCACGGAAATAGTCTTGCAAGTGAACAAGATTTACTGGTGGTGGAAGAATCCTCTATTGAAGAATGGCATAAAAGAAAAGTCAGTTTCATAGATCCTGCTAATGACTGTGATGGATGGGCAGAAGGGATGCCTGCCCTGGTGACTTTGCCCATAGTACTGATTGACTGTGGTTTTGAAAGTGAAAGAATTGTTGGGCAGAGAGATGTGTCAGTTAAAGACACTCCAGGACTACTTGGGAACTTCAGTGCTATGCTGACCAGGCCCCTGTAGCTTGTAGGGAATCCTGTGAACCACACCAGAGGAAAGTCATGGCCGCTCCTAGATTTGGAGATGACCCAGAAAAGTCCCAGGCCCTCGCTGTCGGAAGTACTGTTGGCGTTGACCTAACGCAGGAACAATGCTCTGCTTGTGTCGCTTCCACGCTACGGGCAGATCAAGTGTAAAGTGTGTTGATAGAGAAGTGAAGTACGTAAGCGTATGAAGCACATACTGTATTTAATTGTATTCGTGAAAACATTTGGGGTGGGGGTGGGGAACCTAGTAATTTGCTGCAACCCCATGGAAGAAGGGAATAGAGGCAAGAGGACAATTTCAACCTTGACTTTTGTTCTTCATTGATTTTTTTCAAACCATACACATGTTTTATCTACTCAAAAACTAAGAAAACTGAGGAGCATTTAAAAGTTAATGCTGAAGTAAAAAGGCAAATTTTGTTTAATTGATTTCTCCCATGCTTTTAGTTTTTGCAGCTAACTTTAGATGTTTATTCTTGTTTCTTTTCTTTTTTTTTTCACTGTGTTACAGCTTCTTCGATTTCCCCGTAATGTAGAGGAGGAGACCAAATACATCGAGCTGATGATTGTGAATGATCATCTCATGGTAAATTTGCCTCCCCTCTCTTTCTGTCCTTCTTGCTCCTGGCTATTGTGTAAAAAGTATGTTAGAAGAAACAAAAACCTCATGAAGTTGTGACTTGGAAAATCCATTTGTGTAAACGAGTGCGTACATACACACACACACACACACACACCCCACTTTTGGAAGCTCTCAGACACCTTTGCTAGGGTTTAATATAAAAGCACCCAAGGCAGACAATCTCTGAGTATTGGCGACTGCCCACTGTGCCACCTATACAGAGCTCTGCCACCCTCAGCAAGCAGCCACACAGAGGAGAGGAGCTTTGGAGAAGAGGGGAAGCCCAACCAAGCATACTTTTGACCAGGAACAACTTGTAAATAGAAAACATGCCGAGGTGGAACTAACTAGCAATTGTTTATAAGGGTCCAAAAATACTCCTTTTTTATCTTTATATACTAGCTGTACATAATAATGAGCTTGTTGTGTGTTGATATTTTCCTGTTTCTGTAATGCATTTTGACCATATTCACCTCTTCACTGCCCCCATTATCTTCTCCTGTTACTCCTCTCCCAGTCCCTTCCTTTCTCATGGAGCCCATTTCTACTGTTTTCATGTCTTTTTTTAAACCAATGCATTTCCCTAGGGGTGTTCCCAAGAGCATGGATGAACATTTGTTTCCAGGAGCATGGGCTCCTTGTCTGCAGCTTCCCCTCAGTGCTTGTCATGTGAGGGTGCTACTTGAAAAAGATTGAAATTGGCTTATGTGATAAACCCTTTTAGAGTACCACTGAGGCCAAGCAGACCAAACACGTGACCCACACTGACTCTGAGCCATCTCCTTGTGATTTGAAGCTTAGGGTTTCTTCCTACTCCAGAGCCATGTAGAACTTGTAGAATCTCACGCATGTAGCCACATCTGCACTGACTATCTCTGGTCCTGTCTCACTGCACGTCTTACAGTTCGTAACAGCTTTCAAATGAACATCCCCCAGAATAAACCTGTGCAGCGGATGGAGTGGGTGCTTTTTTAAATATGGGGAGGGCTGAACCCAGAACTTCGTGGGCACCAAGCTTGTATATTATATGCTATTTTCTGGTCCCATGATGAGGAACTTACTGAACTTTGTCTCACACATGAGATAAAGTCATCTTTGCCTTCAGTCTCCAGCTTCCAGACTTCAGGGTAGACAATGCTCTACCCTGAGTTTTTTTGACTGAAAGCTTTAGGAATTTTTCTGGTATTTTGTTTCCTATCCTAAGATGCTTATTTCCTGGTGACTTTGAACACCCTTCCCTGTTGTCTGTCGCTTTCAGTTTAAAAAGCATCGGCTCTCCGTTGTACATACAAATACCTATGCGAAGTCTGTGGTGAACATGGCGGATATGGTAAGCACCAACCCCACTCAGCGTTGCCCCTTATTGCTGGTAGGTGGCTAATAAGGCGTCTATATTCACATTCCTCCAAGTTACACTCAGCCAGGATGACCTCAGAGACCTGGGGACCTTGCCAGCGACTCTATGGACTAATCTGTCTGGGAAGGTGGGCTGGCCAAAGATGTGCCTGCATTTTTTCTTGTGTGTTTCATACCGTAAAAGACAGAGCTTGACCCACACACAGGCTTTAGCAGAGATAGTCATGGTGCACATCTGGACAGCAGTGCATCGATGGTGTGGGAACTGAGCCTCTTCAGAAACACCCAGTACCATGGCCAAGCTCCCAAATAATTCTCTCTGCCCTCTCCTCCACACCCACAGGCTGTGTAGCGGTCACTTCCTTAGAGAACCTTTACTGTTCTGCCTTTTTGTCAGAGAAACTCAGATTTTCATAAATTATTTATCTAGGATGCCAAATGTGGACTTGGGGAAAGCCATACATTGAGCATGTTTGTCGAAAGAAAACCCTGTCTGTGTCTAAAATTTGCTTTGTTCATTGGGTTTTCCTAGGTAAATAGTTTGATACTCTCTCCTTTAAGGGAAGTGCATTCAAATTAGGAAAATCATGATCTCCTTTAATTAAGACAGACATTTCCAGGAACAGAACTTTGGAGTGCTTCATAAACTGACCTTACCACGTGTCTAGCCAATGTGTTCATTTCGTTAATGCCCTAGATCTATAAAGACCAACTTAAGACTAGGATAGTACTGGTTGCCATGGAAACCTGGGCTGCTGACAACAAGTTTGCCATATCTGAGAACCCACTGATCACCCTGCGTGAGTTTATGAAATACAGGAGGGATTTTATCAAAGAGAAGAGTGACGCAGTTCATCTTTTCTCGTATGTAACTTTTAAATTCTTTTACTTTTTCTGGTTCCACGTTGAATGCTCTCTCTTACTTCTGACTGCAATAACACAATTATTATGTGATATGGCTGTGCATTTGGAATGAGTTTTGAAGTATAGGTTATTTGGAATTTTTATGAGGTTTAAGTGACTTAAGTTATTATTTCTTGTCTATTTCATTATTTTCCCAATGTGTAGTCAGATCATTTACTGAGGAAATATACTGTCACATTCATACAGAGAATTCCCACAATTTATTATATTCTTTAAAATCGGCATGTTTTAAATGCCACACTATGGTTTGGGTTCTGAGGTAAGAGCTAAGGAAGTTTCTGGAGTTTCTTATTTACTCTTCTTGTGTTCTTTCCTAAAGTAATACACATATTTGATATAACAGCAAAATATAGTCTGTAGAATTTCAGGACCTTATCTAAAATCAGAGCTATTGAGGACAGTTATGATTAGATGTGAAAGATGTATTTTGGGTGTTATTTTTAATTTTTATCTAATTTCAGATTTAGAGAAAAGATGCCAGAATGCAATAAGAAAATTGCCTGTACACGTTTCACAAATTCAAGACTTGAATTTTTTCTCATTTCCTGTTCAAATGAGAATTGGAGACAGTTTGCATTTCTTACTAAATACTTGAGTCATTCCGTGCTGCAGTCTCTTAGGAATAAAGACATTCTTTTAAATAACACAGTAAACCATTAAAAACAGAATACTTAACACCGTGCGACATCTTTACAAAGTTCATAGTCCATGTTCAGTTCAGTGTTCAGTCTTCAACAGGTGTCTTAATGCTCTCTACAGCTACATTTCTCTTTCAGCATCCAGTGCAATGATGCACAGTATGTTTCGTGTTTATCTCTTCAGCCTTCTTTAAGCTGAAAGATTTCCTCAGCCTTTGCCCATGTTGAACGTGATACTTTTGAAGAGCATCAACTATCTTATTGATGGCTCTTCATTGTAGGAATGTCTGATACGTTATCTAATTATATTTTGGTCATTTATTTTGGGCTAAATCTCTAAAACAGTGATTTTTTTGTATTCTCAGAGAGTATCATATCTGCAATTGATTTTTCATAGATGTATTTCCATATAAGATATATATTGATCATGTGGGGAAGCAGCCCTCAGAAACCTTTTCCTTTGATCATGTGTGTAAATTACTTTCATATCCCTTCCTTACCTTGGGAATGTAATGTATGTATTGAGAAAATAAATGTGGTAAATTAACTCTGAGAAGATCTTGGGTGTGTGAACTGTGAACAGTAAGCATTTTTCATTTCCTTTTCTAAAAGGGGAAGTCAATTTGAGAGTAGCCGGAGCGGCGCAGCTTATATTGGTGGGATTTGCTCGCTGCTGAGAGGAGGAGGCGTGAATGAAGTAGGTGTGAACATCTGTGCAATACAAAGTGGTATGATGGCTGAAAATGTTTTCTTAATACTTCAGAAGTAATTTCTCAGTGGTCCACAGTCTTCAGCTGCTAGACTCCTTTACTAGTCATCAATATAGTTCCTGTGTGTGCCCAGACAACAGAATAGGAAAGAATAAAATATACTGCCTGATGATTGTGCTCATGTTCTACATAGACTAATTTCCAGATTAAGCAGTTCCTATAGAGAGAATCTGTACACTAAACTTCATTGAAAATAAGAATAGAGCCCAAGTGTTTATATTATTGAATGAGGATTTTTCCAGATTTGAGTAGTCCCTGAAGCACTGGATTGCCACCTAGCAAACCTGTTGGATGTGTTCTTCTTTGATCAGAATTTGACAAATTTGGGGAGAATGAAAGTGTATAGAAGGGTTTCCTGGAGAAGGTTTACTCATAACACACTGAACTTAATGGAAACAAAGTAAAGGAAAATGCTTCAATCTTTGGAGGCCACAGATTCCGTTGGCTATAGACCATCATTACATTTGCTAAAGCTGCTTTCTATTCCACTCGAGAAGAAAAGTAGTGCCAGATAATTTGACACAGTTTTATTATGTGCCATTCAAAGACTAGCTTAGTAATGTACAGTTATTAGGTTTTTCAGGGATGTTATCAGGTGAAATTTGGATTCATAATTGCGTTTACTTAAATTTCCAAACTACAAAATGAATGGTTCTCTGTCTTGCGGTATTTCTTCTAAGACTTAATCATGTATGGATTTGTTTCCTACTACTTCATCCCAATTGTGTGTTCAGTACTAGCTACAGGATGCTTAGACTCGACTAAGGAAAATATTTAGGGCATGGTAATGCATGCCTATAATCCCAGCAACAAGGAGACTGAGGCAGGTAGATCACCATGAGTTAGAGGTAAGCCTAGGCAACATAGAGAGGCCTTGTCTCCAACACATCACACACAAAAAAGGAAAGAAAATGCTTAGAAATGATTTGTTTTCAGTTGTTCCCTCCCATTTTCTCTGACCTATCTTCAATTGAAAACAGTGTTCACTTACATTTATTTTGGTTTTGTTTTTCAGTTTGGAAAAACCGATTTGATGGCAGTTACACTTGCTCAGTCGTTAGCCCACAATATTGGTATAATCTCAGACAAGAGAAAATTAGCAAGTGGTAAGTTTTGGTCCTGTGTGACTTAGTTGAATTTATTAATTATTATTATAGACAGCCTGTTAAATATTTTGTAGAATGAGATTCTTTTTAATTCAGTTGCTTGATCAGGATTGTGGGGAGTAGAGCAAAATATGCAAACTAGTGATAAAATGTTGCTTTCAAAAGCAATAAAGAGAATATGAACATCATATGTGAAAAATTCTCCATGTTTAAAGAACAGTGAAACTGTGTGATGATAAGGTCAGAGCTGGATTTAAGCCAAAAAGGGACAAAGATGGCTCATTTTGGAAATGTGAAAGTTTCTTGTGGAGAATTCTAGGTTGTTTGGGGCTCAGACTATTGTATTATAGTTTGCTTAATATGCCCTGAGACACAGAACTTCCTTGTTGAGACCAGACCTGATGAAGGGCCTAGGAAAATGTAGATCAACTAAAGTTTGCTAGCCTTAGCATCTATGAAGAATTTTTTTCCAAAGCAGGTAAAGGTACTTCTCTGTGAATGTTCTTATACTGTGTATTTGTGGTAACAATTTCATTTTAATTGTTTATTTATTTCACTATTTTAGCAACAAATACCTGTAATAAGAATACCATTTATGGAGCCCTATTTTTTTTTCCTGGATGATCAAATGCCGTACTACATGTATCCACCTTCTCATCTGAGTTTCAAAATGATCCTACAGGATGCTTATTCTCAATACTACTTTACAGATGAAGTGGCTAGGTCATGAAAGGATATTGTCTGCAGGATTAAACATGTATTATGTGACAAATTAGGATTTTCAAACCAGGGAGTCTCTGATTCTGGGGACTTGTGCTTAATCAATCAGAATTCTCTACCACTTTCTACCAGAGGCCTCAGCACTGAGGATTTTACAAGTGGAAAAACCCTGCAATATTTCCCCTCAAAGCTACTGAAGCCAGGAATCCTAGTGAGGCGCCATTACGGTTTTGCTGGGGTTTTGGTATTTGATTGTCTTTCATGTAGCTATTTAAAGTGAGTGGTTTGAAAATATGGCCATTTGTGAAGCATTGGGGCAATGTATATGACCCCATGGGGTCAAACTCATTTTGTTTTGTATACATTGCAGCCAAAAGCTTTTAGTGTAAGCAGAACTTGAAATAAGCCTTTAAAAACCATTTTGAACGCAGACCTAAGATAAAATAAAAGCTACTTCAGTGCACTGAATGCAGTTTGTAACAGGCTGTGCATTCATTTTCTCTTAGGAGAGTGTAAATGTGAGGACACGTGGTCTGGCTGTGTCATGGGAGACACCGGGTGAGTCACTTCTACGTCACCTTCCTGGGAGTGGGACACGCTGTCACTTAGTGCATGGACTGCACTGCAGGCACCTAGGAGAAACGTCAAAAATAAATATTCCCGATGGCCTTGCATTCAAAATATTTTTACAAAATAACCTCTTATTTAAGACAAAACTCCTTGAAGTTAATGAGCAGACCCGAGGAACGTTTTCAGTTTTAGGTCTACGCTAGAATGAGGTAATGAGGTTGACAGTTTTCTTCTTTTGTTAGGTTTGTTTACTAAATCCCTTTTATTTATCTCCTTCAGTACAACTGCTAAATTGACCCTCAAAATGAAACAACAAAAAAATCGCAGCCTGTATTTGTAGCTCTCTCGACTCCATGTTGATGATGGTCTGGTGGCTTCATAGTTCAGTGTCACTGAACACAGAGTTGGGAAGAACACAAGATTTTCATTTTTATACTATCCGGTCTTCACACAGTCAGACTTCAATTCTTGTCTTTTTTTATTAATAAATTGCTAGAACTATTCCTTTCAATCCAGACTTATCACTCTGCCCTCCTTTAGAGTTTGTTTTTCTTGCTATTATTATTCACTGCCATTCCACACACTCAGGCTTCTTTCCGGCTTTCTGTTTTACCTCCTGCTTCCAGCAGCCTCAAAGGCTATAGAGAAGAAAACGGTACACACTCGTGTCTCAGCTTTCAAAAGGGAGACACTGACTGTGTTTCCCTTATCACCCCCATCCTCAACAAGGCAGCCACCTTTGATTTTGGTTGTTATTCACAGGTCCTTTGTAATACTTTCAGAATTTACGTATGTATATATGTAAGGTAGCATTGCTTCACATGCTTATGATTCATGAGATGTCTCATAACATGTTTTCATGTCTTTTGCTCTCTTGGATAACATTATACTTGTAAGATTAATCCATGCCATCAATTTGTAACATTTGTTTACTAAATACCAATGTGCCACCCAGAACTTTTGCGAATCACAACTGTCTGAAGAATAAAAGTTTGCCAGGTGTGGTAGCACACACCTGTAACCCCAAAACTTGGAAGGTGGAGGCAGGAGGATCAGGAGTTAAAGGTCATCTCCTGCTGTATTGTGAGTTGGATGCCAGCTAACTATACATGGGGCTGTCTCAAAAAACAAGTGAAAAAGAATAAGGTTCAAATTTCTTACTTCATTGTTTAGATGGTTTATATATCCATATATTTATTCTCATTTACCATATCATTTCCCAGTATTTGTTGTTTTCTTATTATAATTGGTTGTGGGTTCTAGCATTTTTGATTTGCTAAGCATAATCCTACATGGATTTTTAGCTTCCCCAAATTTACTTATTATGATTATATTTGAACTTCCATCTTCTTTTTGTTTCCTGAATAACTTGTTTTTCTTTGGAATGCTTTCCCCTGTTTTCTCTATCCAGTCACATTTCTAGCCATCTTTGAGGTTTATCATGATTTTAACCCATGCGTGATAATTTTTGTGTGTGGTGTACATATGTGTAGGTGTATGCTGGTGTTCATGCCCAAGTGTACATGAGAATGTGGAGACCAGAGGTCCCCAGGGGGTGTCTGTCTCCCTCTATTGCACTTTGCCCTCTTTTTTGAGACAGGCTTTCTTGTTGAACCTGTAGCTCATCAATAGGCTGGCCAGTTACTCTCCTCCAGGGATCTACCGTATAGCCCCTGGTGCTGGAGGTACAGATGGATGCTGCTGGGCTCAGCTTTTGCATGAGTGCTAGTGATCCACACTTAGGTCTTCCTGCATCTACAGCAGGCACTTTTACCACCTCAGCCCTCACCCCAGTGCTCTCTGCATTATAATTTAAGTCTGTATATATGCATTATTCCTCTCAACGTTTAGTCATGCATGCTTGAAGAATTATATTTCTACTAATTTTTATTTCATACCTCCTTAAATAGACTTGATATTAAGTAAATATTTATTGATTCTGTTTGAATTTTGAATTCTAAGGATAATAAGGACAATAAGTGATGGGAGGAAGTATGCATACAAACATGTTTATAAAGTATTTAAAATTTGTTCATTGTATATTTTGTTCATTAAGAATGAATTTTGTAATTGTAATTTTCTAGTTATTATTGTATTTCATGTTATGGATCTTTTTCATTAGGAGTTTTATTTAAGATAGGCCAGGTGTGGTAGCACATACCTTCAATCTCAGCACTTGGGAGGCAGAGGAAGGTAGACTTTTGTGAATTGGAAGCCATCCTGGTCTACATGGTGAGTTTCAGGCCACCCAGAACTAAGTAGTGTGACCCTGTCTCAATATTTGTATTTAATATATCTGATTATTTTTGGTTAGTGACATTAAATTTGTATAGACAATTCCTATATTGTGAAGGATAATTATAGAGAAATCAAATAGTCACTTTAAGATACACACACACACACACACACACACACACACACACACATATATATACACACACATATATATGCCCTTGAAATTCTCCATCCATTAAATTTATAAGCTCAAGAGAACACCCCTTTGTGTAAGCGTTATCTGCCCTGGTTCTCTTTAGTCTGAGCCCTCCTCAGCATCACCTGTGTACTCCATAGGTACATGCCCTCATTGCTTCCTGAAGTTCATTGGCATTGCTAATGTTGGAGACACGGTTGAAATCGATACCATCAGGTAACTTAAGGATATGTTGAATGCAATTCATACATTACCCTGCAAAATGGAGGGCAAACTTCTGTGACCTACACACTTCAACTGTTAATATATAGAACAGATCTACTGTTGAAATGTGGAAGATTGGTTTCCCATCACCACTGAGGGCTGAGAAATGTTTCAGGTTTCCTGTTTTACAGTGTTCAGGATTCCAGGCTAGGCTGTGACCCTAGTGAGTACATTTGCAGGACTAACGTCACAACAGATTGTTTTCCACCCTGAGAGAGGGTCTCATGTATCCCAGGCTGGCTTTGAATTCATCATCCTCTGCCTCTACTCCTTGAGGGCTGGGATTTGAAGCATGCGCTGCTATGGCCAACTTCTAACAGGACTTTGGTGTCTAAGGCTGAGTTGGGAGCTGATTCAGCTTGAACAGTAGAAGAAATAGGGAACCTGGAGAGAGACCTACTTATAATGGGCTACCTGGCAGAGACCTGTAGGAAGGACTAGAAGGGAAGGTGGCAAGAACACCTGTTGGGGAGTAACAGATGAAGAAACTCTTCACCTTAAAGATAGTTTGTCTTTATAGGAAAAGGGAGTGAAGGGATTAAAAAGGTTTAGATGACTTATACACATTACAGCTTTATTTGGGGAGTATTTTAGTAAAAAAATAAAATTAGTTTCAGCATATAATAATGAATTATATTAATTAATTTTTGAAATATTAACTGCTATGCTACAAAGAATCAGTGCTATGGTTAGAAATAAGTCCTTGAAAGCTGGGGAGAGAAACTTTAACATGCGTTCACTGTCCAGGCACAGTGGGGCACCTCTCATCCTGTCACTGGCGAGATGGAGATAAAATTGTCAGTTCAAGCCAGTGTGGAGTGTATCATAAGATCCTTCTCAAGAAAACAAAATAAGTAAATGCTATTCATTATTATCTTGTTTTTCCCTTTTAAATAAAATTTCAAGATAAGACAGTTTTTGAAAATTTATAAATGAAGTTGACATTTTCTTTCTCCAGTGGTAGTCATAGTTAATTTTAAAATTTAACTACATTTTAATTATTATTTTTAATTTCCATTTTTATTGTTTTATAAACTTTGGCTCCTACTAGATATATAAATATTCATTTTTCAGTTAACACTGAGTAGCCATCATTTCTGTTCTTCAACTGTGACTATTATTAACTCTGTGCTATTCCGTTGTAACCACCTGTCAGTTTGGTTAGCTGTTCTCTTATGAGTCAACATCTGAGTTACTTCCGTGTTCTTTTCTGTTATACACTATGCTGCTGTAAATGTTTGTACATAAACCTCTGGGCACATAGCTAGCTGTTTTTGTAAGGAAAAAAATCTAAACCCAAGAATTACTGATCCAAAGGTATGTTTATTTTGAGGGTTCTTACTATATAGTGCTAAATTTTTATCTCACCACATTTCTTTTTTCCTCTGGACCATTTATCACTTCTTTCTGTTACATAATTTAAAACAATTTCAAACTTTAGAAAAAGTCATAAGATTAGTAAGAAAAGATCCCATTGGTACCCTGAATCAAAAACTAGTTGCTAGTTTGGTGTTTGGTCACCCTCAAACCCGTTGGGTGTATTACCTATAACAGGAACCCTCCAACTAGCCAGAAAAGAGCCAGGAAAATTGTGCAGATCCCCACATTCAGGACTGACCCATAAATCAGAAATGTTATTTATAGCTGAAGCTTCATGTAGCTGGAAGGCTTTTTCTGGGTCCACCCGGCCCCGCGGTCCCACAGCCGCTTATAAAATAATTCCTCAGAGGCTTAATATTATTTACAAACTGTATGGTCTATGGCAGGCCTCTTTCTAGCTAACTCATATTTTAAATTAACCCATTTCTATTAATCTGTGTTTTGCCATGTGTTCCGTGGCTTACCAGTCTGCTGGCATCTTGCTTCTCCTGGTGGCGGCTTGCAGTGTATCTCTAGACTCCGTCCGCCTTTCTCCTTCCTGTCTCTCCCCTTAGATTTCCCACCTGCCTCTAACCTGACTCACCACAGGCCAGAGCAGCTTCTTTATTAATCAATTATAGCAACACATATTCACACTGCACAGAAAGACATCCCCCAGCAGCTCCAGAATGCTGCATCCTATTAGGCTTCCTTTCTTTACATACCTTCAGACTTTCTTTAAATCCCTTAGATTTTCTTCAGCTTTCATGGCCTGGCACATAGTATAAATTATAGGCAGTTATGTTATAGATTCTCTGATCATTGCGGTGTAGCTAGTTGTATATTATTCACTCATTATGGAATAAAGGTTTATTGTCTTTGATGTAAATTATAAGTGCTGCATATATATCTATCTTTTAGTTCATATGCAAATAAATGAGCAACCAATAGCCACTACATATCCCTGAATGAAAAGTTTAGAAATATAATGGTTGACTAAATGTATAATTTTAATACTGTTCTAATTTAAGACTAGCAAATAAACAAGGAACACTAACACTGTACTGAGGCATTCACTTTCTGTTCTCCTACAGCTATTATCTCCCTAAAAAGTTCACTCAATGCAATATTGAGGAGTATCATGACTTCTTGAATAGTGGTGGTGGTGCCTGCCTGTTCAACAAACCTTCTAAGGTAATAAGTGTGGGCAAGACTTATTTATGAATCATTGCACACTTTCATAAACACCAATTTTCGTGCACTGAGTCTACAGTTTGATCTGACGAGCTTCTTTTTAGGTAGGTTACATGTCTTCATTTCGGGGTCAGCTTTAATCTGGGAGATGCTGGACTATTTCTGATTGTATAGCTAGCAGGCAGAAATGAGTAGGGGTTCTGTTTGGTCTCCTTTCACCCTTCCTAGTTACAAAAGTATGGGCTTATATTTTCATTCTGTAATGGGAAAACTTTGGTTAGCTTCTAAATGAATACCACACAGCTTGCTGATAGTAATTACTGTGCACTAATGCTACACATCACCATAGGATAAGTTATATTCAGAAGACAAAAAATGATGGAAGTTTAAATAGGCTTAAAAACCTCCTCTCGATTAGGTCAAAATGCTTTAATTATGGGAGCTCTTACTGCCGTTCTTTGTGAATCCGTGCTCATGGCTATAGTCATGGTTTATATGGAACAGGTCAGTGGGCATCGTAATTTTGTGATCACCTTCTCATCTCAAGTAACTTTGTTCAAGAAGCAGAGTCAGAGCCTGGGAGGCCATGCCTGCAGTTTCAGCACTCTGGAAGCTAAGCTAGGAGGAACACAGTGAGGCCAAGGCCAGCTAGAGCTACACATAAGACCTTGTCTTAAAAAAGACAAAGAAGAAAGGGAGCTGCAGTCTGAAATGTCAGTATGAGACCCATGTCACCGTATGCTAAACAAGGCTAATTTAAAAAACAGGAAACAAAGGAAGGCCTGGGGAGATGGCTCAGCTGTTAAGAACACATGCGAGTCACCTGTTGCTCTCATTGTGTGGCTCACACCTTCCACACCTCCAGGGGATCCTGTGTGTCTGGCCTCTGAAGGCACCTGCAGTCATGTGCATCACACACACACACACACACACACACACACACACACACACACACACACACACACGAGAGAGAGAGAGAGAGAGAGAGAGAGAGAGAGAGAGAGAGAGAGAATTAAATCTTAAAAGAGGAAATGAAAATACCCCTCCTTAGTATAGATACAAAAGTGTTCCTTTTAAAGATTTATTTTTTAATTTTATTTTTAAGAGTGTTTGCTTGCTTATATGTTTATGAACCACATGCATGCCTGGTGTCCGAAGAGTCCAGAAAGATTTGAAATTGCTATAACTACAGTTACAGATAATTGTGAGCTGTCATTTGAGTGCTAGGAAATGGACCTGGCTCCTCTACAAGAGCAACAAGTGCTTTTAGCCACTGAGTCCTCGCTCTAGATCTACAAAAATTATTCTTAACAGAGTATTAGTAAATTGAAAAATATAATAATGGGATTTTTCACAAGTGATTAGACTTGATCCTCATGATGATTTTAGACAGCTAGTAAGTTAGACGGACAGCTTATATTACTGTTCGTGTTTAAGAACAGTAAAGTCTCCACTGTGCTGCTTGTGGGAAGGTTTTACTTTTTGTGTCTTCTTCCATTGTGCTGTGTTGAATTGTGTTGTGTTGTATTTTATTACTGGCTATTGAATTCAGCACCTCCCACATATCAAATGTGTTGTGGTGTTAAGTACTACCCTACTCTGTACTAAGATTTTAATCTAGGCTTCCTGACTCCACATTTCCTGCTTTCTCACCAAAATGGATTTTCAGATGTCAAACTCTCTTGGTTTTCCTCAGTGGTTAGATCATCTATTTGGTGACATTTACCAGACGCCACTTGGTATGCATATTATATAATATAAATATATAGTGCTATGTCTGAATATTAGAAACCAAAATTTATCTGAAGTTCCAAGTTTTAAAGTTGTTCTTTTTACTTTAAGGTGAATAAAAAATATAGTTAGAGCAGACCGCATATACACAGGGTATGTTGCTGTGGCATCAGCCCTCCGGGTCTTTGATGTTTCTGTATTTCAGCCCGTTCTTGGTGTTCTTCCCACAGCTTCTCGATCCTCCTGAGTGTGGAAATGGCTTCATTGAAACTGGAGAGGAGTGTGATTGTGGCACCACTGCGGTAAGTCCCCTGTCATTTTGAAGACTGGTTTTAGGCAGCTGGGGTCATTCTAGCTGTATGCACTTGTGATAATACTGAGCATTATATCTAGAAATTTTGTAGGATTTGTGGGTGAATGATTGTCATTGTGAGTTTGAACATTTACTTTAAAAAATATCTTGGTATTTTTGGAAAATGACATTTTCTAGTGTTTTGCAACTCTTTTTATTCCTTAGGAATGTGCCCTTGAAGGAGCAGAGTGTTGTAAGAAATGCACCTTGACTCAGGACTCTCAATGCAGTGATGGCCTTTGTTGCAAAAAATGCAAGGTAAATAATTGGCCAATTAGTGGCCAAAGGTTGAAAGGGAGACATATGCATAAGCTGTTTAGTCTAATGCATAAGCTGTTTAGTATGCATAACCTAATAACACAATCTGACACTGAGCAACAGACTAAATTCCTAGTGGCCACATGATCCCCCTGAAGCCTCCTGAAGTGTGGCTTTTGTTAGCATTCTCATGTAATAGTAATTTACCCAGTGTCTTAAACCAGCCAGTCAGAGAGCTGGAGCCTGAACCCTGCTGTTCTCAGAGTTCTTCCTCCCCATCCTGACTCCCTAGGTGCAGGCTTGTTGTTCAGCGTTCTATGGCCCCACATTGGAATGCCAAAATGTTGTTTGTTTTTCACTCGTATTATTCTTTTTGGCTTTTTGTTCTTTGGTCTTTTGGGGCCCTGCCACCCAGCTCCCAAATAAATCACACATGGAGACTTATTATTATTTATAAATGCCCAGCCTTAGCTTGGCTTGTTTCTTGACAGCCTTTCTTAACTTTAAATTATCCTGTCTACCGTTTGCCTCTGGACTTTTATCTTTCTCTTACTTCCATATATCTTACTTTCACTCTTACTCCATAGCTGGCTATATAGCTGGGTGGCTGGCCCCTGATGTCCTCCTCCTTCTCTGGCTACTTCTTCTTTCACTCCTTCTTTGATCTTTTTCTTCCAGAGTTCTCTTTCTATTTATTCTCTCTGCCTGCCAGCCCCACCTATCCTTTCTTGTGCTATTGGCTGTCCAACTCTTTATTAGACCATCAGGTGTTTTAGACAGGCATAGTAACACAGCTTTACAGAGTTAAACAAATGCAACATAAAAGAATGTAACATATCTTTGCATTAAACAAACGTTCCACAGCATAAACAAATGTAACACATCTTAGCATGATATTCCACAACACAGGCTCCTTAAAGATAACAAGGTATTAACTGATCTTAGGTTAGAAGATGTTCATTATACTCTTCCTTTCTTGCTGTGTATCTTGGTGCATCATTCAGCTTTAGCCACTCAGGGAGCAAGAGGAATGCTGTAGAGAAGATGAGGCCATATTGACATGGAGATGAAAATGAATCTTTATCTCCTATCCTGTTACACCCTCCCCACAGCATCTTCAGACTTACCTCCAAACATTCAAACCTTTGCATCAAGATTAGACATCACTTAGAGCTTCACTTCCCCAAAGAAAAACATTTTTTCTTTTCCTCATACATTGCCTGATAACAATATTCTGTTATTTCTGATATCTGGGACCCATTTATCTCTAGCTTATGCTTTTATGGAGCAGAGCCAGGTGCTTGCAGAATAATTTCTATACATTATAAATGGATAAATGAACATTCATGGTATTTCCAATGAGTATTTGCTGATTGGATCACTTTAATGGGTTAAAGGAAGGTGGCGTATAAAATTGTCATGGTAACTGTCCTCTTTGGGCTAAGAACTTTTGACTTGTATCATCTTAATTCTGGATTTCCTGGCTGGCACCAACATTCTTGTCTGCATAAGAATAAGACATACTGTCTGTAGTCAGGATGTGCCTTCTGCTTTATAGGATGTTAGCAGCATCCTTGGGTTGTACCTATTAGATTCTAGAAGAGTTGCCCCAGTTATGACAACCCAAAATGTCTCCAGATGTTGTGTAGGTGTCTTCTTTGGGGCACACTCACCCCTGCCTGATAGCACAGTCTTAGGCAATACTCACTGGCACATTTTTGGAATAGGCATGGTCATCCTGATTTTGGCAGTTGAGCTCTTCTGATCTAAGGGTGCTAAGGAACCTGCAGAGGCTGGCTCAGAGGAAGGAAGGCACAGCTGCGCTGCTGACATCCAGCTGCGCTGCTGACCCCCAGCCCTGCCAGCAGTGGTTGCTGTTGCTTCCACTCAGTTGCTGTCTCTCTGGCTGCTTTTTGCAGGGTCTCTGAAAGCACTCTCTTCAAGGGAAGGTGAAACCACATGTGACACAGATGCTCTCTTTCTTGGCTCAGGTGCCTGCAAGGCTCTGAGCAGGGAGGGAGGGAGCGGGATCCTGGGCATGTCTCTGAGTGGAGTACAAACACAGAGAAGGACCCAGTCCCCAATATCAACAGTTCTGAGAGGAAAGAGTGAAGCGAGGGAGCTTTGGATAACTTTGCATATCCCTGTTCTGCTTTATATTACAAGGAGTTAAACTGCAGTCTGTAAATCCAATGAGGCTCGAGATTGATTCCACAGCATCACATGCGTAAGAAGTACTTGAGGGATTTGGAAACCAAGAAGCAAAAATGAGCCCATACAACACTTCTCCAGAGGCACTAATAACGGGAAATTAGAGAAGAGTACAAGGCCAAGGTTTAAATATACATAGAGATGAGGCAGGGGGATGGGAAAGAAAGCTTAGGGAAAACAGCTTTGCTGGGAAATAACTGTGATGTGGCCCAAATGTAACTTTAAAATTCTTGGCAGAGAAGGCACGAAGCGGAAGCAAAAGCTGTAAGATAAAAGTTCAATGAGAAAGATGGATAAAGCCCAAATCCAGGCTGCCTGGCAAGAATTGCTGGAGCGTGGGCTGACTCTTTCTTGAAGCTCTGCCCCATTTCAGCAGGGTTTTGTGACAGTCATGTGTGGGGACTATGAAAGTTAATTCACCTATGAGAAACTGTGTCTTGCAATTATTAAAATAGCAATTTGCTCAATAACTGTTTTGTGAAGACTATCTCAAAATAATTTAAGGTGTTCTTTTCCAAACAGTTTTCATTTTGCTTTTTTTTGTTTTGTTTTAAATGAGACTATGAGAGGGTTTTTTTTTTTTTAAATCTTTTCTTTAATCACAGTTTTGCACATTGAGTGATGTTCTTTTCAGTTTCAGCCTCTGGGGACTGTGTGCCGAGAAGCAGTCAATGATTGTGATATCCGTGAAATATGTTCAGGAAATTCAAGCCAGGTAATCCATGCAGTAATTGTTCTACACAGGATAATTACGGGGAAAGTGGGGACGTCTTGGGTGTGTTACAAGAAAAAATGCAAACGGGGCAAGATGCCACTTATCTTTGTGACATCACACCAATCTCTGTGTGTCAGGAGATGGAACCAAGGCCTTGTGCACGCATCCATTAAGATACATGTCGAGCCCTTAGGTTGGCATCACCGTTGGCTAGCATCTTTTTTGATTATTATCTTGGCAAAATCCCACACGACATCACTAAGGAACAAAGAGACAACATAGCGTCCACTTGGCTGTGTTATGATGGACTAAATAAGCCCGGGAAGAAGGGACAAGGCAGGTCACTGATTGTGGACATCCTCTACTGCCCCAGTGACCAGATAACACAAGACCAGGAGAGAAGTTGTTTGTGTTTTATTTAACAAAGCTATAGAAAATGAAATTCATGCATAGCAGAGCAAGGACTGCTCTCATTCTTGTTTGCTGCCAGAGAAGGATTAAGTAGTGATATACCTATAATGGTGAAAATGATTGCTTTTAAAGGATGCAAAGAGATTTTTATGTAAGAGTATTCTCCTTTCTTACTGTGTCATTAGCAGTCTTCTGAGCTAATGCCTCATGGAAACAAGGACACAGCAATTACCACGAAGGCTCCTAGGCATGAGTACACTCTATCAGTGTGATTATAAATAAGCAGGAGTTGTTAAATAGTCTTAAGTCCAGGCCTAACAGAGGCGCTCTGTTGGGTCAGGTTAAACAGGTTAAATAGGGATTGTTCTAGTACCCTGTCACCTTCATTTACTATGCTGCGTCCATTGTAAGTGCTACTGTGAAACCACACATCCGTGGTATACGGAAGTTCATGAGACAAAAGTAAAGGAGCAGGAAGAAGTGTGTCTGCAGATTCGTTTTACTTTCATTCTAAGCATCAGGTTTTAGAGAAAAGGGTAGAGATGAATGTTTAGAAAGCAGAGCTGGCTGCATTGGGTGGGTGCTCTGTCACATCATTTTTCTGCCTCTTACACTGGCCATCTCCCCCAAGAGACCGTATAACGGCATGCTTTTCTCTCCCTGCAGTAATGAACTGTGTACGGGTTGTATCCTCGTCAGAGTACCTTTCAATTCTTAAGTTGCTTCAAGGAAAAACAATGATAAAGTAGAACATTCATTTACAAGGTTAATAGCGGAGATGACTTGAGTCTTTTTTTTTTCCCTCCCTTCAAAATCCTCCCCATTTTTTCTCTTAAAAAACATTTTTTATTTTTATTTTTAAATTTCTCTAGCAAAATACTGAGTCCATAGCAGATTTTGAGATGTACTTCATTTTAGTTGATCTTGTCTGCATCTTCCTGCCCTGCTTTCCTCTACTGTAGCCTCCACTCCCTGCATTTTAAGTGAAAGGCTGGGTTGCTCCTAGTGGCAGGAAGAAGGGAACTCTACTTTGGGGGCCTGTTCCCCACTTTTGTCTTCTCTAAGGAGCAGTGTGTCTGGATGAAGCATGTGTGAGTACATATGTTATCCACCGAGCCATTCTAGTAAGTTCTTTGCTTTTGTGGCTGTATAATAGTTTTTGTCTCCGGTAGATGTCATTTTTAAAGCGATGCTCAGGAACTCTATTTCCTCATACCTTTTTTTAGTCTTCTGCTTTTTATTTAGAGGTAGTTTAAGAGACTAGGTGTATTATCAACTGTGATTTTACTAAATGAGAAGAACATTAGCAGGATTGAATCAGCCTTCTGTTTGGTCTACGTTTGGATGATAGCTTGTTTTTTTCTTCCTAGTGTGCCCCCAATGTACATAAAATGGATGGATATCCCTGTGATGGTACTCAGGTAGGCCACTCACTTTTCCCTAAAATTTCCATGGGTGCCAGCATGAGAGGAATACTGAAATTTTATCTCAATAAGAAGACGAGTTTGAATGGTTCATAATCAATTCAGATGACCACACTCATGGGCTGTATTTCCCAACTGTGTGTTCTTTTGCTGTTGTCTCGTACAGCAGACATTGTTTTTGCTGATGGATATTTGTTTTCTTATTTTAGGGAATTTGCTTTGGAGGAAGGTGTAAAACCAGAGATAGACAATGCAAATACATCTGGGGGCAAAGTAAGTTAAGTCATGTGGCTTGATTGTTTTTCCACAGCGTTGGCACACTCCTTTAAGGACATATGGGGCTGGAAGTAAATTGTTGATACTTAATGACTAGAGGCAGCTTAAAACCACTTCCGGATTGGGTAGGAGCACTTTTCTAGAAATGAGAGAAAGGCACCTTCTTTGAGAAGCAGTGGCCCACGGTTCTTGGCTAGTTGGCAATGCCTGTGGATGAGACAGAAGGTGCCTTTGCTGCCAACCAGGCGAACCCACCTGGTGCACAGCTTGGAGAACAGAGCAGACTTGATTTCAGCCCCTCAGCTGAGTGCCCTTGAGCAAAAGATCCCATATGGCCTTTGTATAGCCATATGGGATGGACATGGTCTCTGGGTAGGGTGTCCTTGCCTTGGACCTAAGAATTTTAACTGAGTTGCTTTTTCCTCCTCTACTATCTTCTTTAAGCTCCAACTGGCTTTTGTAGTTATAGGTGACCTTCTGCTGAGGTAGCTGTCCTGTAAAAGACAAAAATGCTAATGTAATTCTCTTCTAAATCTGTTGAGTTTTAAAGGATAATATATAGCATTTATATTTATCTAAATTTTCATTTAAATGTTGTATTGTATATTTTTTCCCAGAATTTCTAGGCAGTATTTTTGGAAGATGTTTTTCTTCTAAACTCTTTTTCTTCTAACACTTTCAGGCAGAGTATTACTATGTAGCCTAGCCGTGTATCTTGGCCAGTTAGACCTTGAATTTGTAAGCTTCTTGCCTTGGCTTCCCAAGTACTGGAATTACAGGCATGTGTTACCATGTCTAGATTATCCGAAGTTCTTTTGAAAGATGATTTGTACTAGGAAAAACTATAAAATGAATCATAATCCTTAGCTATCAGAAACAGTGGCTGGGCTGGGCGGTGGTGGTGCACGCCTTTAATCCCAGCACTCAGGAGGCACAGCCAGGTGGATCTCTGTGAGTTCGAGGCCAGCCTGGTCTGCAGAGTGAGATCCAGGACAGGCACCAAAACTACACAGAGAAATCCTGTCTTGAAAAACAAACAAACAAACAAACAAACAAAAAAAAACAAAAAAAAAGAAAGAAAAAGAAAAAAAAAGAAAGGAAGGAAGAAAAGAAAAAGAAAAAGAAATAATGGCTGGAATCCTTTATGTAAGGTGTGTTCTCTGAGTCTCTTGAGAAGCATTGAGATGAGGAAAACATTTAGTCATTCCAGTTTGTACTCTATATCATTTTTTGTGGAATTTTTTATGTCAGGGAATACTTTTGGGGATGTGACTCAAGTTTAATCATAAAGTTCATTTGTGTTTTATGTATATATTACATATCCTGAGAATAACTTTATATAATATTTTTGGTATTTTTAATTCACCTGCATTTTTACTGAGACTTCTTATATTAGCTCAGGACGTGGACTTCACTTTTTAAAAATATTTTGTGTGTGTGTGTGTGTGTGTGTGTGTGTGTGTGTGTGTGTGTGTGTGTGTGTGTGTGTGTGTGTGTGTGGTATGCTCATGTATATGTGTGGCTGTGCATGCTTGTGCATCCACAGAAGCCAGAGGAGGACATCAGGTGTCCCACTCCATTATTCTCCACCTTATTCTCTTGAAACAGGCTCTCACTGACCAGGAGCTAATCAGGCAGCCAGCAAGCTTTGGCCATCCTCCTGCCTCTACTGCTCGTAGCTCAAGGGTCATAGGCACATGCAGGTTCACCCTTGGCTTTGTACATGATTTGAACCCAAGTCCTCACACTTGCACAATACGTTCTGTTACTCACTGTGCCATCTCTTCAGCCTAGGTCGTGTCATTTTCTGTGCGTGAATCTTGTTAGCTCTTGAAAGGTCTTAGAACACGAAGCATTTCAGATTTTGGACTAGCAATACTTAACTTGTATCGCCAACTGACATTTGATTAGCTTACAAAAGTCTTTATTAGTTTTTGGTTGGTTGGTTTTTGTTGTTTCTTTTTCTCCATTTCAAATAGGATCTCATGTTGCCAAAACTGGTCTTGAATCTCCTGGGTAATAGAGGATGACCTTGAACTCCTAATCCTCCTGCCTCCATCTCAGGATTCCTGAGATGAGATAACAAGCTTAGCCCACCCTTCCTGGCTGGAAAATTATTTTGTTCTAGCAAGTGACTCTGAGAGCCAGCTCTGGCTTCAGAAAAACCAAAACCTGCAAAGATGATGGAACTACCTTAAAATGGTTTTGCATTTCAGAGATTTAGAATGAATTCGATCTCATCTAAAAGCAAAATAGAAGTTTGTTTGTTTTATAGCAGTTAAAATTCGGTAAGCAAGGTGAAATCATGCTGCTGTTTCTGATTACATAGAACAGCTATTTGAATAACATTGCCCTTTGTAGTAATAAAGTTTCTGATTGAGACTCATGCATTTGGTACTGAGATTAAACTATACATTCAAGGATGGCACCATCCCCTAATTAGTATCCTCAGTCTGTAGCCCAACTCCCCTCAAAGATCTATGTACACTGGTTTTCCTGTTTCCAATAAGGTTTCATGGAAGATACACCCAAGCCATGTCTGTGATGTAGTACAACTTTTGTAAGTGATGGTGCAATTCTTGTTCCTGTCATTGATAACACTGTAGTAAACAAGTCCTTAAACTGTAGCTCCCCTCGCTGCAAACCTGTGAACAGCTCCTGAGTTTCCTCCATCACTGATGGGAAATTCTGTTCTGCTCCAGAGGTCACGGCATCTGACAAGTACTGCTATGAGAAGCTGAACATCGAGGGCACTGAGAAGGGTAACTGTGGAAAAGACAAAGACACCTGGATACAGTGCAACAAACGGTGAATGCTGATGTTAATCCAGACTGCATCCATCATCCCATTTACAAGCATAAATTCCAAGTGGGATGTAAAACATGCTATCTTGTCTGTTCTCTTCATCTTTCCCCAGCATCACAAATGACCCCAATTCTTGACATGCACCTGCACCTCTTTCTTAGGGTTCAGGTTATCCTTGTAGTTGCTAAACTTTCTCACCTAGATAGGACCTCTCAGCATCTTAAGATTGAGGAAAATTAACTCCATTATCACCAATGCTGTTGAGTGAATTAGCTAGCTCTTTCCTTTCTAAACTACCTCTTGTCTTTGCTAAATGTCTCAGTGTTTCACTGTTCCAGGTAGATAAGAATAATTGACTCCATCTTTCTGCACATTGTCCAAACATGAATCATGGTGGTTTTTCCCCTTTGTTCCTTACCATTGATGGGAATTTATCCTTTCATTTCCATTGTTAGTGTCATTAGCACAGCTAAGCCCTGTAATTTAACTACTGCAAAAATCCCTGGAGTTTTCTCTGCTGGCATTCTCAAATATACTATTACCAGAATAATCTTCTAAATCCTTTTGAATATGTCAATTCTTTGCTTAAATTTCATTAGTTCCCCATAGCTAATTAATAGAATAGTGCTTATCATATAGTGAAGGTACATTGTGTGCTGAGTAACAAAATAGTGCTTATCATGTAGTGAAGTACTCGGTGTGCTGAGTAACAGAATAGTGCTTATCATGTAGTGAAGTACTCGGTGTGCTGAGTAACAGAATAGTGCTTATCATACAGTGAAGTACTCGGTGCTGAGTAACAGAACAGTGCTTATCATGTAGTGAAGTACACGGTGTGCTGAGTACTTCGTCTCACTTTGATGAGCCTGAGACTTTAACATCATGACAGCATGACAGATGAAGAAACCAAGGCAAAATCGGTGTCTGTGCCCAAGATCCTGTAGCTAGGATTAGAAGGGAATTAGTATCTGGTATTCTGGTATCAGAATGCTCTCTGAATTTTTCTGCTGAAAGTCTCTGGTCTTAATTAACAAATAAAATGGAAACCCAGGTTGGGCACAGTCGTGCAGACCCTTAATCCCAGCACTTGGGAAGCATAGGGAGATGGATCTCTGTGTCTGCAACAGTGAGTTCCAGACCAGGCCTGCATAGTGAGACCCTGTCTCAGAAGGGTGGGGGAGGAGAGCAGGAAGAACCCAGCCAGGCACCTCCGTGATGTGTGCCAAACCACGTTTTTTCTTTTCTCCTTTGTTCCTCCAAATTCTAGCAACCTTACTATTCTTAATACCTCCAGCACCCTGCCCTGTGTTAATGTGTTTGTTTGAGCTATTCATTCCTTAGAAGTAGTCTTTACATCTACACCAACACCAGTGAGAAATTCATCCATTTTTCAAGGCCCGTTTGGGAAAACTTTCTGTATAAATTATCTCCTGATTGGCTCTCCTAATTCCCTTCTGAACTCTCACAGGCACAGACCTCGTGCTATTCTCATGGCCCTGGCCCTCAGCTCTTTATTTTGGACATGCTTATGCATGTGTTGTGTCTTCTCACACAATGGAGTTCCCTTGAAGATAAACATCATGTACCGATTTTGGTATAGAGTCTAAATTACAAACATTAGTTCTCATGAATAAAACTAAAAAGACTTAAAAATTTCTTCTAAAATTTTGTTTATAAGATATAAATATATTTAAAATATAATTTTATATTTGCATATATTTCAATGTTTAAAATGCTTTTAAACAATAAATTAATACCTTTTATATATTATACATATATAATTTATACATTATATGTAATTATAAATAAATTAATACCTTTATATATTAGTGATAAATATAGGTCCCCACTTTTCCCTGTTATCCATTATATAAAGTCTGATATTTCCATATGTGATTTTGCTGCTATGTTAATCAGGTTTTGGTTGTGGTTGTTGATTGCTTTGTTTTTTGACACAGGGTTTCTCTATGTGTAGACCAGGCTGGCCTCAAACTCACAAATCCATCTGTCTATGCCTCCCAAGTGCTAGGATTAAAAGGATGTGCCACCACTATCTGGCTTAATGTTTATACGATTTTTATTTAGATATATTATCATTATTGATAACTAAAATGTGTGTTAAAAGAATATATAAAGCAGTATTTTAATCCCAGCAGCTTATCTGTTAATTTCTAAATACCATGATGTGTTTAGAAGGGTAGTGAGGCTATGTGGCTAGGAGTCTATGTGAGCAGTAGATCTCTCCTCTTGGGCTTGGGGAGACAGGTTGCAGAAGCAGCTGTATTTCTCATGCAAAGTTCACTCACTCACCCAACACTAAACAAGTTTATCATGTCCAGCAGTACACTGTATGGAAATCATTCTGATAAAAATGTGTATTTGATAGATAATTTTCTTTAAACAAATATTGAGCTGATAGGCATAAGAGACAAGCTGGGAAGTTATTAGGATTTTGCGTCACCAGTTGGAGTTTTGAGAAGTCCGTTTTGAGAGCAGTAGGCAATTGGCATGAGCTTGTTTTACTTTGCTTAGCATACATATAACTAATGTAGCTGATGGATAATAAATACTAATAAGAGAGAAGACATTACTCCAAAAAATACAAATTTACTTTTGTCTTTGGGGAAGAGATCAAGTCAATAATTGTACTCTTTTAACACAGGGATGTGCTTTGTGGTTACCTTTTATGCACCAATATTGGCAATATCCCAAGGCTTGGAGAACTCGATGGTGAAATCACATCTACATTAGTTGTGCAGCAAGGAAGAACATTAAACTGCAGGTAATTATCTGACCATTCTGTGACCGAATTAATAACTTTAATTCCTGAGAACACAGCTTGGACCTGCTGCTCTCTCCAGTTTTGTGCAAGTTCATAGTGGGGACGTGAATCTAGTTCATAAAGGTGACTGAGTAAATCCTAAAGAAAAGAAACGAGAAGTAGTTAAGAACGATGTGTGTAGACTGTTATGTCGTGGCTGGAAGTATGTTCAGTTGCTCAGTAAAATCCTCCAGGTCTTGGCTTCCTTTTCCTTTTTTTTTTTTTTCTGGTTTTTCGAGACAGGGTTTCTCTGTGTAGCTTTGCACCTGTCCTGGATCTCACTCTGTAGACCAGGCTGGCCTCGAACTCACAGAGATCCGCCTGCCTCTGCCTCCCGAGTGCTGGGATTAAAGGCGTGCGCCACCGCCGCCCAGCTATAACTGCTCATTTTTGTTTCTTCCTGAAGTCCCACAAAATCAAATTTCCTTTGGAAGGTTTATATCTGCAGGAAAGCACAGAAGTGGAGCAGAGGCAGTGACAATCTGTGTCTGGAATATGTGCATTTAAATGGCTGTGTGGCTTACTCTTAGAGGAGGCTTTTGAGAAAGTTGGATTTGTAGGTCAGTAAGAGGGAAGGCTGACACCCAGCCAAAGATGTCTTCTAATGTCTCCAAAACTGGCAGCATGATCTGCTGTTGAAGGAGAGATTAGATGAATTTCAAGGAAGATTTTCAGATAAAAGAGGCAACGTGGAAGTTTGGGGAAAGAGAGAGAAAGAAAAAAGGGGACTCAGTCACAAAGGGGCCAGTGTACCCTTCCATTGGAGACTCAAGATTTGTCTCCATAGAGAATAAAAGAGAATGTTCAAGGGTTGATATCAGGGTCATGTGGAAGTGGTTCAGCCTTGGGGAATGCTCACTGAGAATGCTCTGGAAGGTCCAGTCATCTGTGTGGTCATTACTGACAGGCATGCAAAAAAAAAAAAAAGTCTCTAACATGAAAAACCAGAGTAAACAGAAAACCCCAAGACTTTTTATCATGAAATAAAAAAAAAGTTCTACTTCAATCAAATAGACCATGGAAGAAAAAGATTCTTTTGGATTAAAATACAACAGCAGAAGTGAAGCTTAGTAGTTAAATTGTCTCCCTAGAAGAAGGGCAACAACAAAGAAAAGAAACTATCTTCCTTTCTGTCTTTCTGTCTGTCCGTCTGTCCGTCCATCCATCCATCCATCCATCCATCCATCCATCCATCCATCCATCCATCCATCCATCCATACATCCATCCATCCATCCATCTATCTATCTATCTACCTAACTATCTATCTATCCATCTATCTTTTATTGCTTCTGTTTTCCTGGGAACCTTAACCAACCTTAACCTTGACCAATATATATTTACAAATATTAAAAAAAAGCAAACTTGGTTTTTACCTAAAAAAGAAAGAAATAGAACAACGAGGATGAACTCCCCAACTAGAACCGACATAAAGAAGACCAGAGAGATAGTAAGGAGGAAGTTGTCAACCAATGGCATCAGAGAAAGCTGTAACCTTCATTGTGGAAACTGAGCACTGTGGGGCAGAGAAGAGGCATCACGTTTCCACAGAAGAGGCTCAGGAATTAGGGTGGCTTAAGGTTTGGCACCAGGAGCCCAGGAATCAGAAGACACTTGGACAGTTATTTATAAATTAAAATTTTGTAGCAGGCCCAAGCCAGGGCTCCTGGAACACATCTCTAATCCCAGCACTCAGAGGCTGAGGCAGGAGCAGGATGGGTTTGAGATGAGCAGGATTATAGAACAAGATGCCATCTTAAAAAAAAATCAGATATACTTTGAGACTAGAAAGTGACATGTTAGCATGCGGATTTCCCCAAAACGTATTCTCCTATACTTCTCTTTAAAAAGTTAATGAAACAATTATACCCCATAAAAGTGAAGATTAAACAAAGTGAGAGAAAAACAAGGTGTAGAGGAAGCAGAGCCTTCCCCTGAGAGACGGCATCACATAGAGGCTGATGGTGGGAGGGACCCAGGATTTACAGCTCTGTGCCAGGTACAGCGTAAAATCAGAACAGACAGGAAGGAGCTGGTGGGAACTCTAATAAGAGAGATGTCCCCAGGAAGATGAACTGATGCTCAGCTGCATTTTCAGTGGGATTAATAGCCAGAGAGTTTGGATTAATTTTGTATTCAAGATGGAGATTTTTTATGGATTTTTTTTTACTAGCATTGGCAAGGTATCATATGAAAATATTAGTTACATATATGCACTTTCAACTTGGTTTGTTATTTTATTTAATTCTAAGAGAAAACATGTGAGATGCGCTACTGAGCAGTGACAGCAGTGGTTTAGTCATTCCCCGTAGAATTTGCACATGTTTGGGAATGTGCAATGTTTGGGAGCATTGGAAACCAAACCCACTTCCAATCCTTATTTGAAACACATTTGAAATCTTGATGCCTACATAGTCAACCAATCAGACTTGCTCCAAGTCTCCAAGGAAAAATAATAGAGCTAGCTCAGTTCTGGCCCTTGCTGTATTAATTTTGTTTAAATTCTGTTCAATTTTAAATTAATTTTATATTAAATTAAATTTTGTTTAAATTCGGAGATAATATAATTATCTCTGAAAAGAGTTAGATCCAAAGTTTCTATTACTTTCTACACTTACAAGACACTTCTAGGTGTGATGATGTATACCTATAACCCTGGTGTATGGAAGATGGGGGCCAGAGAACAGAAGTTCTGAACAGCTTTGTTTGCATTAAGACTTTGATGCCAGCCTGGGATACATAAAATCCTATCTCAATGAAACAAAAAACAAGTAATTAAACATCCTTTGACTACTGGTTTTTATGAAAAAAAAAAGAAGACCAGAGAAGGAATATTTCTTTTTAGTTTTATACTTAAGATGAATTGTGAATTAATGGAATCCTCTTTTCTTTTTGCTTCCAATTTATTTTTAGTGGTGGGCATGTTAAGCTTGAAGAAGATGTTGATCTTGGCTACGTGGAAGATGGGACGCCCTGTGGTCCTCAGATGATGTGTTTGGAACATAGGTGTCTTTCTGTGGCTTCCTTCAACTTCAGCACTTGTGTGAGCAATAAAGCAGGCACTGTTTGTTCAGGAAATGGAGTAAGTGCCAGAGCCTCACCTTGGAAACCCATCCATTTCTTTTCTGTTACACAAGTAGATCTAACGCTGTAATAGCTCCTTAATTATGGACAGTGTGATTACCCATGTTTCTGGTTGTCATGTGAACACTAACTTGATCAAAGCTACTTGAATATTTTTGTTGTATAGTTGAGAAAGTCTGGGAATAAGAAAGCTGGTAAATTTTCCTAATCAAATTCTTCTATCTTCCTTTCCTGTGCTAAGAGGATGCCATACAGTGTAATGACAGGTTTTCTGCAAGTGATTTAGGAGATGGATTTTAGCAAACTATAATGGAATTTCTAAATGATTTTTTTTATTATTATTGCTATTTTTTAAAATATCTTGACCACAGTGTCTCCTCCTCCCTTCCCACTCAGTCCCTCCCCCAACCCACTCTGCCCTCCCATCCACTCCTCCTCCATTTCTATTCAGAAAGGGTCAGACCACCCATGGATATCAACAAAACATGGCATATCAAGTTTCAGTAATACCAAGCACCTCCCCTCATATTAAGGTTGGGCAAGGTGATCCAGTATGAGGAAAAGGGTCCCAATAGCTGGCAAAAGAGTCAGAGACAGCCCCTGCTCCCACTGTTAGGAGTCCTGCAAGAAGACTAAGCTACACACTGTAATGTGGGGAGTGAGGAAAGAGAGTGAGGCAGATATTTCACTACTTAGGTCATCTGGGTGCAGCCGAATCAGCACTGACCACAGATAACTGTTGTAGCCACACTGGAGATAATAGCCAAGGTTAAAACTTGGAAATAATGAAGTCTTCAGGGGAAGTGCTGTTCATGGATGAACAGAAGAGTGGTACTTTTGATACTTTAATTCTGTTCTTTCAGAGTTGTGTATTGGCTAGCATAGGGCTTATTTAAGTTGTAAGTCAAACACCAGTCCTCCATGAATGAACCTTCTACGAATATATCCAGTTTTCTTATTTTCATTAGGAATTCCTTACCAGCAGTTTGATTTTTTTTTTTGTTAGCATGTGATTTTTGGCATTACAGAATCTTTGATTGAATTGCTTGTTTTATCCGGTTGAGGCAATGGACCTCATTTTGTAATTTGAAGCTTTCAGTCCTGATCATTTCATACAATGGATATCAAATGTCCTTGAGAGCTAAGCTTGGGCTGACAGTCACAGGGTCTCTTTACTTTAGAAAGTAACCAGTTGTCACTGTCTACCAAAAACAGGAAATCTTATGGCACGTAAGAAAGAGAATACACATAGTTGTATAACTCTGCTCCAGTAACGTAAGAGGGGTTGTTTTACCCCCTTTCTATAATCACTAGGAGGATTTAGGGAAGTAGTTCTCATGGGGCTAAAGAAATGAGTGACTTTTTTTAATCATCCTCCTAGTAAATTTTAAATACATGCTAAAACAAAATATGGTTTTAACTAATAATGCTTAGTTTAATGGATTAACAAGAGTAAGTAAGACTACATATGGCATAAAAATAATTTACAATATTCATGTGTTAAACAGAGGTATTAGCCTATATAATCAAAATGTTTTATTTATTATATGTGTATATGATGTGTCTGTGTGTGCACACACATGCCGTGTGATATGTGATGGTCAGATAACATCCTGAAGGAATCAATTCTCTCCTTTCCTATACATGGATTCCTGGGACTGACTAAGGTTATGAGGCTCACATAGCAAGTGTTATAAACCCTGAGTCATCTTATCAGTCCCCTACATGTTTTTAAATTGCAGTAACTCAACCGTATATATGGCAAAAAGCTAAAATCAGGATGGAAGTGTTCTTTATGGCAATCATTAAAGCCTGTGTGTGATAATTCTGAGTTGGGGTTTATTTGCTTCTCTGTAACAGAGAACTGATGTTCTGTTGGCACCTCTGGATTTTAGGTTTGCAGTAATGAGCTCAAATGTGTGTGCAACAGGCACTGGACGGGTGCCGACTGCAGCACCCATTTTCCGCACAATGACGATGCAAAGACTGGCATCACCTTGTCTGGCAATGGTAGGTATCTGCCTTGGCATTCTGTCATACGTACATATAACAAATGCGGAATTTTCTCTGTATGTATTTGTATTTGAGAGTTTTTTTTTGTTTGTTTTGTTTTTTGAGACAGGGTTTCTCTGTGTAGCTTTGCGCCTTTCCTGGGACTCACTTGGTAGCCCAGGCTGGCCTCGAACTCACAGAGATCCGCCTGGCTCTGCCTCCCGAGTATTGGGATTAAAGGCGTGTGCCACCACCGCCCGGCGATGTATTTGAGAGTTTTATCATAACTCAGAAATAATGGTTATCTATGTAAATGGGGGGGGTCTACCTTGTGAAACCAATCATTTTCATTAAATTGTAAAGATTTGTCACACTGAGTATAATTTAACCTACGGACTTTACCTTATTCTGTCCTACTTCAGAGGTTTTCAAATGTTATAATTACCTGAGGCTGTGAACAAACCCTAGCTAGCATCTTTAATTGATCTATTCTTTGACAATCCCATGCATGTATCCAGTACATTCTGTCACAGCCATCCCTCCCACACTCTCTCACGCTCCTCTCACTCCCAGCAACCCCTCCTTGTTCCATCAAGTTCTCACACGGCCTTCATGCCTTTTTTGTTGTGTTTTTATTTTCTAACATGTCTTTGAAATTAAGAAAGTAGAGTGGTGTCTCAGTGGTTAAGAGCCCATGTTGCTCTTGCAGAGGAGCCAGGTTCAGTTCTCAGGACCCATACGATGGATTACAGCTGTCCATTAACTCCGGTCCCAGGAGATCTGGCTCTCTCTTCTCACCTCATCGGGCCCCAGGCACAAACATACCATATATACACACAGACAAAACATCATACACATAAAATAAAGTCACAAAAAATAAAGCATTCAATTTAAATGGATCATTACATAGTTTTGAACTGAGTAAACAAGATGAATGAGTTAATTTTTAAGTATTTAAAAATATTCTTTGTTATAGAGTCTCATTTCTATAGTCTAAACTCTGAGAAGTGTAGAAGAAAAGCAATTGACCAAGGTGCTAAGGATGGAGGACATGGGTCGGACATGACAGGAGGGGCAGTTCTTCAGAAGAGAAAATTAAGTGTGGGCAGTTAAAGAGTTCACACTTTAGAGATGAAGATTTCCTGTAAACAGTTACATCATTTCTTTCTTGTGGCTCCTTTCGTGTGGAATAATACTCAATTCCCAATGTTCACTCACCTCCCAAGGCTAAGAACAGACAAATGTCCTCATCTAAGTCATCTATACAGGTTTGAAATCTTAGTAATGTAACGTTAATAAAGCCCCAGCAGGATTAAAAATGTGATGTCCTCAGATGGCAATGGTAAATGGTAATGTGGCACTTGCCCCCAGGTGAGTGTGATAGAGTGTTTATAGTCCCTGGGTCTCAGTGGCTGTTCAAAAGACATAACTTAGAAGTGGTCATAAAGGTTTATTGACCCCTGTTTAAGTCCCTGGCAGGGTGGGCAGACATGCTGAACCTCTTACAAAGCAGACTGTTGGTGTGATGATCACTCATGTTGCTGATTTTCCTCTTATTTTCCCTTCCAGGTGTTGCTGGCACCAATATCATAATAGGAATAATTGCTGGCACCATTTTAGTGTTGGCCCTCATAATAGGAATAACTGCCTGGGGTTATAAGTAAGTCAATTTTTTCAGTATTATTACTAAAAAATTTACTTTAAAATATTTTGATTAAGGGCTAGAAAGGTAGCTTGGTGGTTTAATATGCCACTGGCTCTTGCAGAGTAATCAGTTTTGATTCCCAGTACCAATTTTGGTAGCTCATAAACCCATGAGTGGTGCCTCCCATTCCAGGGGATCTGATATTATCTTCTAGCCTCCTTGGGTACCTGCACTCATGTTTGCACACACACACACACACACACACACACACACACACACACACACACACACACACACACACACGATTAAATGTTAACTAGAAAGTTTTATGTCGTTACCTTTGTGTATTGTGTATTGACAGTCAGTCTGGTCCAGTAATCAGAGATTACTCACCCTTGGTATGGTTAGAAGAAATGATAATTTATCACAGGTTAGACTTTGAAACAACTCTTTTCCTATTCTGAAAATATTGAATGTTGTTTTAAGATCATGGAAGTGACTCAATCTTAATTGTGAGTGAATGCATGTGACATCCACACATCACATTAACAACAAAGCCCCTTTGTCCTAATAGCCATTAATATATATGAGCTTCTTCCTATGAAGATCAGACGCTTGTGAGATTCAGGTTTTTTTTTTTTTAATTCAGTTTCATCTGCAAAATTTAGGTGTCTAATTCCTTCTTAAGCTTCAAAGCTCATATAATTTTTGTTTTAATTTTTAGAAGCTGAGAGTCATCTGCTTTTGAATATTTAGTAGCCTCAGACATTTTAAGTAAATGTTTTCAAACAGTTTTATATTTAATACTTTAAATTTCCCTTTTGAATACTTATAATGTAAATTTTTCTTTAGTATTCTAGTAACTATTTAATGTTATGGCTTAAATGTAGTGTAAACCTTTCATTTTTGAGTTAGGTTGTCATTGCTGGGGCAAATACCTGAGGAAACAGCTTTAAAAAGGTTCGCTGTGGCTTATATTTGAGAGGTTCTTATTGTCATGTGACCCTGTTGCTTTGGGCCTGTGCCAAGGCAGAAAAGCATGATGGGGCGCATGTGACAGAGGAAAGCTGTTCACCAAAGAAAGAGCTCACCACCCACCATATTAAGCCCTTGCTTGGTCCCCAAAACTATTGAGCTATAAATCCAGAAATAGACCAATTATTGATGAGGTCAGAACTCCCATAACCTGACTCCCTTCTGAAGAGCCCAGTTGTAAGCACTGCTGCATGGGGGCCACACATTCAACACACAAGCTTTTGGGGACATTCAGATCCAAACTGTAATAGTTCTCTTTCATATTTCAACCTGCTGACTCTGACAATGTCCCAGCCAGTGCCCCAGCCTGGGGTTTTCCATTTGGAAGACCTGTACTATAGATGCTAGCCTCATTTCATAGCATCCCTTGGGGATCAAATGTAGATCACAAAATTGGGAATTAAATAGTTTGGATCTGGGGATAGAGAGATGGCTCAGTGGTTAAGAAGAAGTACTGCTCTTACAGAGTTCAGTTCCCAACACCCATGTCAGATGACTCAAAACCATCTATCTCCCCAGCTTTAGGGGATTTGACAACCTCTTCTGGCCTCTGCAGACTGCTGTACTCATATGCACATACTCACAACACACACACACACACACACACACACACACACAAACGCGCGCGCGCGTGCGTAAAGATAAATAACAATTTTAAAAGATTTTAAATTTAGAATTTCCTCTGTACCTTTTTTAAACTCATCTTTGTTCTATGCGTTATTGTATGTCAAACATTCAGAGTAGTGACTGGCTCACAGTAAGCAGTCTGATTGTCATCTACTGTTGGTCTAAAACCAAATCAAAGGAGACACCTTTAAATGTATATGTTTCAATTGTTTGTAAAATTAAAACCCTGCAAGTGTTTTGCTAAAAAGGGAGAGCAATTCTTTTACTATTTGTATGCTGCCATCATTAAAATTCAGGAAGCCATTTATGGATGGCTGTATTAACAAAAACACAGTGTAGTGAGGTAGTGTGGCTCATGCACATGGGATGGCCTAGAGAAGGAGCTCGCGGCATTGGACCAAGCTTCACCCCGATTAACTAGCACTAGATCAGTTGTAGCAGATGCTCAATACATTTCAAAGTGTAATTTAGGCACTTATAGAATTGTACATGTGAAAGGAAGGTCTTTCCTCATGCCACAGGCAAATGATCTCTATCTTGGAGTCATTGTTTTCTCTATTTCTCTGATGTAGGACACACATGCTAATGCTTATCACGAGCATTGCTGTTTCATTATAGCTCAATGATTTTATTTGGTCCCACGAAAACTGTTCTAGAATGTGTGATATGGGTGAATAATTTTTATAGTCCTGGGAAAAGGTACTGTTCAGCAAACATGAAACCAAAACATACCTATTCCTAGTGAAATTACCTTTGTCTGTAGAAATTACCTGTTTTCTTTAGGGGGGATTACATTTTGCCTTTAGCATTTCTAAATTTATACACCTTGCAGATTGATTAAGAAAAAAGACAGATCTTGTTCATATTGTGGTATCCTTCTTAGACATAATTTGAACCTAAGATCCAAGTTCTAGAGTTTTAAAATTTAAAATTTAATAATTTAAAATTATTCAGGATATGTTTACTTGTTTTGTTTTGTTTTTTCTTTTTTTAAACAGAGTCTTACTCTGTAGCCCTGGCTGGCTACAAACTCACTTTGTAGGCCAGACTGACCTTGAACTCACAGAGACCTACCTGCTTCTTCCTCCTAAATGCTGGGATTAAAGTCATGGTTTAGAATATTTAGAAAGAGAGTGAGAATATAGCAATTTTGGCAGAGGAATTAAACTATGAAAATAATATTTTTTTGTTTTCTGTTTGAAGTTGAAAACAGACTAGACACCTGGGAAGCCATTTTCGTGTTCAGTCCTCCCATTCTTCCAACATTCCACCCTTGCTTCAAGCCTTGGGAGAGGGATAGCAAACAGGGAGTTCTCACTTGGACAATGAGATGAAAAAGTAAAATGTCTGATAGCTAATGGAATGGAACAGGATACTACAGTGTCACTTTTACTCCGTGTGCCTGCCGTTAGCTTTCTGGTGTTAATGCAGTGGACTGGTAGGTGAAGGTGCCATGTGGAAGCATTATGTTTGGTTGTCGAGGTTGGAACTCCAGATGACTTAGCCACTGGCCTTTCTAATATGCCTTCAAAATATTAATATTCAATTACATCAAGATAGAAAGTCAGTGACTTTTGAAAAACTTATTGCTAGTACATTATCACATGCTTCTGAACAAGATTAGTTTGTTAGGAAGTCATAGAAATTTACTTCAACTCACGGCCAAATCAAAACCAGAAATTGGACTGTGAGCAAATGCATCCAGTGTGAAGCTTGAGAAAGAAGTATTAATACGTATGAAAAGCCAGCTTTATTTTAATGCATTTTTATTGACCATCCATGATAAGTAAAGTGCTCTGGCATGCCTGTATGTTCTCCTGCTCGGACTTCTTAGAAAGAGCTACAGTTGCTATAGTTGGATGTTTGTGTTTCAGTAGGAGTAAATTAAGACTGATTTCTATGAAAATGTAGTTAATTTGTATAAATAATTTGATTGTTACCATGTAAATCAACATTCATTCATCTCTATCATCTATCTATCTATCTATCTATCTATCTATCTATCTATCTATCTATCTATCTATCTATCTATCATCTATCTATCTATCTATCTATCTATCTACCTATCCATCCCTACATTTAAAGTAGAATTGACAATTGACAAGGCTGGAGAGGTGGCTCAGTGGTTAAGAGCACTCGCTGCTCTTCTAGAGGGCCCATTTTCAATTGTCAGTTCCAGAGGATCTGCCACCCTCTTCTGGCTTCCGCAGACACTGCACGCACATGGTCCACAGAAATGCATGCAGGCAAAACACCGATACACATAAAGTAAAGTAAATAAAATTTCAAAAACAATAGGGTTGACTCTAGATAATTATTAAATATCTGGTAAATAAAACTGATATTGAAAAGAGTTACTCTTTAATGATTACAACCGAACTTATGTGCTTAGAAATGGGCTTAGTGGTTAAGACACTTGCTGCTCTTAGAGAGGACCCAGTTTGGTTCCAGGCACATACCTGGTGGGTCACAACCACCTGTACCTCCAGTTCTCGGGGGTTACGTACTATATTCTGTCCTCCGAGAGTACTAGGCACACATATAGAATAGACACATACAGGCAGGCAAAACATAAATATACATAAAAGTAAGCAAAATTTAAAATAAATACTAATTAAAATGGGCAGTTGTTTGACAATATTGTCACTAACTCTTTGGTATCGTCTCTCCTTATGATAAGATGAAGTTTTGTGTGTGTTCCTCATTTTAACTTTCCAGTTCAAATTCCTCTAGGGAAGGTGGTTCAGGGAAGGCCGGGGTTTTGTGTTTGATGCTGTGTTCATGTGGTTCTGTAGGTAACTAATGCTTTTCTTTTTCCTTTCTTCTGTCTATGAACAGAAATTATCGCGAACAGAGGTATGTGATGACAGTGATCTGAATATATGACTAAAAAGTTTAACCCTTTGTATCACTGTTGGAATTCATACATGCAGTTTCAAGTGGGTTTTTGTGTTTTATGTAAGAATGATCTTGACCTTTTATGATTTTGAAATAATAATTAAAATTATTTTTAATAGCAATATGTATATAGAAATAGATTTTCTCATCAAAACAAACTTCCTTTATGTTAAGTTGTCATGTTTGTTTACATTGGTTTATTGGCTTTCCTTCATGTTTATAACGCTCTTACTACCTAATAGTCTGAGAGAAATTATTTTTGTTACTGTTGTTGTAGTAATAACTTTTATAAGTTACAAGATTTATCATGTGTTCCTATCAAGGGGATGTTCTGCAATGTACTTTATGTAAGAAAACATTTTTTGCATGTTTTGGTAATCATAAAGGTAGCTAAAGTGGGACTTTGCACAGTTAGAATCTCTGAGCTGTTGTGCCTCCTGTGTTATTATTACATGAAACCCATGGAGAAAGTCAAACACCTATTTAATATAGCCTTAAGATCTCCTTAGCAAACAGGATAAAAGAGATAGAGCATTCATGTTTTCGATAGGAATGGCCAGGTTTTGTCCAAATTGACATAGTATTGAAATGGACATTTCACTTCTCACATTTTAAAAATTATTAATTCTACTTGCTGTTGGTACTGAAAACTAAAACGTTATCTTGGGAACTGATGAACCAACACCAGGTATTGCATATATACTACTTAGTTCTGAGTTCAGAGTATTTGCACAGATTCCTACTGAATTTTCCCCTGTCCCATTAAGTGCTTGTGGCACTGTAGGAATAGATATGGTAAATAATGAGACATTTTCAGACTCTGACCACAAGATTCTTTTTTTCCCGGAAATCAAAATTTTAATCTTTACTCTTTTATTTCCTTTATTTTATTTTTTAAACTCTACAAGGCTTTAGCTGTAAATATGTATAGAATCTTTGTGACTACCTGATACCCAAAGATGTCAATTGAAATCCTGATCATAACTTTGATTGAAACAATAATCTATAATAATCCTAATTTTAGATATTAGAAATATTTCCCTTGGGGAAAAAAACTTATTATTAGAAAGAGTGAGACTTAAACAAAATTTATTAAAATTTAAAAACACAAAATGTTTCTTTGTACATGTCTTGACCTCATGGGTCTAGACGCATGTGAGGAAAGCAGGGCCTGCTTAGGTTTCCTGTGGGTAAAAGTTTTATAGTCATATAGAAACCCAAGATCTGTGGATTTCTTCAGCAGAAAAATATAATTAAATTGATAAGATTAAAATTTGCTGATCTCAGAACCATTTCTATAGGAACTAAGTAAAACTATGATACTGCTGAATATACAAAAAGGAAAGATCATGCCTCAAATACACAACATAAGCAAAGCTCTAAGCTGCCCTATGGATGCTCTTCAGAACACGGAGACTGCCTACCATGCAAAAATGATTGATGTTTAAAGGCATATACCAATTTATTATTCTGATTAAATACATGCACAGTTAAAAACATTTGCACACTATCACTATCCCCTTTTATCTGTTATAATTTAACACCTCCCGGCACTGTAGCCGTTGTTGCAGGGATATGACAACTCATCAGAAATCCAGTCAATGCCTGGGGAGTCATTCCATCTACAGAGGAATTTATTTTAGATATGTTGTTATAGTTCAACAAAACTTTACCCCCTTGTTTAAGGCTGATGAATACTAGTTCTGTGTAATGGTTCTCAAAGATGAGAGCAACAAAGGATGGATGCTAGATCAAGAAGTTATGCATGAAAGTGTCTTCAGAGTTCTTCTAGGTAATATGCATTAGGGATTAGAGGGGAAATGGGTGAGCAGACAGACCACACATACGTCAGTACATGTTCAACCCTATAAAATGATTTGCAGACATTCAAATAAAGAACCATCTGGTTCCAAAGGTGCCAGGAACTACAGACAAGACGTTTGATGTTATCTTTACCTTGAAATTAGGGTTGCCTTTGCAGTTCTCTGATGGGAAGCCCTACAGACAAGAAGTTAGTAGTTAATCTGCTGTTGTGTGGTGTAGGAAAATTGCTAACATTTCTCAGTTGTCAAGTCAGTGTTCTTTGTAACTCTTAAAGCACTGTGGTCAAGGGAGAGGACCACAGGAGCCATCAGCTCAGTTGAGGCCCACACACTCCTTTTGGCTGACAAAACATGAGGTTTTGCCTTGGCATTTAGTGCTTTAAGCAGTATTAAACATATGGGCATTTGCCAGGTGGCTATTAACATTGAAATGGTCTGGAAATGCCAAATTGGGCCTAATGTTCAGACTTTTGGAGAAGACAGGCATACAATCCTATAAATGAATCAAATAACAAACTTCCTACTGAGCAACAACAACAAAAATAGAAGCCCCATTCTCGGACTTCATGGAAGTATACCTCCACACATACGTTATTATAGTACTTTATTTCCTCCGGTGGCATTCTGGGAAGGCTAGGAACCATGGAATCACAGGGCTACAGTGAAGCCTTAGATATTGAATCATTGCAAAGATGGCTACTTGTCTTTTTCTTTAAAACCTCCAGGGAAGAAAACCTCTACCTTTTTCCCCCGGTCAATTTTATTATTTCTTCAGGTATAATCACAGAGAGCACGACAGACAGCTGTATGGTTCCAGCAGGAACTGTACATTTTAGCTTTCAGTTGAGTTTGCAGATACAAACAGAACAAGGAATATTTGGTGGGCTTAAGTTTATAAACTGTCCACATTTGGTTGAAATCCTTTCCCTTTGTTTGAAATAAGCATGTCCCTGTGACCAGGGAGGAGCGTGATGATCAGACCCATCTGTCTGCTCCGGAGCTTCACCTGAAGCACAGTCTCTCCCTCACCTCCCCCTTCCTTTCTCTCTCATCTCCTTTATCCATTTATTTTCTTTTTTTGTGGACTCCCCACATTTTCTTTCCCAAACCTTTTTTGGTTTCTTTTTTCTTTTTTGCATTCTTCATATTTCAGTTATATTCATGCATCTGTCAACATGACTTGGTATAACTTGCACAATATTTCTCAAAACAAGAGAGCAACAATTCCTATAAGAGACAGCCCAGTCACTAACTATGGATTAGGGAATATTTCCTCCATATTGAGGTTATGACCTTTTACCCCCCATTTTCTAATTTTGAGTATGGATTGATGAGATAAATACCACTGCTCAATAGATACTTTTAAGGAAGGTCAGATTTCTCTCATTATCAGACCAATTATTTATCTAAAGGCTTTGAGGTTAGTGCAACCAGCAACCCCCCTCCCAAAAAAGCAAGAAACAGAAAAAAACCTTTATTGATGTTTACATTTATAGGGCTCAATACTAGCTGACTTACACTTATGAACACATTGTTATCTGAAGTAGAATAAAAATCAGTCAATAAGCTTGTAAATTATAGATGTGGGAAAATAAATTATTGTTTGCATAGTCTACCCAAAATCATTAAGTGATAGGTGTTGATCCTTGTGTTAGCAAATAGAAATTCCTTAAATAATGTTATTTAATAAGGTACATCAGTTCAACAAAGAGGTTGTGTATAGAGAAAAAAGTGACATCTTGTAACTAATGTAGGAAAGGTTGATTTTTGAGGAAAAATAATTCAGTCACAAAGCATTTTTTCTTTTGCTAATTATTTATACCAACATGTGTATCTAAAATACTTGTATATAATGCAATAAAAATGAAGACAATTTCCCATTTGAAAACTTACCACTTTGTCAGTCTAAATAATTACTTTTAGGATCCAAACTGGAGAAACATAAAAACACTAAAATTTTAAGTCAAAAGCCATAAAAACAGTTAACAATTGGATAAAAGAAGGTCAATTAAAATTTTTAAGGAGCTCATCTAGTTGGCTTTCTATGGTTTTTCATAGCAAATGATGGAATTTTATTGATCGCAGGAACCTGGGATTCTTTCTCCTCTCTAAAGCAGGAAGTAGTAGTCTGCTAAAATATAATAGATACATAAGAAATAGAAAGATCAATTTTGGGACAGTGAAGGAAGGATGTTCAGTATCACTCTTAAGAACACTGTAAGGAAACTCATAATTTATTGCTGGCATTTACCATGTAAGGAGAGTTACTCCATTCCTTATGGGATTTTGAGGAGACTGCTAAGAAGTAATATCTATGTTCTGGAGGCTTTTACAGTAAAGTTAGGTAAGAATCGAGAAGTATCCCAGAACTCTATTAAACTGAAACTTTTCAAACTCCAGGATTGATTCCTTCACTTTGGTGGAACCTCTGCCAGTCAAGGGTGGAGCTAGTTTTAGAAACTAATGTAGTGAGATTTTTTTTTCCTTTAATTAGTGTATGGAAAACTAGAGTTTCATGAAAATTAAAATTAAAGTACATGCCTTATTTATACCCACTGAACAATCTTTTTCTGATTTGTACTGTAGGAGCTGTCCAAATAATTTAGGAGAGGATGTTCAGTCAGAAACAACTAAGCATTTTAAACAGTGATAATAGGAATCAAAATAATCAAGGGGACATCTGCAAAGGGTTTCTGAGAGCTAAAACAGTATCTGCAAACCATCAAGGCCATTAACGGAAACTGAACTGAAAGGGACTTAGGGAGCAGATGCATTTGTTGGAGATTTAGTGATGTATACTTGTTTGAAGTTCTTAGCCCATCTCTAGCTTTGACACCTCCACCTATAGCATGAGTGAACTAGTCGTGGTTTGGATGCATTTGGCTGTTTGAGGCCACACATTGAAGTCTGCATTGGCTGTGGGCAGAGTTGTCTGGGGGTACTGAGCGTTTCTTCCAGTTCCTTTTGGAGAAGTAGTTAGACTGTGGCTGTCTTAGCTCATTCAGAATGAGCCAAGTGGCTTTGGTCCTGCAAGGGTTAAGCAGGCGCTCCTGTCTTGCGCCCCCTCCTGCTGTGGTGGAGATAGGAAGTGTCACTACCATCTGTCATAGATGCTTTTCCATAGTCTCCCAAGAAACCTGGCTACTTTTCAACTCTTTCTTCCTTTGCTAAGTCACATTCCTTTACATGTTCTACTGTCTGATACAGAATTACTGTTTTGATTCAAATTTGAATCTTCTAAATTTCCTTTAAATAATGGAGCTGCAAACTGAACACCATTCTAGTAAGGTTTTATTTGGCTTTAATTGTAAAATAACTGAAAGCAATCAAATCTTTTAAAACTAAGTCAAGGGAATATTTATCATATATTTTAAATCATGAATAATTTATTCACTAGATTTGAAAAAAAGCCTGCCTTATTTGAGCAAGGAATGTCTAAACACACCTTCAACATCAATTTTTAAAGGAAAAAGTTATTGTAGTTAACACCTCCAGGTAGGGTGATGTTGCACTGAAAATAATTCATCTTTCCATATTTCTCCTGAAAGCAAGGCTTTATTCATCCAGCCTGCCAAGACTTCATGATTGCATTTCTGACCTCTGCAGCTAGAAGGAGTTGAACTTGTCGCATTTATTAATAATCTCATATGTTATAGATTTGATCATGTAGACCATTATCCCTACCTCTCTTTTTCCTGAAATAATATTTGTATATGTCTGTGTTCATGTGTGTGTCCTGTTTTCTGACTCTGAAATGTTTATTATGCCTTAGACAGTTACCGCAGGGAGATTATGTAAAAAAGCCTGGAGATGGTGACTCTTTTTATAGCGACATTCCTCCTGGAGTCAGCACAAACTCAGCATCTAGTTCTAAGAAGAGGTCTGCTTTTCTGTCGCATTTTCAGATTTCCACCTGTTCCATCACACATTATTCCATTAGTCAGAACATTTCATTATTTTGCAGCAGGTTTGGTTACTTCTTCCTTCTTTCTTGAATGTTAAAATAGTATCCCTTGTTCTTTGATTACTCCACTTCAAAATGTCATATGCTCGGAACCACTTTCTATAAAATCAGGCAACAAAATTGAAACAAAATGCAACAACTCTGAATCTGTGTAGAAACCCCCGGGTTTTTCCTGTCATGTTACACATGACTTAAGCAAAACGTAGTATTTGAAAATATTTTTACATGGTGGGCTTTATGTCATGCTTGGTAGTCAAAGAAAAGGGTACTGTCATGCTTCAATAAAGGCAATTAAGATAAATTGGTAATATAAATGCTGCATTGAATAGTCTTTAATTTTGTATATTTCAAAGCTAAGCTTGCTGTGAAAAAAAGATTGCTTCTCTGTGAATTGTATAGTTTAATATTATGATTTTTTTTCTGGAATGGTTATTTGTAGACTTTATAACTGTGATCTTAATTGAAAAATTAAGTATAGGTAGGATTACTATATTATTTATGTCTCAAACTCTAATGACATATTCTTGTTCTAGCATCTTAAGATGTATGACACCTTTTTCAAAGTCAGTTGACAGTAAATGACTAGAAGAACTAAATAGGATGTTTCACAGAACCTACCTAACATTAAAGGCAACTAAAATACCCTTGGAGAAAACAATCTTTAAAGTTCCCATTGAGGTGTAAGGGATGGAGAAAGAGTTTCAGTTGATCCACTCATAACTCTGGGTACACTTGTTACTTGTAGACTGAAGGAACTAGTTTATTGAGAGGGAACACAGTCTCTTCTGATAGTCTAGATGATCCGTAAAACAACCTGCCTTGGTGCTCAGTCCCTGCAGGCATTGAATAGGAATACACAACAGTTAGTCACTGGGAACTTTCTTAAACACATTTCTTAGCTAACAGAACTCAAAACAAAAGTAGTGCTGGTTTTGAGCCTAGTAGTACATGATATAGCATACACTTCATAGAGTATAAAAGTTACTCTTTTAATTTATTATGGAGGACCTGTTGGCTAAGAGAGGGTGACTGGGGATCTACTAGCATGCTCTGATATAAATATTTGTTTGGTCAAATATGGAATTTTAAATTAAATAGCAGTAAAAGTGGAGAAATCAGTGAGTTCTAGGAACATTCACTGGCCTTTCATACAAAATACGAATGACTTTGTCAGTAGAAAATGATGTTGAAGAAGTTCCAACATAGGAAAGTAATATGTATTAATTGTGCCAAGTTCTGTTTGCTTTCAGTTGGGAGATTTCTTTTCAAGTTGATATTATCAGTAATTAACCAGAGTGATTCAAAGGACAGTGACTTAAGCAGAGTGCCTGCCATTTCTACAGTTCCTAATAAGGAGCTTTATAATGTGCAGGACTAATCCCCAGGTTTTGGGAAGTTGTACAATAGGTTCTGATCAGTCAAAAGCATATCAAATTATTAGGCTCCAGATCAGGTTTGTCACATTCTTTTCATTCTGAAATTTAATTTTATGGTGTAAGGTAGGTGTATTACTTTTGATTCTTATACCTAGTTCATTTAGTAATAGTAGGATACAAATAGCAGAAGGGCTCAATGGTACATGGGCTTTGTGAGAGATATCTCCATGAAAAAGAACTGATTCAGTTCAGTTATTGGACAGTTAACTGACATGCATTATATTCATTGGAGGCATATTTGTGTAGAAAAATACCAATTTTCAGATAATAATTTTATTAATTGGGTATTACTTTCATAAAGTTAACCAGGTTCAGTTGGGCAAATTTTATATAATCTCTTAAAAGTCCATGTTCTCATAATATTTGAATGGAAATCATTGCTTTACAATTAAGAAACATCTATGGTGGGACCCCATTATAGCCCTGCTGCTGGGGTTATATGACTGTAATACTTGCTGAATTTGCTCTGTGGTTGCTGTGTTCTGGAGAATGTAAATTGGCTTTCTATTTCTGCTACTTTTCTATTTATGACTATTGTAATGGGGTTCCATTGTATTTGACTTTTCTTAAATTGAATGTTGTGTAATTCTGCCTTCTTCATGAAGACTTTCATGTTTTCTTCATTCTTTCATTTCAGATTTTTTTTATTGATTTGTTTTATTTAATGTACAGTAATGCTTACAAATTTTGCTTAGTGATTCCAAAATATTTATTTGGTTATATTTTTGAACAATATGTAAATACTTCTACTTTCAGGTCAAATGGACTCTCTCATTCCTGGAGTGAAAGGATTCCAGACACCAAACATATTTCAGACATCTGTGAAAATGGGAGACCTAGAAGTAACTCCTGGCAAGGTAGTGAAGAGTGTTCAGAGTCTAAGAGCTGTCTTCTGGGTCCCTCTATGGATGTATTCTTCCCTATGAGCAAAGAGGTTTAGAATGAGACACCAGCTGTTGGTTTTTGTTGTTCTTTGAAGTTTCCTTGATGGGAAATTGTGGCTTTAGTAGCTAAGTAGGTAGGAAACATTGGAAGGTCATGCAGTTGCACAGAGGCCCACATTTGGAGGCAATGCTGGTAATAAATTACACCCATTACAAGCACCATGTAATTATGCATAAAGCAATTATTTATCCATATGAAAATTTATCTGTAAATGCTCTTTTTCAGGTAACCTGGGAGGCAACAAAAAGAAAATCAGAGGCAAAAGATTTAGACCTCGATCTAATTCAACTGAGTAAGTTGTACATTTAATGGGAAAGGCATTTGAAGGTCATGTGCTATTAGTGATGACTGTTAATTAAGCAGATAGTCAATGAGTCACCTACCATGCCTCAGGACTTGGTTTTGTCTGTTTAATTCTCTTTGCCCTATGAAAATTAACCTTGGCTTTTCTCTTTTACATAGGCATCTCCGCAACTGTGCCCATACCAATATTCACTGATAGTGGGGGTCTCACCCTTGCTGCGGGCTTTTTCCTCCAGTCTCCTGCCATTGTGGTGTTTTGGTTTTCTTTGAAGGGAATTATGATAGCTTTCTTTTCTTCTCATCACTGGGGTCCAACCATTTCAAAGGGTCACCCTTCCTCTCCCCTGGAAGCACTAGGGAGAATCCTTACTGTGTTAGAGCATGCCAGTGCTCACAGTCCAACGCCACCACTCTGAGGTCTCCATGACTGCTATCTAAGCATTCTCTCAGACTAATGGAAAGGGCTTCCCTTTGAAGTTTTCCTCATGAGGACGTTTAAAAGGCCATTTACCTAAACTCGCTCTTTATCTGAATCATTGTCACTAATGCCACCTTAACTGTTTTAAATGATAGTCAGATTTTAAAGTGGGGTTGAAAGTTACATTTAAAGTCCTTTATAATGAAGTAAGCATCATGCAATTTTTGGTGGTGTTTCTTTCTTCACTTAAGAAAGTGCAAGCAAAGCATTGCCTCCACAAACCCTTATCCCCCTTCACAGGGTAAAGCGCACACCCTTAGTATTCTTCCCAACTGACCTTGCCACTAGAAGTGATTATAATTACCCTTGCCATTTCCAAGACCCCTGAAAGTTTCTGCTCGTGTCTCACTCTACCAGTAGCTGTTCTCAGGATCTCGGTGTTACTTAAAAAGTCTGAGTAGCAGGTGTTTGTTAACTGCTTGTTAGAAACTTACATTAGCTTCTCCATCATATACCCTGCCTTTTTCAGTCTAGGAGTAATAACATTGCCCTGAAATTTGGACCTTCCACCTGAATGGTATTGTCTTGTAAGTGGCTTATCAACATTTATTAGAGGATACTTTTATCTTAGAGATAATAGCAATTTCAAGTGATACCATTGCATGGTCCAGAATGGCATCATAGCCCTCCATCATGAGTAACTAATCTACTAGAGTTTATCTTCTGCATTCCCAAAGTGCTTGGGTGCTTTAGGGCTCACTGCAGATAAACTCTTCCTGGAATGTTATTTGGTTTGTTTTGCATGAGGCCACCTGGTAAGAGGACTCCTCAGCTTATCCTGGTTGCTCATAAGATTATAGCTACAATTGTGAAATGTTCTTTGGAACTTCCTTTGTGGACTGTTTAATATTTCTATGACTAGACTTTCACAGCTCCTAAGGAGAAAAAAAACTTCAGCAGTATATTAAAACAATGGGATCAGGACCCAGAGAACATTTGATATTCACTAATAATCATATAATATTTTCTAGGGCAGTCATTTATTTTTAAAATGTATAAAACTCTACTCATATCACATGATAAAATTACATTGTGGATAGCCTTTAAGAAATCTTGCCTGTGATATAATTAAGTTCTAATATTTAATGTGACAGTATAATAGAAGTTTCTCAGTCAAGAAGAAAGGTTCCCTCAGACTTTCCAGAGTTTTCTAAATTTGGCTGCATGATTCATGTTAATTAGTTGGAGCCACATTTGTGAAGCCGACCATCCATGCTCAGAAACTTTCTTGTATGGGAACTGTCTATACACACATGCATACACATTTATATACTTCTGAAAATATGAATTTCTGATATATATCCTATCAAGAATTATGTTAGCAACTTTTTATACTTTCTCTATATAAGTCATACCATTTGGTTATAATGTAATACTGCCTTTCATGTGACCATGCCAGGAGGAGAATGGCCACAGGAAGCATATCCTTTTTTTTCATAATAAGAACTTTTTCAGGTCTGTTATTTCATCATCCCCCTTTAGAACCACATTATCCCAAAGGATGATGAAAAATTGGGGCCCGGATTAAAACATGCAGCACCAATGCATGCTCCGTAAATTAAAAAACAAAACACTAACTGTCCTTGTTGGTTATATTGTTTTCCCACTCAAAGATTTTGCATCTTCCTTGTTGTTGTTCACGCTATAAAAATTTTTTTTGGCTTAGACTTTGTATTATATATTGTGTTTTTACAGGAGGGAGCCCCAAGCTCCCGAGCCTGGGTACTCCCTCGCCCAGACAATCCCATCCCAAGCCATAAGCCCAGGGGGCTCTGACAGCCCCCAGACAGGGAGTCTGGATCACAGGTCAGTCTCCTCTTGCCCCCTCACTCTGGGCTGCCACTTAATCTCCCTGAAAGTCCCTTCCTTGGCTGAGAGCAGGGTCATTTGATCTTTGACTGAGCCCTGTATCTGCTCAGTGGTGCTCCTGACCCGGTCAGCAGCAGCTGATTTTCCTCTGGCTTTCCGTCCTGGAGAACATGAAGAGGTTCTCCTATCCTGTCCAATGCATTTTTTTTTTTTTTGCATGTTGCACTAACAAGCTGCGCTAAGTCAAGCCACACAGGCAGGTTTATTGTAGTCTCCTAAAGGCCCATCACTCTCGCCACCATGCCAGGTCCCCAGAGCTCTCCAGCGCAGAACTGAAACAGAGGCAAAGGCCCATCCCGTGCAAGTCCAACTATGTGTTTGGAACTTTTGTGGATCAGCCACAGCACCTGTCCTTTGAGTTTCCAAGACTGTCAGTGAAAGGAACAAAGGTCTCCCCCAGGAAGTGGCTTCCTGCCTGTGGGAAACTGAGTTTGCTGTGTGGCAGTGTTTCTCCCGATGACAGCTGCATGAGCTTTTCCTGTAGTTGTTCTGAGGCCGTTCACTTCATCAGCGGCTGCACTTGCTCTTGGACTTTTTCTTTCTGTTCCAAGTCCCACTGGAAATGTTCACGCAGATTTTGATTGGCTATCTCTGTGAAGAGTGCAAGTTGGCAATGGTTGTGGCTAAAGGCAAAACTAATGTGAGTTCTTCCTGAACTGGGAGACGGATCTTAGCAAAAATGGTCGTATAAGCATAAAAACCAATGGAACCCTTCTTTCAGGGTGGAATCATAATATTTATTTTGCAGAGTGCCTTCTTAATGGCTCAAAATGAGGGAAAGAGCTGTGGAGAAATAATCTGGTTTTTAAGTATAACTGGAAATATAGTAGTTTTGGTTTAAATATATTTATAAATAACTCAAAGACTACATATGGAGGAAAGAAACAAGTCTTAACTAAAAATTAATATGTTTTATAATTTCACCAGATTTGTTTCCAAATCTTATATAAACTGGATCTTCGTTAACTACAGTACCATGGAGCTCCTTTTTAGATGAGCACTATTCTTCCAATTCTTCCAATGCTGAAATTGTTAGATTAATGTTGTTTTATAAGAGCAAATCCCAAGGGGATGTGTTTTTGCTGGGCCCCACAATAAAAATCAAAGAAGCTCCATGGAAAGCCACAGCTGTACCTCCAGTTCTCCTGCCTTTGAGACTGCACGACCATCCCAATGGTGCCACTGCCAGACCCGCCAGGAAGATGCTGGCATTAGGCTCTGGCAGCCATTCTTTTGGAAAGCAACTTCTGAAGGCTGTTTCCTAAAGCTCTCAGGGACATTTTAGTCTGGAGTGACACAGAGGAGGAGGGAGCGGGGCTTCAGTGAAATCACCAAACCAAGGTCGTGGAGGCCTACTCGAGCTGTAGTGAATGTGCTGGGGGGCTCCAGGATTGGGGTGCAGAACTCTGTCTGCTCCTTACAGAAGCCAAGTGGAGAGCACTTCAAGTTGACTCCTTAGACGCTCAGAGAGAGTAAAACAGTGTTGTGTAAAAAGCATTTCTAGCCCATAAAGAGAGCTTGGCTCCTTTAAATTGTCTTGAGGTTTTATGTGCCTAAATACCAGATTGGAATTGCAGCCACTCTGAATATTTTCAAAAAGCACCAATATTATTTGAAAACCAAGGAGCCAATTGAGAAGTGGCTTGGGAAAAAAAAAAAGCTGCTTTTGAAGTGGGTTCATGAGACTTCTGATCAAAAGAGAGTTTCTGACTGACAGTGAGGAGCCACTGGAAGAGGCTTTCCTAGAAACGTAATACATTGTAGAATGCCTTGTGCCTTGTAGCTGAGATTATTTCCACGCCATTCTGTAGACTGCCTCACAGTCGCCCAGTGTCCATCCTGGTTTATTTGCCATAGTCACTTGCATTTGGAGGGTGAAAACATCATGGCTAAGCTTGTGCTGTGTATTTTCAGATTGTCTATCTTGTTCTGCTTTCTTTGTTCCTTCCATTGCTCCCTGCAGGTATTTAAACCCATGGTTCAAAAGAGCCTGTAATGTAGCTAAATGGGTAGAAGATGTGAATAAAAACACTGAAGGACCGTACCTTAGGTACTTTATAAATTAATTTATCCTCCTTTCACACTCTCCCGGCACATACACGTACTGTAGTGTGACTGCCTCGCTCTCCCTTGTATCTCCTAATACAAGTTCCTGTAGGTGCAAAGGGGCTCGTTCATTTTCTGCCTTTTGATGTGATTGGGCTTCCTGAGCGAGTCGAGTTCTTTTCTCAATGTTTCAAATGAAGCCATTTGAAAGGGTTACCATTTAGTGCATGTCCCTGTCACCTCTTTGAGCTTTTCAGTAGCTTCCTCTTCATTTTATGCTGTGTAGTGTTCTATGGGCATGAAACATACCCTCCACTAATAAAGAAGCACTATTAACCTCAACAATTTAATTTCCATAATCTAGAAGTTTCATAATATATTTTTCCTGCTTATTATCTAAGAGTGCATAGTACATAGAAAAACATGCCAAGAAACTGAACTGGAATTTTATTTCAAGCAGAAACAATGATTTGATGGAACTGGGAAACAGTGAGATATTATTATGGTAGCACGCAGTGAGCTTAGTTTTCTTTGTCCCGTAGAACCCTCTGCTAGCACTGGGGCTATGCTGAGAAGAGTATTCTATAAATTTTTAACAAGGCAGTAGAGGACTTCCATGTTTCAAAAGCAGGAAGCAGATAGAAAACACTCGACTAGCAGTGAGAACGTCTACATTCTAAAAGCTATCCATTTCCCCAGTTCCCTGAAGCGCGTATTACAAATCAGAGAAAGTCTCCTATGCCTCCGGATGTCAGCTCCCCACTCTTTATAATGTAAATGTCCACTTCATGTCTGACTACTTTGTGGAAAGCTAATGCAAAGAGGAAATAGAGACTCAGTCACTGCCTCTTTTGAGCACAGTTTGAGTTTTCATGCTCCTTATTGCCATAACTTGGGTCAGCACTGAACGGATATGAAACTATGCCACGCATATTTAACTCTCAGCACCCATATAAGGTGGACTTTCTCTTCCAGTGTACCATTCAGTTTAGTTGTATATAGTTTGAGAAAATGATTAGACCTACCTGCATTTTAATTTGATCCATAACTTTTGCATATACCCCAAAGGAAAGCATAACCCCTGCCTGCTCACGAAATATATCCTGCTTTTACAGCCCATGCTCCTCTCCTTCCCTGCCCTCTGCCCCCCCAACACTTCCCCACACTGAACCGCATTTACACACACACCCACATTCAAACAATCCCACCTTCACCTGTAGCTCCCAAGATGGCCAGCATCAAGGAGACAGGTAAGATGCTTTGGATGTTATTTGGAGTCTTGGCTCACCTGCAGTCCTATTTTTTTTTCTTTCTCTTTATCAGGCTTTTGGGCAGATTGTAACTTGTACCATCCATGGATCCAAAATAGGATGAGTTTGGTCCTACATAAGTTAGGACCTTTATTTCTAAATTGACAGCATTTATATAGTAGTAATTTATGAAATGGTACCCCGGAAGAGTCTATGCACCTCCCCTGGGTGAGCTGAGAAGTTGATGTAACTCAAGAGAGTCCCCAATTTTTAAAATCAGTTCCCTACCCCCAAGTCTGCCCAGAAGCTGCCTGACTGAGCACCATTTGGATGGGCAAATGCTTCAGCACCCCTGGTTGCACGAGCCAAGCTATGAGGGAAATTCGAGAGGGTTCCTTTATCTCATCTTTTAATCAGAGATGCTGGTACCTACAGCACAGAGTCACATTAGGAATTAATTACAAAAAAAAAAAATCTACATTTTCATTTAAATGGTAAAGTTTGTGGATGGTTGTGATTTCACTGTCCTTTTTGATTAATAAAAGTTGTGCTGTTAAGACTTGGAGATCAACTCTGGATTTCAGTGGCAGTGGGGAATAATGAAGATAAGCCCCAGCTCTGAGCACCATGATTCTGACACAGCAGAGAGCATTCTGTCTACTCTTCATCCAAACCAACCCTCGCAGAGGCCTAAGTGTGTTCACAGCTAGGCTGGACTTCACCAACCCTATATTGAGCTCCCTTGACAGAACCCACAGATGAGGACACAGGTCACCTTCTTAAACACCCATGTGGAGTTGTGACATTCTTACCAACATGTAGTGGAGAATTAGTGACTGCAGCAAACTGGTTTGCCAATGAAAATGTAGTATCCCAGAGCTACAAGGACATACTGCAAAACCCGCAGGCGGGCTTCCGCTGTGCTCCCATATGACAGTGATTGCCCTAACTCTGTTTCCAGTGTATTCAGGCCACTGGAAAAGTGCAGGTGAAATCACAGAAAATCATTGCCACCCTCAGTGGTGACCTCTGCCTTTCACGTTCCCAGAAAGTGTCCATGCTCTTGGGTGCTATCCAATTGATCACTCATTTCATCAGCATTTTCTAAAAGTCCGTTTCCATGATCTATGGAAACCACATTGACTCTGCAAGAGAATTATAGGAACTAAGGGTGTCAAAGGCCTAGTCTATTTCTCACTCACAAGAGGTAGGCATTCTTGGCTCCTTTCTGTGGATGGAGAAAATTGGGGTGCAAAGAGTTACCCAAAGTAGCACATCTCATGAATGTCAGGAGCAGAACTAGAACTTGATGCGCTGACTCACAAATCTGTTCCCTCTTATTTCTCAGTGATTGCTGTAAGATGCTAGAGGGTATGAAGCTTACACCCTGACCCAGGACACTTCAATCCTTCTGGAGCAGATTACTGTAAAATTAGCATGTGAACCCAAGCAAATAAGGAGTGGCTCTGTGTCCTCCTCCTCATTTTGCAGGCCTGCCTTTAAAAAGAAGCCCTGTTAGTCTGCTACAGTCCCAAGGTGCATCACAGTCCCCTGGTAGACAAACACACCTTCATTACCTAATTCTGTGGTGCCCCCGCTGTCGTTATTATGGTTCTTAAAAATGTCATGAGGATAAATGGCTAATATTTATCCAGAAATTCATGTTGCTTTGTAAGTGAATGAGGTTGGCTGACACTTGGCCAAATGGAAGCCAGATTAGAATTGAAGGCCTTCCTCCAGCAATTGTGACAGATCGTCAGTTTATTTTCCCAAAACTAACTGACCCTGCCTTGTTCTCTCCCTTCGTTTTCATCTCTGCTCTGGGCTTTTCCATCCACCCACCAGAATCTGTTTCCTGTCTTTCCACCACTAAAAATGTCTGGCTTGGTTTCTCTTCTTCCCTTCAGGGTCCAAAGTATAAATTCCCCCAAAGTTCTGCTGTGAGAAGTCATGCAGAGCCATTTTTGTGGGGTTCTGAAGAACACTTCCAGCTTTGTTTTGTTTTAACTCACTATTGTTTGTGCCCATGTGAAGATACCTCACAGCAAGGCTGAGTGCTCAGCCCCCTCGCATTGGAATGGTTTTGAATGTACAGTGTTGGTCATTTGAGCCCATGGCCAAGCTAAGGCCGATGTGGCTATGACATCATAAGCCAACAGCGTATGCTATGGACACACACACACACACACACACACACACACACACACACACACACACACACACACGCTGCAGTAAACAAAAATGAGAATTTAGCTTCCATGACCTTAGAGTAAATAAGATTTGGTTGTATATCTTACTACCTTTCCTAAACGTGGATTCTTTTAAATCTCATAAAGATTTGGCTAAAAAGTTGAATCAGGTTCATTTTTAGAAGCATCTACATGCAAGTTTTACACTCATTTTATATATATTGAGTCTGTTTCCTAACAATCATGGTCCTATTTGTTTTTAATTTATTTAAAAAAACATTTAATTTTAAATTTAAATTTATGTGTCAGGGGCTCTTTGGTAGCACACTGTCTGTGCTATATGAGTTCCATCCTCAGAACCCACATAAAAAAAAGGTTAGGGATGGTGCCCTGTATTTGTAATATCAGGTCTGGGGAGATAGGCACAGTCCAATCCCTGGTGTTTCATGGCCAGGCAACCTAGCTTAACCCTAGGCCTATGAGACATAGTCTCAAAAGATAAGGTAGATTGTGTCTGAAGAGCAATACCAGAGGTTGACCTCTGCCCTATATACACAGCATACACTATGCACATGTACTTGTATACACATGCACATCTTCACACACACATACACACACACACACACTCACACACACACACACACACACACACACACACACGATGTAGCAGTGTGTTGCTCTTGTAGAACTGAAGAGAAATTGAAATACTATTACTCTTAGCTACTTCCACCTCTCCAGTATGGCGAGCATCAGCATAAGAGAAGCCTAGTAGCTTCCTGGCTGCCTTCCAGCAGTTCCTGGTAGGGAGCCACCCTGAGTGAGGAATTTTAAAAAACAGAAGGAGCATTAGGAGTTAAGGTTTAAAAGTGAGTGGGGCCACTCCTGATTTTTAAAATCAATTAAGAATGTTTATCTAGATCTCAGAGTATATAAGAAAAAGCATCTTCAAATGTTAGGTTGAATTCAGGATCTTAGAAAAGCCGTGGGAGCCTCGCCCTGTCCGATGTCTGATGGCTGGCTGCAGTACCAAACCGACCAGTCGCAGTGGAGGAGGACTTGAGTTACCATGTCACGGCATAACCAGTTCAGTGGTCTCCCATCCACTCTCACAGACAAACGAGGGGCACACAGGCCTCTCCTAGCATGCTCAGCACAGTCACAGGTATCGCAGTTGTGGTAGGAACATCAGACCACTTCAGTGTAAGACTGCTGCTTCCAGAAATGCTGAGTCAGGGAGGAAGCAGACCGTTTTTTGTATGTTCTCATCAGACTTTGTTTGGCTGGAACTCTGCACTCCTTACCGCTTGCATGTTTACTAATTTGATATTAAAAGCCTTGTATTTTCCTTTGTTCTTCACAACTAACACACGGGCCTCTGAATGCATGAGTTTTGTGTAGAGTATGACTTAGCAACCAGTGAATATATCCGTGGTTTATGCTATAAGATTTTATTTGAGATTATTGTACTTAGAGAAGCATTTTAAGGGGTAAAATAAAGTAGAATGTCAATATGCTGTTTACTTAATTTACTGTAATGAGCTCTTAGAATATTTTCCCCTTTTCCATGTTACCTTTTTATTGTAAATGAAATTTCATTATTGGCTTTGTAGTTTAAGAGAATGATCTGAGTAGTACCAGTTAGACATTCCATCGCTGTTGTCAATTAGGAAGTCAAAATCACAGCATTCCATTTCACAATGACAGTTATCTCCCCAGTAGTTAAAGCTTTGCTGTAGACACTTAGTGAAAGTAGATGTCAGGGGGCTTGCTCTGAATCTGCTTTTTAGATATTTGAAAAGTGACACCAGGCATGACATGATATTTATTTCTTATATTCTCGGCATCTCAGGACCCTGTCTCCTGCCAAGTCTCCTTCTTCATCAACTGGCTCTATTGCCTCCAGCAGAAAATACCCGTATCCGATGCCTCCACTTCCTGACGAGGAGAAGACAGTGAACCGGCAGAGTGCCAGGGTACACAGAAATTCCCATATGCTTTATACTTGGTTGTTATTGATCCTGAGTGCTGGAATCACAGGCATGCACCATTATGCCTGGTTAATATATATATTAACATATATATTAACATATATATACATATACATATTTATGTATGTATTTTAAACAAGGTTTCTCAGTATAGCCTTGGCTGTTTTGGAACTCACTCGGTAGACCAGGCTGGTCTCAGACCCAGAAAGCCACCTGCCTGTGCTTCCCAAGTGCTGAGATTAAAGGCATGTGTCACCACACCTGGCCTATTACTATATTCTTATGTCTTTATTTTTCATTATTGTTTTACTCAACTCTGGGTTTGAAAAAAAGGATGTATTTTTCTTTATGAGACTCTGAAAAATCTTTTTTAATACCCCTGCCTTGGCATTCTAGAGACTAAGTGAATTAGTTCTCTCTCTATGTCCAGTCTGATTGCTCAGGCCTCTCGTTGGCTTTTTACAATTTAATAGGAATAACAGGAACGTATGACAGAAAACCACATTAGTGTCTTGGTACCAAGGGTAGAATTTATATGCAAGGAAAAATATTTGAAGAAACCTGTCATATTGAAAGAATACTACAAAGGGTATTGTAAAATTTAACAGAATTTTCTATTTTTTTTAAATCAACTTAGTTTTGTGGTAAGGAGGATTTAATCCCAGTACCTTGCTACCTTGATAGAAAAAAAATGTTCTAATTCTGAGCTGTACTTATGGCCTCCAAAAATCCAAAAATTGAACAAGGTTTATATTTATTGTTTTTAATTATGTGAACATGTGTGTGAAGATATGTGCATATGAGTATAGGTCCTATGGAGGCCAGAAGAGGGCATCACTGGATCTCCTGGAGCTGGATTTGCAGCCAGTTGTGAGCTGCCTCCCATGGGACACTCTTAGCCACTGAGCCACCTTTCCTGGCCCCAGAAAGCCAAATTCAAAAACAAATATGGAGATACTCATTTTTATGATAAAAACATAATTTACCAGGAACTCTATTTAAGCATTAAATCCCTCTTACATCTTAGTTATTATACCCTGCTGCACACCATTCCCCCAGTGCATTCATTCTGTGAAGTTTGGTAGAAAGTAGAATTTGGAAAGTCAGACCAGCCCTCAGAGGTTTCAGTGAAACTCAGAACCCGAAAGAGTAATCACTGATGTCCAGACCTCTCATGGCCTGTTATGTCAAAAGATGAAGCTTTTGCAGCCTCCACAGATTTATCCAGCACAGGGTCCTGAGAATTTTTAGTATCTGAAGGTGTCTTAGAGCCTCACAGATCCTGAATCAAAATTATGGGGCTCAAGGTAATGTTGGTCATTTATACTTTGGCTTGACCAACCCAGGGTCAGTAAAATAACAACAACAACAAAAAAAACCCACCATCATCAAACAAACAAAAACACCAAAAAAAAAAAAATACAGCCATCACAAAGTCTATACAAATAAGAAATGACATTTTGTTCATTCATTGTGAAAACTCCCTCAGCATCTCAATGCTGGAAGTGATATAAGATGAAATTGAAGAAATAACTCATGTAAATGGACTTTTCTTTTTGGGCTACCAGCTCACAAAAAAAAAATGACATGGAGACTTATTAATTATGAAAGCTCAGTCTTAACTTAGGCTTGTTTCTAACCAGCTCTTATAACTTAAATTAACCCACATTTTTTAATCTACATTCTTCCACATGCTCATTACCTTATCTCCATCATTCCCTGGTCATTCCATGTCTGGCTGGCAACTCCACCTTCTTCCCAGAGCTCTCTCTCCAGAAGTCCCGCCTATACCTTCTGCCTAGCTATTGGCCGTTTAGCTTTTTTATTAAGCCAATCACAGTGACACATCTTCACACAGTGGAAAGGAATATTCTACAACAAACTCAGATTCCCAGAGCTCAAATTTTCAGGCTTTGTTGATAGACGTCCAGCTGTTTGTGATGTGCTGTGTGATAAACAAGGTGCTGTTGTTCTTCCTTCCTCGGAGCTGTAAGTCTAGCACTTCATGTCTTCTCTACGGAAATTGTCTACATCATTGTTTTGCTCCATCAAGCTGGGGGTGTTCTCTCAGCTGTCACCATGGCATAGTGTAGACTATTAGAGATGTTAACACATGAGAACTCATGAAAATGACAGTTCCCCAGGAGAAATGGGTGTTCCATGCTCTTCCCAAGGGCTGAGCAGTGTGAAGTCAAGGACTCTACTGCTGTGACAGCGGTATGGAAGGTCTGACTTGGTCTAGGTCATGTGGGACAGCCCTGTACCGTGTAGAGGAATCCTGCTGAGTAGGTGTCTCAGCTGGCTTGGTGAGTTGTGGAAAACTTCATCAGCAAGCCTGATGCTAAAGCCACACAGGTGTGGGCAATTGTGCCTATTGCTACTGATGATGAAATAGTTGTCTTTTATTTGTTTCTCCCGGGGATAATCATGACTTTTAGTTTTCTTCAATATTTTTATTTTGTTTTGTCTTTCCCTGCAAGCTCATTATGGCCACAGTTCTGTCTGTCTACCATCCCAGACCACCATCTAAGCATTCCTATTTTCTTTGCCTGGGACACCCTATAGCACACTGATTACTTCCTCTCCACTTAAAAGGATTCTTAGGTTTGAGACAAGTGCCCATTGGGTTCCAAATAATAACAAAGGTGTCTTTTTAAAAAACACGTAAGACTTTTATTTTTTCATTTTCTGTGTATGAGTGCTTTGCCTGCATGCATGTGTGTGCATCATGTGTATTCCTGGTACCTCCAGAGGTTAGAAGAATGTGTTGGGCCCGCTAGAACTGGAGTTATAGACAGCTGTGAGTGGGTGCTGGGAATCGAACCTGAGTCCTCTGGAGGGAAAAAGCAGCCAGTGTTCTTAACCACTAGCCCATCTCTCCAGCTCCAGTGTAGATCTGTTTAATAGTAAAGATACATAAACCTGGCCAGGGTAGGGAGCTCAGGTGGCTTTTCCGTGCCTGTGGAGTATGTGACAATTTCTGTTAGAACAAGAATTCCAGGAAGGTTTGGGCGAGCATGTTAAAGTAACCTACCTAGAAAGACATACTTAACTAACTACGGTGCCATGTTGACTAAAGCCCTTGACAGGTAGAAGGAGGTCAGGAGACTAAGGCAAGCCTCAGATACATAGTGAGTTTGAAGCCAACCTGGGCTACATGACACTCTGTCTCACAAAACAAAACAGCAAAGAAATACTAATCATGTTGTCTCCTTTTCATTCCCCCAAATTTACATGCCGTGAAATAGCTCATATATCCTGTTAAAACGGAATTTGGATGGAAGTTAAATATAAGCTGAGCCACTCTAATCATACTTTCTTTGTTCTTATATAAAATATATATGAGTCCTATAGACTGGCAATATATCTCATTGGCAGACTTTTAAAAATTAAGCCCCTTCTCTGGTGAATTGAGATGCCTGTCTGAGTGGACAAAAGTTGTTTGCAGTCCATGACGGCAATTACTGCACAAAGCAGATCTGGCCAGACGCACTATGAAGAATTGATAGCAGAAGCAAAGAAGAGGGAGGGGTGGGGAGGCATGCATCCTTCCACTCTGACGTGTCAGCTCCGAGGGAACAGCCTTATAGGAGTCAGTGATAGGAAAGCTCATGGCCTGATCATGGGCCCACAGTGATGCTTATGGGGATGGTGTTTGTACCGATGGAGCCAAACGTTGTAGCCTTGCCTGTGCATGGGAACTGTCTGTAAAGCTCCAAAATATTTTGAAGCTAAACCCCACCAGTGAGATTTTTATTTAATTGTCGTGGCTTTTGAAACTTTCGCATATCAGGCCTGAGGAAATGGCTCAGCTGGGGATGTTTGCTGTGCAAGCATGATGACCTTAGTTCAAGTCTCCAGTGCTCACGTAAAAGGCCAGGTGTGGTGGTGAATACCTGTAATCCCGGTGCTGAGGAGGCAGAGGCAGAGGCGGGGGAAGTCTGGAGCTTGCTGGCCAGCTAGACTTGCCAAACCCATGAGCCCCAAGTTCAGAGACTCCATCTCAAAAAATGAAGCGGAGAATCATGTACAAAGACACGACATTGGCCTCTCAGCTCCACATGCACAGGCATGCATATGCGTGTGCACCCCCCATATGTGCACACACATGAACATGTACACACACACACACACACACACACACACACACACACACACACACACACGTTTCTGCAGATAGGTTTGCAAAGCTGTGATTGAGAATCGCTATTCTAGCTGGCAGTATACTGGAGAAAATAAAGGAAATAGGCAGCTTAAAAACAATATTTTAAAATTCTCTAATCTGAGAGACATGATGTTTATTCAAGATTTTAAGAAACATGAAATGAGGATGTGGGAGGTTTTTCATTTTTTTATCAAAAGGCAGCAATGGTTGATATTGGAGCTGGGAGATGGCTTAGTGAGCAAGGGATTTGCTGTGGAGGCATGCAGACCTGAGTTTGATGTATGTGCCTACAGAGCCAGCACTGGGGGGCCAGAGACAGGTGAAATCCAGGAGTTCCCTGGCCGGTGAGATGCCCTGTCTCAAGGAAATGAGATGGGGAGTACTAGAGGTGGGGACCCAAAGCCCTCGTCTGGCCTCCTGCCGTTACATGGGCACACACACTCACATGGTCCACCACACACACACAAGAAATGCTAAAAGTGTGTGTGTTTCTTTTATCCCTTTATTAGCCAAGAGCACGCACCACAGCTACTTACGTTTGGTTAGAATCCTTTCTCATAGCTCGGAATGTCTGCTTTCTTCCATCGCTGTGTATGATTTGGCTTTCCTCTGTTTGCAGCTATGGGAGACGTCCATTTAAGAACAACTGTTTACATGTGCCACATCGAAACTGTTTACTTCAACTTTTATAGAAACCCAGCCACCCAGAATCACTGCAACTCTCTCTGCTCTTCAGACAATTTGAAGGCCCTCTGAGACACCAGAGGCAAGGAAGCCACGGGTCATACCTGGATGCCATTTTCTTTTTGTCATTGGCTTAAGGTTTAACCAAACGGTAAAAAGAACTACTGGAATGTTACACTACAACACGGAACCATTTATGGTCTGCTATTGGTATGTTCATGGATAATCTGCATGACAGATATATGTAGAATATCAATAAAATTAACTCACATGACCCAAATGTAGCAGGTTTTCCTGAGGGACAGAAGTGGATTCAGAACTGGGCATTCTGAAACACATCCTCATTGCAAACAGTAATGCCATATGCATGAAGCTTCTGTTTATTGTTTTCCATATACAAGGAAACAACATCCCATAATAGAGACTAGCATGCAGGGCTAAGGCATATAGGACTTCTCTGCAGGTAGCAGGACGGTACAGCTGTAAGAGGCCAATACCCATATGCTAACTTTAAACATGTATTTTTATTTTTTTTTACTTTTCATATTTATATTAGCATACAAGGACAACTGTACATATGTAAACATTTTTAAAATATAAAAAGTAACACATAAGTGTATTTTGCCAAATGCCTAAAAACAGTCAGTCACAATTCTGTCATTGTCCTTCATCCTGCGGTCTTCAGAGTGTAAATGGATGATGTTGTAAATATAGTGGTCAATGCTGTAAAAGTATCTTTCTGTAACTGTGATTTCCCTTTAAAGTGTGTACAATCTGGAGGAGGTTTTATTGAGTAAGAGATCAAAATGCTCATGCAAACATCTGGCCTCTGCATCTTGCTGAAGGTGGAATCTAGATGTGTGCTCGTCATGCGGCCTCAGGACACACTAGAGCGGACAGGCTCTCTGGGAATCTGCCAGCCTGTCTATTCACATCTAGGACAGACACATGGTTCCTGTCACAGTAGCCACTCAGTACCAGGGCACATCAGCTGATCCTACCTGGAGGCCGGGGAGTGCCCTCCCCTCCAGAAAGTGTCTTGCTGAGATTGGTCGGATTCACCAAAGACACAGATCAATGAGTGGGTAGCTTCACCTGGCCAATACCTGAGCCCTTTCTGGCCTGAAATTTGGGTTCCTCAACAGAAGCCTTTCAGCCATTCTTATCTGTGAAAGGAGTGACCTGTTTTCACAACTTTAAAGCATTTATCATCACTGGGATGTAAGTGCCAGCAGGTCATTCTGGCTGACTTTGAACAAGATGGCGGATAGAAGACTCAGCAGAGCATAAAAGATGAAGAGAATCTAAGGCTACACAGAGGCAGTGACTGCAGAGGGAGCCATTAGCCTGCAGGGGAAGGAGCTGGGGGTTTTGAGCCCTATACATTTTGATCTATTAAAAATGAGTATTCTTTGTGAAATCTTGTCATTTAAAATGAAAAAATTAAAAGCTGTTCTAATGCAATTTTATCACTCAAAAAGAAAGCCGCTCTAGTGAGATGTGAAATTGAGAAGCTCAATCATATGGTCTGCTGTGGAATATACTTCTCCCCCTGCTTCCCACCTTTCCTTGTTGTTTTATGTGAGGAATGGAATCATCAGACAAGACCTCAAAAATGTACTCTGCATTTGATTTCTTCCACAAGTGTCCAGGGACACCATTTGTTTCATCTCTGTGTAGAATTGTCTTAAGTGCCCAAACTGAAGGGCCAGATTAGACGGCAGTGGCCAACTCAGTTTACGTTTTCTGTAATGGTCCACTCTTCTGAAACACTTTGAAGATGTTAGAAAACCAATTTAATAAGGCAAAATTATACAGTGAAAACAGCGTTTATTGTGACAGGAAAGGATAGTTTGCTGATGACTCCATAAAACAGTCTCAGACAAAGGCATGGATGAGTTGAGCAATGTCTCCACATAGCTTAAGGCAATGACGGAAGGACAGACAGGCAACAGATGGAATGAAGTGACTTTTGAACAAGATCACTTTAAATGTGCACTGAATGTTTTCTGGTATTGAGTATATAAAAGGCTAATGTAATATAAGGTTTATTTTGACTACAAGAAAAGAGTTTATAGCTTTGGATGAAAGGTGCCTCATGTAAATATGCTTTGTAGTTATAGATAGCTATGTAAGCCCTGAATTCACAAGTGGCTAGCTATTGAACTGGTTAGCTGTCTCCCTGCCTGCCTTTCCTCATCCATTATTTTTACCTGACGTTATTACTGAAAATTAAAATCATTATCACGTGCCTTTTGAGAGAGATGGTGACTCTTGCTTATAATCATCCACATATGAAACTGGATGAAAATATTTTGCTTAACTTGCAGTGATTTTAGAAATATAATAGCTGTAATGTTCTAGTCTGAGTATCTTATCTCCCATGTTTAAGCATTCTTGGAATTGTTTTGGGGATTAACAGACTTTAGTGTTGATGGTTGGTTTCAAGACATATGTATCAGCAGACTCACCAATATTGGCGTTACAGAACATTCCATCTAACTTAGTGTGACTTCATTCGCTGAGGTAGACAGAGCAGACTCAAGGGATCGATTAAAGCACAGTGATTACTTTTTTTTTAATGCCTATTTTGAAGAGGAACTTTGAAGCTCCATAGTGGTTTCAGTCATGCAATTAATATTCATACTTCCCAGTCTACTGTGGTATCATCACTATGCAGAGAAGGGCAGTAATGTGGCCATGGATGCCCTTTCTCTTTCTAATACTCTCGGCATCATAGGACTGCAGATAGCCCAAATGCCTGAGATGTTCCATTCAGCAGGTCATTTCCATCCCCATGTAAAGGAATGTTTAAGTCTTTCCCCTGTGTGACCAGGGGAGGCCGGCAGTAAGAGAGAATCCTTAAGGAACAGACCAGCCAGACTAACTCTTCCCAGCCACTCTTCTTAGATGGGAAACCCTCCTCCAGAGTCAGCAAGATAGAGAATGACCCCAGTCACGTGCAGTCTGCAGAGAGGAAGAGATGGGTGCTGCTTAGATGGAGTGACATGGCGATTCTGCGAGGCTGAATGTGAACAAAGCCACACCCCCAGCCCCTCACTTAGATGCTCAATGAGGAATAACCCATCTGTAGGGTTTTTTTTTTTTTAACAGAAACGCAGCCCGGGATTGAGATGCCTCCGGAGCAGTGTGACCCGAGCGCTTTATTTCATTGTACAGTGTCTTTTCCTTGTTTTACATGGCTTTTAAAATAGTGTTTGCACAGAAGGTCAGTCCAGCATAGAATTTAGGTATGCAAGATTGATGGTGTGTCGAAAAGAAGCCACAGAGATGATACAATTAAATATTCTCTGCCTTCCCGCAATGTGGGTGGGAGGCTGCTGTGTGTTCTGGGACAGACCCACATCTTCTGCTCATCCACCTGCACAGCTGTATGACTTCATCCTGTCTGTTGGCCTACCCTATGCCTTCTGTAGCGACTTTACCTGTTGCCCTTTGCGATTTTTTTTTTTTAATGATTACCTTTAAGCCAGGGAAAGTATGTTATTTCCACTTTCTTCTCTCAGGATTTCAGAGTTGTTTGTTCCTTTATCCATTTCACCCTGTGATTTTCTATTGTCCTTAAATTGACCCACTACTTTAGATCGGCCCTTGTTTTTCCGATATAATGAATCCCTATTTGAAGGTAAGGCTATCTTTACCTTATGTAAATGTAAAGGGAAAGAAGGCTGTTTGTCAGTTTGCAGTCTATAGGAAGAGATTTGACGAAGTTTGGAACTGAAGGGAATAAGGAGAAGACTGTCTTCTGCCCCGCCAGACGGCACCACGGTCACCTGCGCCCAGCACCTCCTCCCCTCAAATGCAGAGTCAAGACGAATGTGGCATTCTTAGCCTACCAGCTTTTCTGCTGCCATGTCTGTGGAAGAGGGCTGAATTTGGGGCTTGAGTGCTGGCTTTCCTACTCTGATTTCAGATGCAGGGTGTCTTCTCTGGGTACCAGTCGACAGTCGTGAAAATTGGCCGAGGCAGCAGCCCATCTGTCTGTGCGAGCAGCATGCTGATAGAATGTCCCCGCTGGTCACTGTGGCACTCGCTGTCAGTGTATGCTCTGTGGGGCAGGCACTTTCAGCTCTGAGAGTTTTCCTACCACCCCTGCAGGTGCAAAACAAAGTTGCCCCCAGACTTGGAAAGCAGGAGGTAGTATTTCCATTCTCATTTTGGTCATAGTTTGGTCAGTCCTCAACAGGGAGCAGCTAAAGTCAGTAAGCAAAAAATCAAACCTTAAAAGACCAGTGTCCTTCATATCCATGGCCTTAGGAAATAGTATCATTACTATGGGATTTGATGGCTGCTTTTAGAGCCTTCCTGCTCCAAACTAGCACCCCATTCAGTGTCTGTGCAGAACTTTTCCTCTTGATTGGAAATGTCCCCCAGCACGCAGGCTAGTGCCTTCTTCAGCTAAAAACGGAAATTGGGAGAACCACAGGAATACGGACTAGGGGAGGTTATCTTTAATTTCCTTTTCACATGCTAGTTTGATTGTGCACCCTAGAAAGTCACTAAGAAATAGGTCTCAGGGTATAAATCTCAGGAAGGGAATAAGCAACAGTTTTGAGAGATCCTGGCTCATTTAGTCCCAGCGTAGGACCACAGTGTACATCCATGTGAAGCATGCAGAACTCAAGATGGCCACTGGCCATGCTGGAGGGAAGTGCTGGGCGCCGACAGCAGTTAGGTGCTTTGCAGTTTCCTGGAATATTAGTTTTCTGTGTCTCTCACTGTCCAGTGCCGCGTCCCTGTTGCGCTCTTCACTGACCTGTATCCTATAGGGTGGGGCTTCGGAAATGGTGGGAGTGTTGATCACGGGCAGCCGTGGAGTCAAACCCAGGCAAAATGTCTTTATTCTGTTTCGTTTGACAAAAGGCATACAGTGAGATGAAGCAATCTGATGAGATTCATATCCACAAGGCCATCCGCTCGGTGTTTATGAACAAAGGTTAGTCTCCCCTAAATGTATGACGACGCACGTGTGCATATTCTGCATTCAACTTAGGACATTTCAGGACACGATTTGTTCTGATGGTTGAGTTTTTAAATAATACAAATAGCCCAAATCTTTAAATATAGTGGTGCTACGTTTTATCAGCTAACACAATGCAGAAAGTGCTGAACTGAATTCAGACACCGAGGAGTAACACAAGGGTTCCTGTTAAATCACACACTGGTATCACTGCCTGATTTGAAAGCCCCCTTTCCTTTCTAATCCAGCACAATTCCAAACTGTGATTCTAGCTCCTCTTTTTAATGAGTACAAATAACTCAACACCTTTTTTTTTTTTAATGGAAAACTTTTTTTTTTAAACACTCAAAGCCAAAGGTTCCTTCAGGATGCAGAGCATTTTTGTTTTAACTTGGAAGACTTGCCCCTCCAAACTAGCATTTTCAAATGACAATTTCACACCTAACCAGAACAGTTCATGTTAGTGGCATTAGGTCTGTGCCAGTGCTTCCCACATTCATAGCCTCTGAGGGTGACGCCCATCTACAGGTAACAGGCTACCCCATGGGGACGTGTTAATCGCATCAGTGTGGTTCACGTGGAGTAGCCAGGTACTCATGTGCACATATTTAGATTCACAGCATTCAAACCTCCTCTCTGCCACTCTGCTCGCACTTCAGGTTCTTATGCTATTTTAAAACTCTTGGGTTTGGGCAAGCACCAAAAGAAATGTAAATGGTGATTGCCTTCCTGAGTAAGCGTGGTTTGTTTTATGGCCGTTCAAGTTATAAAGTTGTTCTCATATTGTAGGTAAACAAAATCTTGCTGTTTTTAAAGGTCACTGTAACTCGAGGTTTAACTTTCTGGCACAATTTTATTAGTGTTCACTTCTGAAGCTAATAAGATAACAGAGTTTTCTATGTTACTCTCATCGTAACATCAATAAAGTGACTTTCAATAAAAGACTTATGTTCTTTTGATGCACAGCTCTTTCCTTTTCTTCTTCCTGGCCAGCATCTCTGAGATGCTGTCAGAAGATTCTGTTCTCATGGTCCCTGAGGAGACAGGGGAAAAACTGGTATTCCATTTGTTGGGCTGTTCCTCTTGTGAGGAAGCAAGGAATTTGTCTCCTGAATTCTCCCCTGCCCTAAAGACATTTAACTCTTGATGGAGACTTACCTTAAACACTGATTATTAAAACCTGAATACCAGAAACACAATTTATAGTACTTGAGGATGTACCCAAAAGCAAATTCAGAACCGAAATCTAAGTAGCACATCTTGGGGTTTATTCACATGACAGGGCAGCTTAAATATGAGTCATCACCTTGGGTTGGTAAGGGTCAATTTCCTTATTGCTTTACTCACCTAGGAAACGGTCACTTCTTTAAACTAGAATTTCCTCAAGAGATCGTGGTCAGTTTAAGCCAAATAGCAAGTATTAGGACTTCATAGGACAGTGTCAGCCTCCTAGTCCTCTAAGCACCCTTGGGCCTTTTCTGGGCAGCCCGGGCCCAGGTTAAAGCAAAGCTCTGTGGAAGTACAGAAGAAACATCTAAAAGGAAGCCCAGACTTGCCATATAAGAGAGAGCAGGCGGCTTCACACTCTGCCATGTAACCTGAGCATACGGGCAACTAAACACAGAGTAAGTTAGGGTCAGTAAACATGGAATGACTAAATGTATATACTATGTACATTAACACTATCAGCATACATTTGTGAAATGAGGCTGGAGATGCTTAGGAAACGTTTATTTCACCAGTTGATAGTTAATCATTTACTTGAATGGTCATGTTTACACTGTGCCTGAAACAAGACAGATGCATTGCTAGCAAGAAACGACTGTTACCATTTTTAGCTAAACTGTAAGAAACAAACACCACAGATGCTCTTATATCAGTATACTTTCACATACTCAGAACTACCCCATGGGGTAAGGGTTCTGTTCAAAGATGGCGAAACTGAGTGTCATGTCCTTACATAAAATGACCAAGCCACATACATAGCAAGGCATTGCCAGCAAGCCAATTATTTAAACATTTGAAAAAACAATATGTTTGTGTGTGTGTGTGTGTGTGTGTGTGTGTGTGTGTGTGTGTGTAAAACCTGATTATAGAACACTTGAAAATTTAATAGGAAGGGAGATCCTATTCATTTCAGTTCCTTTCTTGTGTGTGTTCAAAGACATAACACATGACATTTAAAAATGGTGTCAACAAGGTTTTAAAATTATGTTTAAACATGTTTAAAGATGATCCTGTTATTACTTTTAGTTATGTGTGTGCACATCCATTTGTTTGGGGTATGTGCATTTGAGTGCAGGTGCCTATGGGGGCCAGAGGCAGAAGTTCAGCCACCCAACATGGGTGCTGGGAACCTGAGTCCTCCCCAGGAGTGGTGCATGCTCTCAACTGCTGGGCTGTCCCTCCAGCCTTGACATCGGGTTTTAAAATGGAAGCATACACATTATAAGCAGCTAATATATTCTTATCTCCCTTTAGTCTTTTTCTGACAATTTTGAGCTTATAATATACAAGACTTTTTAAGTATAGTTAACCAAAGTTTGGATGGATGACAAAAAAAGGACTTGGTGACAGCATTTTTGCCACTCAAATTATCTGCAGGTTTTTAAAGAGGTGGACAGTAGTCATTCAGTATCTCTGTCCACTCATATAAGGTTTTCAAACCCGGTGAGTCCTGAAGCTTACACTCTTTCTAGTATGTGGATCACCACGGGCACTGGTTTGTTTCACACCCCGTGGATCTACATCACTTATATAAGAATACCCCACACAAAACTGTTAACCACATTCCTCAGGGCAAGAAAGGATAACAGCCAAGACTGACTACAAGATTTCATATGTTGAGAGAAAATATATGCTTTCAACATTTTGCATACTTAAATTTATATAAAGACATAAGGCATGGTTAATGGCTCAAGGAGGTTCTGACTGGTACAACAGACTTGTTCTTACATTATTGAACTTCAAGAATTTATTATCAAAATTAAAAATGAAGCTTCAGCTGTATATAAAGCCATAATCCCACTCAACAGTTGTCAGGGATGTTGGTGGCGATCTACACACAGCACTGCGGGCCGGGAGGAAGCAGGGGCGGGCTCCAGCTGGAATGTTGAGTGTATTCAGACAGGCTCCTCGTGACTTAGACAGTCATGACACACTGAATGAACTTAAAGAAGAAAATCAGTGTTACACTCCAGACTGCAAAATACCATAGCCACTCTGTGGACACCTTCCATTTTAGTCCTTGGCACTGTGGGTAAACAAGGAGAACAAAAACCCCAACTTTCTACGTTATGCATAAATGAATGGTAGGGTGGGAAGGGTCTTCCTGGTAGGGGACTTTCTACTGTAAAGTCCAATGAGTTCCTCACTTTATGGGAAGGAGGAATCACTTCACCAAATAAAGAATTGAAACACCAAATAATATTTAACAGTGTAGGGACAGTCATAGTCGAAAGTACTTGCCCACGAGAACAAATAACAGGTTTACACTGTCCTATCACGTGAGGACTTCCAAACTGATTCCCCCACTACTCTAGCAGGAAACTTTAACACAATCTTCCTGTAAAGCCTGCTCCATCAGCGTCACAGCAGAGCATAGAGAGCAAAGCTGATCCTGCTCCAGCGACTCAGAAATGTACATTTAGCAACATCAGCATTTGCTGTGCGTGGCCGTCACGACCCCCAAGACCCACTAGACCTGTGGTTCTCAGTCTTCCTAACGCTGTGACCCTTTAATACAGTTCCTCACCTTGTGGTGACCTCTGCCTATAAAATCATTTTCACTGCTACTTCATAACTGTAATGTTGCTACTGTTATGAATCATAGTGTAAATGTCTGATATGCGGGATATCTGACATGTGACCCCTGTGAAAAGGTTAGACTTCTGAAAGAGGTCGTGACCCACAGGTTGAGAACCACTGCACAGATCCTGCTTCCCCCACCCCTGCCCAAGCTTATTCTCCAACACTGGGAAGGAGTCCCAGTGCTAAATCCTGCAACAATTCTTTTTTTGCAACAAATCCTGCAACCAACTCAATGATTCTTTTTTTTTCAAGACAGGGTTTCTCTGTGTAGCTTTGCGCCTTTCCTGGAACTCACTCTGTAGCCCAGGATGGCCTCAAACTCAGAGATCCACCTGCCTCTGCCTCCCAAGTGCTGAGATTAAAGGCGTGCGCCACCACCGCTCGGCCAATGATTCTTATTTGAGAGAAAAAGAAACCAAAGATTTGGACATGTAGAAACCTCTCTAGTGGTCTCCTCTGATGCCAGTGTGTACTTTTTTCCTCTCCCAGGTTATCACCACACACGGCTTGTTGTAAATTGTGATTTAAGTTGGTGCTAGCCTTACATTCTCAAGGAACAGCACAGGTATGCAAAGCAGAGCTAGAAGGTACCTCTCAGTAACGTTTGTTTTCTACAGGGTGAGAGCAGAGACATGTCTGCATTTGCAAGACATCTCAAGACACAGCTGACTGAAACCTGTCAACAGCTCTTTGAAAGAGGCGTCATCGTTATGTGGTGTATGTGTGTTTGCATGCTTGTGTGTTGGGATGCACATGAATGTGGAGCCTGAAGGTCAATCTCAAGTGTCACGCTATCCTCAGGTGCTAGTCACCTTTTGAGAGTGATTCTCCCTGGCCTAGAACTCACGAAGCAGGCTTGGCTGGAGGGTCAGCAAGCACCTCCCCAATACTGGGATTATACTAGAGTGCTGCCATACACAGCATTTTGCACATGGGTTCTGGGGGTCCTCATGTTTGTCTGCCATCCAAGCTATTATCCCAGCCTGAAAGAGGCATCATTATTATACCTGCTTCACTCAGTCTCAGAGCAACCAGGGAAATCTACTTCTACAATGACCCAGTCAATAAAAGCAACAGGCCGGGCCTGAAGTTGAAGTCATCCTTCTGCCTCCTCCTTAGAAATGCTGGTATTACAGCCATGAGCTGCCATGTCCTGTTATATTTTCTATTTATTTGTTTGTTTGAGGCAGAGTCTCACAAGCATAGCTCAGTCTGGCCTTGAACTCACAGCAAACCACCTGCCTCAGCCTCTTGAGTGCATGCTTGAGTCACCATGTCCATATTCTAAACAGCTAACTTCAAAAGGAATCCCATTTATGTACAGTATTTGGTCTACTTAGCTCTTACTTGCTGAGACTTACATCATCGTATGAGAAATTCACCATTCCTTGTTGGGCAGAGTCCCGTCTTCGAAAGCTATCTGCAAAACAACACAGTAAAATGTAGTATTCACGTTTTTTCTAAACTCAAAACAGCTAACTATTCAGCACTGGGATCAAACTTCAATAACACTTAAAATTCTACAACCAGTCAACATAAGGCCAAAGAAAAATAGTCACCTACAGGAATATTAAAAGATTTAATATAGGGCTGGAGAGATGGCTCAGAAGTTAAGAGCACTGGCTGCTCTTCCAGAGGTCCTGAATTCAATTCCCAGAAACCACATCGGGTTCTAGACACTGTAGTTACATACATGCTGCTCAAGCAAGGACACAGAGGGATACAGTCCCCAATATTACAAACGGGCTGTGACCAAATACCCCACTCATTTTAGCCCCGCTGACCAAAAATGATTAACGTTACTCTTACTCTTTTCAAACGTTCCGCAGTTGAAGAGAATTACTCATAAGTGCACTCTGTGATTGAAACTGTACAAATGTGGGCTGTGGAATAGCACCACAGTCCAGTGTTTACATAGCATGTGAGCAGTCTGTGACTCCAGCACTACAAACGAAAGCACTTAAAAATATAGACAGTTATGTCTGCAGCATTTTAATAAAATGTACTATAATTACTCATTCACCTAAAACAGTTCTGGATAGCATATTATGCTCTGTTTGCTTAATAGCTGTGTTAAGGGTCTACCAACGTACCCCTAAAGCCATAAAAAACTGGGCAGAATGGAAGTCCAAGGCATGGAGAAATGAGACATGCCATAAAAAGGGCCTTCTAGGCTCCTGGTAACCTGAAAGGGTTCACACCTGTGAGAGCCCTCAGCTTGACGCAGCAGGCGATGTAGTCATCGAAGGTGATCTTCCCACTGGTGCTGTAGCGCTTCGCAATTGAATTCACAGTTTGGGGGTTCAACCTGAATCCTGGAAGGCAGAAAAATCACCCAGCAAGGAAAGGTTGCAGGCTTGTAAAAACACAACAACAACAACAACAACAAACCCAAAACAACAACATTAAAAAGAAACTGTCTTCAAGTAGCCCACACTTTTAGGGAAACACCAACCCGTTCAGCAGTTAATGGAGAGCTGGAGTTGGTGATACAAACCCATTGTGGTCAGGGCCTTCTGGAGTTCCTGGGGATCCACTGTTCCACTCCTATCGCTGTCAAAACTGATGAAGTGCTGTCTCCAGCCATTCAGCACGGCCCAGAGCTCTTTAAATTCATTGAACCCCATGGTGCCGGACATATCTCTCTGGATTGTAATCAAGGACCAGAACTATCTTATTTCACATCTTTAATGATTTCACAAGAGAAAGAGGAAGGGTAAGGGGAATTCAATAGTCTTTCTGTTAAAATGGCAAAGAGACACCCCACATTGTAAAAAAACAAAACAAAACAAAAAACAAAAAAAAAACCCTATTCTATATTCTTACTGATATGATATAAAAGAATTAATGATAAATGATGTAATAAATGGCCTGTGGCTTTAAAGCTCTGAACCTGATGGTATGGCATTGTGAGCCAAGCAAACAGCAGTTTTCTTACTGGAACTGGGCTGCACTTCTTAGGTGCTCCAGGTCATGGGTCCTGGTATCCCTTGCTAAGCCCTCAGACCCAAGGATTTCACCTGTAGAAAGTGAGCTGAGGTGGAAAGTACCACGGGTGACACACTGACAGACAGACAATCAACGGCTGGCATTCCTGTCCATTTGATGCCGTACTGCACTAACTCTAACACACACTCTCCCACCTGTCTCTCTTGAGAAAGGATCTCTGTAGTTCAGAGTAACTTCCAACTCACAGTATAGCCCATGCTGCCCTCAAACTCATAGTGATGCTCCTGCCTCTGCATCCTGAGTGCTGTGATTACAGGCATGAGCCACCACACCTCTGGCTTCTTGTGCAATCTTAAACAACCAGCCTTCCGTTTACTAAACTTCCTGCCTGATTTTCACACCAAATTACATCTTAACGGCTAGTTATTTCACCAAACTCTTTTGGTGGTTACTTGCTATTCTGTATTCACTTGTTACTCACCCTGAGATGAACTGTTTTAGAAAAATATGGGTTTTTTGCTGTGGAAAAACACTCTAGACAACCATCAAGATAAAGGATACGTCCAACATTGAAACCATAAGGCGACAAGTCTCCAGATTAAAAGCTGTTAAAGAAAGTATATGAATAAGTACAATTTCAAAATTTCATATTACACTGGAATCATTCAAATTAATTATGAACTTTAAAACATGCTACTCATTTTCCATGATACTCACTCACCACTTTGTGGTGTTTGGCTTACACCAATTTTGTCTGACTGTATTGCAAACATAACCCATTTTCAAAAATTTTACTACATGTATCTGCCCACATTATAGATACCTGTGGGAACCCCACCCCCCTTCCCCAGTGTGCAGTCACCTTGTAAATAAAGTCAGGATCAACTGGCAGCCCCCGTTACTCAGTTCAGTCATTTCTTTAAGCTGTAGGACTCCGTAGGCTCTTTAACATCAATCCCTGATTCTAAGCCTCTCCCCAACCCCTAAGATCTGGAATGATCTGAAGAATCTGTAGCAATACTAAGGTCCTGCAGACTGCTAATCTTGGATGAACAGAACATTGTGTAGATAGAATGCTATAGTTCACAAGCTAGACTTATCTTGGACTACTTGGGGCCTTTAATAGCCAATTACCCTAGCTTTTGGATCTGTCCCAATGTCCTACTTCATAGAAATACTCCTTAAAGTCTATCACTATGCTTTGCAGATCTCTAGCATCTACCAATCCCATAGCCACGAATGTTCTGACAACTGAAAGCTATGGGTCCTCACTCTACTGTAGTCAGTGTGCCAGGTCTCCCACTGGAAATGGCAAAGGTCCTGATTCATGACTTCCTTTCATTCTTTGATACAAGTTCACATGGCATCTTCCACAGTGGCACATGTCATTCAAGGTAACTTGAGTCCATGTTCTTGAACCACAGTCCTTCATGTTTGGCTCAGAATAAACTATTGCTTTATTTCTTTTAAAGCAGACTATTTTATACTCTCAATGTAGTCTTTACCTTATGGCTGGAGCAGCAGTGTTCTCACATACAGAATGCTGTAAGGTCTCAGAGTAAAGGTCAGAACCCCTGCATGTGAGGACATTCATGAATTTCCCCAGTTCACCCACAGCCAGGCAGGATCTTCACAGGAAAATTCTCACTTCCATAATTGAACCAAGCTTCCTCTGGGTCTTTCATATATACTGTTCTATCTGCTTGAATTATGTACATACATACTGTTCTATCTGCCTGAATTATGTGCACACATACTGTTCTATCTGCATGAATTATGTGCATATAGCATCTCCAAATGGCATCATTGTGCTGGACTTTGATTTCTTCTCCAGCGTAGGTATCAATTGTGCAGGCACACTCCTGTCTTGACCATGTGCCTGTGGGTTTGATCTCAGTCTCAGAACTTATCTCACCAGGTGCAGCTGTTTCTGTACACCCAGCATAACTGTCCATCAAAAATGGACTGGTTGGCTGAGGGATAAATGGCCACATGGACTGAATTCTTACCCCTAGACAAGAGCTGCAGTTTAGTGTAGAAGTATGCCTCTTTCAGGAAGGCTAAGGGGAAATGTGGATTATTATTTTTAATAGGGTATTTTGGATTTGACTGACACTTAAAAGTTCTATATTTTAAATCAAATACCAATACTGCTACAGGGCCATGGTTTCCTCCTTTTATGTAATTTACTTATTTGGCTTTTTTGAGAGTTTCATGTGGCCCAGGCTGCCTTCACCTCTGTGTAAATGATGACCTTAAAGTCTTGTTCCTCCTGCTTCCTCCTCCCAAGTGCTCAGACTGTAGGCACGGATTACCATGCTCAGCTAATTTCTCTATTCTAAAGGTTTTCCACCAACAGCCAACCAACATTGACAGATGCAGGGTCTGCGTACCAGGATACACACATGAAATAAAGCTAGAGCACAGAGGTCCAATTAATTTGGGGAAGGCAGATAGGTCTTGCTCAATTCTGCTCACTGTATTTTCACCCAGAAGCAGCTTTATTAATGTGAATCTTTCAGTATAATTTCAAAAGCATCCATGTGTCAACTTCCCCTGCCGCTGCTGCTTCCGTCTGCACTACCGCAATGCCTCAGGTATCCTTTCATCCAGAAGAAACAAGGCACCAGGCCTGGAAAGGAAGGAAGTCTACTCCACCTGTTCCTGTCAAGCATCTTGCAGAGGAACCACCAAATTCAGGGAAAGGAAAAGCAGAATTTCTCTTGTGGAGCCTGGAACATCCTCCATCAAGTCTCCCTCTCGAGATGACTGCTTCTTGTCTGGAGTATCCCACATACCCCCATCCACTCTAAGTCCGTGGGCTATGACTTGGAATCTGGGTCTAAAAAGACCGATGGCTGTATGGTTTCTGTACTGCAGAACTCTTGGCAGCCCAGAAGTTGGGTGGTATCTCATGGCTACTAGAGGGAACTAAGCTAATTAACTAGATTACATAGGTCCTTGTGTTTCAGGAAATGACTTTTTCTAATGCATTGATCTAAGGCCTTTACAAAATGACTTTCAAGTAAGATTTTTAAAATTCGTTATTACATTTACTTATTTGCTTTGTGTAGTGTGTGAGGTGTGTGTCAGAGTCAGAGAGAGTCGGAGGACAGCTTTCAGGAGTTGGTGCAGAAGCAGGGTTTGAACTCGGGCCAGCAGTCTTGGAGGCAAAGACTAGCTGAGGCATCTCAGCAGCCCTCAAAATAGAACTCTTGAGGGAACTGCTCTCTAAGATTGTGCAGTGCACTTGTAGTTTGTTCTAAAATCTGATGCATCTCTTCTACCGGAAGGCTGTAGGTGGATAAGATACCTCACTGAGTCAACTCCATTAGATCTTCCTTGTTTACCTCAAGTGCTTGAGGTTAAAAATTAACAATTTAAGTGTAATAGCCACTGCTCAGTTCACTTTACCTAGAAAATGCTTCTCTTGTTTAGGACCTAATTAAAATGACAGAAACTTGAAAGGCTCTTCTCTCTTGAATTAATTTCCCAACTAGGAAATAGTAATAGGAAACTCAAGTCACACAAGAAATGGTAACAACAGAAACTTGAGCGTTTTAAAGATGGCCATCTAGAGCACACAGGACCTCAAACAGCTAAAAGTTCCACTGCAAGTGTTTAGGTGTGAGTTCTACTCTGAACATTTTACCTTACAGCTTACTATAAAGTGAAGGTGTCACTTGATGTTATGACTCAATTAACAAATGGGAAGGAGTTAGAAGGGAGAACACTTGAGCTAAATCACTATTATTTGTCCTAGGCACTTCTCATGGTCAAGCCTAGATTTTTTAAAAAAGCAGAGTGTGTAAAATGATAAGCCTGGGCCAGGATGCAGGACATCTGCAATGTTTATTTCTATTTGTTGCTTGGAGCACAGTAGTGAAAAGGCAGGAAAGTGGGACACGTACTGGATGATAGTGCTGCATATCTCGTCTGCAAAGAACTGAGGAGGGAGCAGAGGGCTAGCATGAGGTGAAGCAGACGGGTACATGTCCTCGGCGTGAACGTGTCTTCTCAGGTAGAAGGAATGGCCCAGGGAAGGTCATGGCCGGCAGCAGTAGCAAGCCCAGGGCCCAGAGATCAGACTGTGGGACTAGCCACTCTCTCAGTGCCACCAAGTCAGGACAGAATAAGCACTTGGCAAATGGTCAGTGGTACATGTTAGCACTTATCATTAACGATACCTGACCTGGCGGATTCCATTTCAGCACCCTAACTTGTCCTCTGTGAGAGAGGCCACCCAAAACTGTCTCACTGGTTTGAATGGTTCTGTACACAGGGAACCCAAATCCAAGAAATCTATTAACCTGTCAGGCAGACTGGTGACCTGGGAACTATGCTCAATTAACAAACAGTTAAAAAAACAACAGCGTGGTGCATCAGAAAAGTTTGATTTCTTGAAAGGAACAATCACAGCTAACAGTTAAAGTACAGAGAACAAGGGTATTATTAGAAAGATTCTAAGACCATGAACTTACGTTTGTATCCTCCAGCAATGCCAGACTGTGTTAGACATCTCTGTAGCTCATCAGCATCAATTTGCCCATCCTTGTAAAACAAACAAACAAAAACCAGAAAGAGGAATCACGGTGGTGGTCTGTACTTTCAAGTCCTTAGGTGACAAGGACAGGGAAAATGATTCTCTCTAGCATTTTTTTAAAGGAATGCCTTTCAAAATTGGGCACACTTCTCTTTACCCTAATTCCGAAAAGAATTTGATGATGAGAAAATATTTGTCATGGCAAACAGTCTCCACTCAGTTTGAGCCAAGAAACTATCAAAACTAATCATTTTAAAATACAATTAGTTATGGAATTGTTTCAAAACATATCCCCCAACCACGTTTTCAGAAAGAGAGGGACAGAGGGTAGGGTGTACAGTGTAAGCAGACCTAGCAGGCATCAGTAAATACAGGTCTTGTTTAAGGAGAAAGATGCTCTTGGATCAATGTCTGACTGGGAGACAGTGTTTTCTGAGCACAATTATATGTAGAAGATACAGGGTAGGCTCCCAAACCTTCTTATTGGCTGAGGTCAAAACAGTCTTAAATAAAACACATAACTCCAAGTTGGTGAGATCCATCAAGTTATAAATGAGGAACAACAATTTGAAATTATTAATGATGAATGTGTGGAATAGAGGCCAGAGCTGCTGAAAGCCAAGCAGGTGGGGTCACTTACATGCCAGAGACACCAGCAATCTAAGAATGCTAGTCCTGAGGTGTGCTATGTCTTGTGGTTTCAAAGACACAGATCAATAACAGATTAAGTAGATACTGGAGAGGAAAGTCTTCCAGTCTTCTACTCAATTTTCCATTCAAATTCTCAAAGCTGTGTTTCTTAGAGTACCTCTTTCAAAGGCGGCCTGAGGGTTTTGCTTAGTATATTCTGCAGCATTTTTTTTTCCAGATCTTGATTTCATTCTTTCTGGCTCTTGTGGTTAAACAAGTCTAAGGTGAATAAGCAGGAATACACATCCCCTCTGGACACGTCTGGATTACGGATTACGTCAACAGTGCATTCACCAAACACAGAGTGACCTTGCAAGCTGAGCAAGTGTCCTTCCTCACAGCAGGCACAGACTGTCACACAACTCTAAGGGAAGGAAGTGGGACTTAGGACTTGTGACCACTTGACCTGAATTCTTTCTCCGGGTCAGCAGGCCATAATACCTAATAAGGACATAGAAAACCCAGCAGGGTAAGACCATCTACATCAGGGACAGAGGTTCCCTTCCAAATACAGACAGCAGCTCTCCTGCTTGGAAGCTCTTTTCAGTTCTTCTCTACCTCCTAAGTGGGTAAATGACTAATTATCAAACTCCACTGAAAGTCGGTGTCTATTATAATTGGGCTACAGAATTACTAACACATGTCTTTAGGTTGGACAAACAGGTTTTATTTTCAGAACTTTTGAATTTCGTCTCTGGAAGCAACCCTTGGTCTATCCTGATGACACACTTCTAAAGGCATCTTTCTACTTTGTAGATCTTCAAAGTATATTTATAATCCCCCTTTGGTTCAATCGAACCCCTAGTTCAATCACAAGTTTAGTTTTGACCTGATCTAGCACGAATACAGGTATTCTCTGTCCACCTCTGTTCAGGACTAAAACAAGAATGTTTTAGTTTTCCTTTCCGTTTTCCTTCTTTTGCCCAGGCCAAGGGACTCGTTTCCAGAGCGAAGTTCGTTTACCTGCCACTGCACTACACGATAACAAAAAAAGATAGTAACAGTTCTTCAGCATTAAAAGGAAGGGCTAACCTGTCCAGCCACAGCAGCGAAGTAACCGTAGAGCGGATCCTGAGTTTGTCCGGGGAACGCAGGCCCTCCAGGAGCCCCTCCATACTGTTTAAAGGAAATGCAAAAGCATCAGAACAGAATCCAGTTTATTCCTTCACCATGTGAGACTTTTGCAAAAAGCAGAGGTAATTGCTGCCTGTCTGCCCATCTCAGGATCGCCCTCCCCATGACCTCACACACTCCAGCGTAGTGACCCACCCTGCTCCATTGACGCTTAAAAGCTGGCAACTTGGTCCAAAGTAAGTCTCCACGAAAGTGATGCCACTATACGCGAAGCTACTTAAAATCTCTATTAACGCGAAGCAAGCAATTTAGCAGAAAGGCTTGGGACTATTTTCCTGTTGCTTTAAACAGCTTTTAAGGTGTTTGAAAAGCTCTTCAAGTACTAGGTAAGGCTGGAATTGGTACAGGGCTGACAGGTGTGGCCTGGGAAGGAGGATGGCCCCGCTGTAGCTCAACTAGGGTCCTTCTGTCTCTGACAGCACATCCCTGTGTGGTGGCCTTCCTCTAGGACTCCAGTTTATTTCTCCGGACTTTTTGGTCTCTCTGTCACTTTCTTTTCAAGAGAGTGACCAGAGAACCATTCTAGATCAAGATGGCTGTTGTTGCTTTGGGGGCATTCGAGAGCAGGAAGTGAACACACAGCTTGCACTATCTCACGTCACATTTCCGAATCACCCAGGGGGCTTCCCGTGTCGCTGCCCACCCACCCGTTAGCCCGTGAGAGCCCCTAGGAAGACAGGGGGCAGAAGAATGAAGTGGGGCGGAGGCCGGACATGAGGGGCCAGGCGAGGGCGCAGGGAGCACCTGGACCGGGGATCCTCCCGCAGCGCCTCCTCCCGCGCGCGCGTCCGTGGCGCCCTCTCGCCCCGGGAGCAGCGAGGCTGCGGTACCCGCGCTTTGAACTTACCCCGCCTGGGTAGTACCCGCCGCCGGCGCCAGGGTGCCCGGGGTACGACATGGTGCAGACTGCGCCTCCACCCTGCAAGTCTGCTGCTCCGCCCGCCCGGAGCCGCCCCGAGCCGCCCCGGAGCGCACCACGCCGCCCCACGGGGGACGGCGCCCGCTGCCACCCATCCCTGGCCGCCCCGCGCCACCCTGCGCACCGCCCGCTCTCTATTCCCTCTGTGCTGTGCCAGTGCCCACCGCGACGCCCTCGGGCGGGCGGTGACCCAGGGCCCCAGACGCGGCTCACACCAGGTCCCGTCCACCCTCCCCGCCTAGTGGCACATTCCGACGTCCACGCACCGCCCCGGGATTTTTTTTTTCCCCTTTTTCTTCCTTCTTCCTACTGTGCTATTTTGTGGTACATTTGTTATTTTACACCGGTTGTTGGACTGGGTGGGTGGGATGAGAGCTCTGTGCGCTTTTGTAGGGAAGAGGTTGAATAACAACTCCAGTGGGTGAAGTAGACACTTTAAAATCAAAACAGGAAAACACCTTTGAAACCCGATGTCACTTCAGGGCTCTGCAAGGGGGCGGTTAGCTGTAAGGAGGGTGGCGTGTTTCTTTGCCAACTGTTAAGTTGGGTGTAGCTGGTGCTAAGTGGGTGGAGCGGGGTAGGGAAAGGGGGCATTTTCTGGGCAGGACAGCCTCGCCCAGATCGTTTGTAGAAAACCGAACTGATGTGTTTTCTGGATGATTCAAATAGAAACAACTCTTCTGGGGAGCATTACTGAAAGGATTGTTCGGAAAATGTTTTTTTTTTCACACGCCTTTCTTCTCCACTTTTTAGTATAACTGAAACAAGAGAAAATCGTTTGCTCGCCCTTGACTGTTGAGGACTAGACAGTGGGTTTCTGTTGTCCATTCTTACCCTTTCCCTCTGTGGACCGCGCTCTCGGGCTAGCCCAGAACTCGTGGTCGGCCTCCCGCTGTCTTTCTCATTTTGACAATTTGAGAAACACTTCAACAGACAAGATTCACCCTAGTGTGAGACCATGGCTTGACCCACTGGATGGCTCATCAACACTTCTCTCAAGCCCCCCTTTTGGATCCATAAACTCCAAAAACAGAAGTGAGGAAAATTCTAACAGTCCTTATTGTCACATAAAAAAAGCCACCGTGTCTGATCCTGGAGATAAAGTTAGTTTTCAAATACCATGGTAGTCAGTCCAGGTACATTAGACATTTTGAGTTTTTTGTCTGGTGTTTTAGAACTTTAATCAGCTAAATAATCAGGGCTGAACTCACATTGGAGTTTAAGCTCTTTCAGGGCTAAGTCTGAAAACAAAGAAACAAACAATGCACCCCTAATAAAATGTTTGTAACTAATGCAGGATTCATTTTATGGACATGTGACTATGCTAATTGTTACATTAGGAGTCATTAGACTCTTACTCTCCCTTCAGAAGTGACTTAATGGAGTGCTGTAAATGAAATTCTTACAATGATTGCCAACAAATTAATAAGCCCCTACTGCTTGGGGTTCAGGAAAAAAATGACAAAATAAATATATATAAAGAAAGTAGTTAACAACTGCCCGGCCTTCAGAGCATTTTCCCTATTTGTGTTGTCTTCATAAAATCCTAGGAGATAGGTGCTTTTATCACACAACTGAGAAGCGAGCTGACAGAAGTCAGCGAAGGAAAAGGAGGAAATGAACTCAGAGCTGGGCTATGGCGCTAGGTGCTCTGACTCTGCCCCAGGGGGAAGAAAATGTCCAGATGGAAAATATTTTCCCATCACATGCTCCCAGTAGCAACTTCTTGGCTCTCATAACCCAGTAGTATCTGAGGCTAGAGCATAAGTTGACAGTGTGGCTGTATCCCAGTACAACTTGATTCATAATCGTAAAGTTGAATTTAATACAATTGTTGAATGTCAGAACAAATTTTCTCCTGTCATTTAAGATGAAAATATCATCCTTAGCTTTTAGATGTACCCAAGAAGAGGCAGGCCAGATATGGCCCTCAGGCAGCAGTTTGCTGTGGTGATGTTTCATTTGTGCTGAAATGTGGTGATTTGTGCTTTAATAAAGCTTGCCTGGAGATCAGGGGAAAGGACAGCCATTTTAAGTAAACAAAGTCAGGCAGCACATGCCCTTAATCGATCACTTAGCAGGCAGGGTCTCTGTGTGTTCAAGGCCGTACAGGGGAACAGAGCCAAGCATGGTGACACAAGCCTTTAACCCCAATACCACCATAGAGACCTGGAGGTCTGTACAGACAGACAGTGACAAGGAAGTGAGGTAGCTGGGCTAAGAGAGCCAATGAGAGGGCAGAACAGTAAGGCAATAAAGGCGTGGGTAGACAGGAAGTAACACATTTGAAAGCTGCAGAGTTGGTGAGGTAAGGTTGGCTGGTGGCTTTCCCTATTTCCCTGATCTCTCTAAGGCTTTCACCCCTATATTTGGCTCCATGTTTTTTTATTTAATAAGACCATTTAGAAATTTGTCTACAGTTTGCAAACCACTGTTGTGGGATATTTGATTGCACTGCCACACTCCTAGACTGTGTTAATAAAGTTAACTTTGAATCAGGGGACGGAGCCAGTGACTAACTGACCACAATTAGCCACAGAGAAGCCAGGAATACGGATAGGGAAGCCTGACAGGAAAGAGAAGGGAAGAACTTGGAGAGAAGAGGTGCTGGCTGGTCTCCAGTAAGAAAGGGAAGGTCAGCTGTCTTTGCTCTATAAGGTTTTTACTCCAATATCTGATTCTCGAGTTTGTATTGGTAATAGAACAGTTTAGCAAAACACAACAAACCACTGCAAGCTGAAGACTAGGAAGCATGCCTTTAGCAAATAATGTGCTGAAGTTGTCATGGATGAGTCACCCTAAGGAATGGTGACCTCCCCAGGCCAAGAGCCTGTGATTAAAATACCTCCTTCAGAATCTGTCCACTGGCCAATAAGATGTGCAAAAGGAACACCGTGAGACCGTGATACTCTGTAGTCATAGCCAGAACATATGCAGAATGACAAGACCACATGCCAGGCTGTCCTTTAAATGTTTATACATGCAAAACAAGCCCTTTTATTCATAGCCTGAGTGTTATAGAACCTACACAATTCATGGAAGGATAAAGCCTCAGTATCACCATTGCAAAACTGAAGTGTGATTTTCTTTCATGGCGTCCATGGGACCCTGGGGCTGGCTAGACGATGCCGGAAATGCTAACCGACGGAATGAAATAAGCAACGTCATCACATTCTTGTCCTATGACGAGTGTTGTGCTAGATGCTTCCTAGTGGCTTTGTACCTAAAGCACAGCACCTTCAAAAGGAGATGTACTTATGTTTTATAGACTGAGGAACAAGTAATGCTCCCAAGGTTACCTACCAGATTTTGACTCCCAATAAAAGTTTAAAGCCTAAGTGTTTTATAATACAAGCAGACTGTAAAGACACTGAACCATGCTTATTTTTTCCCTATGGCAGAGCTTCCCAGGTTATTAGGACAAAGTGGGCAATACAGAAAAAGAATTTTAGAGACAGGAAAAAAACTTCTCCCAAAATCTTCATGTCTACCTTGGCAAGATCAATGACCAAATAGTGAACAGAAGACTTATGTTATCCCTAAGAGGAACCTATGGAAAGATGATAGCCCACCCCTCTCTGTCTCCTTTAATTTTGAATCAAATAAATTCCACAGAGGAATAAGATCACATTCATAACCCAAACCGTGAGTCCTAGATACGGACACTACCATCCACAAGTCTTGTAAAGAAAGTCAGCAACAGAGCACCAAGCTGTGGATGTATACAGAAGAGGGCTTTCTCCAGGGAGCCAGAATACTGTCATTTGTCTTAAGAACACACTAAGTCTTACAGAAAGGCTGCAGGGAGTTACTCAGGCCTGTGTCATCCTGACTGAGGGCCAAACTGAGGCCAAAGAGAGTTGTTGCAATTTTAAAGCTAGAAAAAAATCAGTTATTTTGAGAACCACAGAAACCTTTGTGATCATCTACTCTAATCACAGTGTTTCATGGATTTTAAAAAGAGTCCAAGAAGAGGCCCATACTCCTGAAGGGATGAACTAGCTGAATGTAAGTATCTTGCCCTTCCCAGTAGAAGCCCTGACATTGTTTGGCTTTGCCTCCAAAGGCCATTTGTTAAAAGTTTGATCTCCAGCCTGCAGTGTTACCAAATAGGTGGCCGGTGGGGGAACATTTCAGATGAAACTGAGAGGAAGGATATTACTCACTGAAGAAGGTATTAGACCCTGCCCCTCCCCCACTTTCTCTGTTTGTCTCCCTAGTCCTCCAGGATGTTTGCTTCACAACACACTCCTCACTATGATGTTGTGTCTCATTATCAGCCAAAAAAGCAATGTGGCTAGGAGACTACTAGCTGTGAGCCAAAATAGACCTTTCTTCTTCGGAAGTTGTTTGTCTTAGGTGTTTTGTTACAGTGATGGAAAGCTAGCCAACACAGAGAGGATTCTATTCTTTTTTGATATTCCCTCATCAGCCCATCTCAGCACATGTTTTCAAGACAAAAGGTAATGGATACACCCAATCCCTAAAGAAAGGTTAACTTAAACATTAAATAGCATTCAGGCAGAACTTCCTCATTCAGATAAAGGTGAAAGGAATTGTGTTGCCAGGCAACCACAGGTGTTTCACTATTTCCTGCAGTTGACCCAATCCAAGGTCTAATGTACCAGGAAGAAAGGAGCAATGCATTTGCCAGGTTAAGGGCTCAACTTTCTTCTAGTTGTAATCCAGATGAGTCAACTTGTTATCTAAAGACTTCTACCAGGGGCAGGGATATGAGACTGTGTTAGCGCACTTGGATAGTGAACACAAGGTCCTGGTTTGATCGCCACACACACTAAAAAAATAATAAAATAAGAGGCAGAGGATGAAAGAAAGAAAACACACATTATGATGTTATGGAAGAATTCAGATCTCCAAGTTTGAGTGGGAATGAATATTCTATAATAACAGAAAAAATTAATACCAGCCTCCCACCCCCTTGTAAGATTCTTGGGAAAGGATGTGAACAGCAGTTATATTAGTGAATAGAAGATGAATTTTTCTCATTGCCAAGAACAGAGCTCAATCAGTCATGTAATTGTGTTCACAGGATGGGAATATCCGTCACTGAAGGTTTAGGGT